TCACCTTGTTATAGCAGTTACTGTTTTCTCTAGCTCTGAACTTCAGATGCCCCAAGGGGTCCCATTGTGTATGTTGTGGATGTTACCTTGGAACACATGTGACCATATTAAAAAATTATAATAATAATAATTCATTAGCCTGAAATGTGGTGGGAGATCAGAGGGCATTGAGGTGGAATGTTGGCCTCCCCAGGTTTGTATGTCAGCATTTAGATATACTTCTGCTTTAAAAAAAAAAACAAAAAGTGGCATTAACTTTTGCTGCACAAAAATAGGTTTTAGGGGTTGTGGCTTCATATTCACAAGGAGCAGAATTAAGGTGTAGCAGTGAGAGATCTGGCAGTTGTTTGAACGTTAGTCAGAAGGAAACTCTGGAAAATGAAACTAAAGCTAAAAATGGTGTTGATAAAATAACACTTAACCTGTACAGAACGGGTTACAGAAGGGCAAAAAACTGCTCTGAGTTACCTTCTGTCCAACATCTCCGCTGGCAATGGCAGCAATTCCTTCAGCCACCTCAGATGTAGTTAGTATGCAAAGGTTATTTTTGCAAGCTTCTACTTAAAAAGATTGTAAAACACCATATGTGCTTGACTGTTTCTTTAAGACTTTGGCAAGTGTTTTGGCATACTTAGGTTCTACCCTGTTCTTCTAAGGGTTTCTTATTGCTATGGCAACACTAATCAATCACCGTGCTAAAAATAGGCCTTTCGTTTTCCAAGAGGCTATCTGTGGTGAGTTGAAAATCCAACTGCAGTGGGTGCTTTTTCCGTATGCTGCTTTCATTTCACTTTGTTTTAATCTGGAAATACCCGTGCTGCTGTGCTGTACTTGGTTACAGACCCACGGGCATTTTGCTGGTTGCTCTCTTGAGCTTTAATCCTCTCCTGGCCCATCCCAGAAAGGATGCTGAATGCAGGGAGCAAACAAACAACAGCACAGAGAACAAAAACACCTGAAATACTCTTTGGTTTTGGTTGGGTTTTTCTTGTTTTGTTTCTCGTGTCCCTCCCAGGCACCTCTAAAGAAATGTGGAGGTGACAGTAGGAGACGCCTCCTTAGCAAGTGTTAATGAAAGAACCCTTAACCTGCGACTCTGGAGGCACTAGGGCTGTTCTATAGAAATCAAGTGCAGGTTTAAATTTAAGATTAAATGTGCCACTATTTCTTTGTCCAAAGAGGATCCTTGTAACTGTAGAGATAATGGAACGGAGGCGTGGAAGCAGAGCCCTGCGCACTGCTGTGCGTGGATGGCAGCACGGAGGGAGCGGTGCTTTGGAGAAGAAATGTGCTGAAAGGTTTTTTACCTCTGTTGGTTCCCAAGTTTGATTCCACCTGTTGCATAACACTGAATCCCTGGCTGGGTCTGTACACAGCCACTCAAGTAGAAAAAAAAATGTACTTCTTGCATGAGTAATAAAAGTCTTTTGAACGATGCATAAACAGTTTTCTGGTTCTGCCGGAGCCCTCTGCCAATTAGTCAGAGTGCAGCTGATGAATCATGAGACGCAGTCTGTGAAATGTTCAAAAATTTGGACCCTGCTAAATGTTCCTGAAAGCCACCGAGCCCCCCGCAGCTGCTGGAGCAGTGGTTGGCGGCCAGCTCTGCAGAGCTGTGTTGGCAGTCCAGTTCTTTTTGTTGAACTGTAGCTTTCATTTGGAGGTAAATTCGTGTTACCATCTGCAAAGCAACAGTGAGGTTGACTTTTGATAGCTTTATGCTAAAATGATTTTCTGCTTTTTAATGAGGTGCCGTGAGGTGAGTGGCACTCAGTAGTTCTTGTGCAGAAATCTGGAGATCCTCAGGCATTTCCTAACTTCTCTTGTTTGAAATGCCAGAACAGAAGGTTGTTTTTTACAGTCTAGATTTGGAGTTGCAGGGAACAACACTTTGATTCCGTGCTTCACTGAACTGCCAAAGGCAGCCTGATGGCACCTGAAGTTCAGTCTATAGAATGGCTGAGTCTCTGAGTGTCACGGTCTGACTCATTGCTGGTAAACTGTAGATGGTGGTAGAAAGTAGCAGGTATTTATTTTATTGCAGGGGAAGTGAGAAATCTGTCATTTGGCATTATTCCATATTTCCTAGCTATGCTTCAGGTCAACAGCACAAATGTTTCTCATGTTTTGTGTTACATCCCCCACTGTACCTGAAACTGTGCAGTGTTTGATCACTTACATCATCCACTGCTTCCATTTGTATCAGTTCTGTTTTGGAAGCGTCCATTTTAACTGTGTAGCAAAGAAAATTAAATTTTGGTCATCAGATGGAAAGGGCAGATTCTTAACAGGTAACTAAAGCCTGGGCTGCAGCAGTAACCTCGAAACATGCAGACACAGTGCCAGTAAACAGTATGTTGTGCTATTGGGGCATACATCTCTGCAGCTTGTAGTGAAAACCTTCCTAGAAGCTGGTGCTCAGACGTAAGCCCTGAGTCCATCGTAGTGCAGTACCAGGTTCTGCGTTCAGTGCACAGCTCTGGGAGGCACTGATAAAAACAGAACGATGGATTAATTGGCAGGCTCTGCTCATTTCCTCAGGGATGCTTTCCCTGGGGATGCCCATTCGCAGAGCTGTGGGTTGTTGTCAGCAGCAGCTCTGTATGCCTGGGCTGTGATGCCAGCACTTATGTGCCTTTGTGGAACACAGAGCTGCCATTTGTGAGGTTTTGAAATTCATGACCCCTGTTTTTACCATCCAAGCTCTAAAGAAGTTCTTTTCCAAACGCTCTGAAAACTGTGCAATAGATGTCAGTGCTTTTGTTATTTTTAATCTGTGTTCTGTAGCCCACCTCTAGTAGTAATTTACATCTGCAATCTTCCCCATTCTCATGCGTGCATGGAAAACAACTGGAATGTTCTTTACTTTTAGAATGTGAATCATCTGAGTGATATGAACATTGTTTTCAGTCGTGATGGCATTCTCCATCTGCTGGGTCATTCCATATCTCTGTAGCAAGACATTCATAGCTTTTTGCTTACTTTAAGAACATTTATTTGTAGAGTTCTTGCCATCAATCACTTTTATTCACCTCTCCTTCCAACTAACATTAATATAACTCAAGGTTCTTCATTCCCCCTTTTTTGTTGTAGTTTTTCTTGGTGGTTTAGTTTGTTGATGAACTTCTTTCCTGCTCTTTGCTGAGGCATTTGTTTGCAGATGTTTTCAGCTGTCTGTCAGCACAGGAGCAAAATACTGAGATAGGTGATACAACCTCAGTTCGGAGAATATCTGGAATTTCTCTCTGTGTGTCAGTTTGCATTACGAGATCCACAGCTCTGTCAGAGTGCTTATAAATACTGCATATCTTCAGCTGGTGTTTTTGAGACTCATAAGTCATCGATCTTTAATTGCCCGCGAGATGTGGATAACAAGGAACCAGCTCACCTGGCACTGAACTTGCCCCATCTTGCACTCTACATGCTGGTGATTTTTTTAGTGTTTTATTTTGTCACTCAGTGCACGAGCTGCATGGCTGAGAGCTGGTTGCAGTTTAGGGTGGATTGAGGCTCATAAGATGCCAGTCCCCAGAAATCTTTCCTGAAAGGGGAGATGTTTATGTGATTTGAAGGGAAGCTGGTGTGGTCTGTCATCCACAGCAGCAATGTGTGCCATAGGAGCATCTCGTTGTGTTAATGGAGGGGCAGCCTGAGCAGCAGCCTTCTTCCTTCCTCCAGAATGAGCCTGCTATCTCTACAGCCCCGGGCACCAGAACTCTGTTCTGGCAAAACTCATTCTTTTTGCATTCTTTTTGGGTGGATGTGCTTATGAATATTTCTGCGGTCAAAAGAAAATTGAACCATTATTTTTGAGATGAGATTCACAGAATGGGGAATATATTTTCTGTCTTCTCAAAGGAGCAGGCTTCTCATTTTGATTTTGTTGCGTGGCAGATTGTCTTCTAAATCACCTCCTTTCTTACTCACCAGCCCATCCCTTAGAAGAATTATCCAAACTTTATCAAGTCCAAACTTGGACCAACAGCAGTGTTAATGCTAAGCATCACAGTGCCCTCGTTGTGTAAGCTGTGCGTACAGTACGAGAAGTAGTCATTGGCTTTGCAAAGGCATTTTGCCATAGGGTGTTACTGATGCATTATACCAGTAACTGCCACCTCAGTTCTGCTGGCAGTTATTGCAAGACTTGATGACTAACAGTGGAGATGCTGTTAAACTAACATTCTTTGGAGTCTTTTAGATGTTGACTCTGTCTGCCTCACTGAAAACCTGGTTTGAAAGAAGAGCAATGGAGCGCTAAAGAAAAGATACTCCAGTGGAGAAAATGTTGCAAATTATGTTGCCTGCTATTATGAAATCTAGTCTTGATAATCCAACTAAATTGAGCAATCCACAGAAAAATTTATTCCCATGTAAAATACAGAAATATTATCTTTGTGAGAAAAAAAATTTTGCATCCTGAATTTTATTGCATTATTCTCTAGAGATTATTTTGGGTTTTAGTGTAGAACATTTTCCAGACAGCTCATAATCCATCTTAATCTAATTAATAAGAAATTATGTTAAATTTTATTGTCCACTAAAAGTGAAAATAAACCAAACCCTTGCATGTCAAGGTACTGGAGCTGTTTGTGCAGAACCTGCAGGCAATGAAAAGTCCTTGGGATATTTTGTGTGGGGGCAGCCTTGTCAGTGGTGGAGAGTGTTGGGTTGCTCACAAGGTGGTGGAGTTCTGCTCATAGGGTGTTCAGTGCTCCTGTGTATAAGGAGCATGAAAACTACAGTAGCTGGTTATTCCAAGAACTCACACTAATTTATTTATACACTCATTGCAGTGTTCTGCTTTCAGATATAATCTCTGCATCCTTCCAGAATCATAAAATGCTTTCATGTTTTGTGTAAATCTGACAATTTTTCTTGAAGTAACACAGGGAAAAAAAACCCAACAAGAAAGCTGTTACCAACCAGAATGTTCTGAATGTGTCAGTTGATGAAACACAGCATATTTTTATCATGTCAAACGCATTTCTCTTTTGTTACAGTGTTCATTTTTGCCTAAGTTCTCCATTCACATAGAGACAAAGTATGAGGACAACAAAGGAAGCAATGACAGCGTAAGTAGGATGACTTCTGCAAAATTAAATGTAATTCTTCTAGGTAATCACGGTCCGTCTCTGGGCATTTCAGTCGGAGAAAGAGGCCTTCTCAGGTTTGTATCTTCACTCCTAGCTGGGTGTGCTGTTGGTGAGCAACTTGTCAGCTCGGGAGGTGGTTACCTACAGCACCACGATGGAAGATTCATGCACACAGCTTTCTTTCTGTGTCTGCCTGTTATTTTTCTGAACACAATGTAATCTATGTATGTCACTTCGGCTCCTGTGAACATTAGTGGTAAAGGAAGGAAATATTTCTTTATTTTGTTCCTGTTTTAAGTTGTGTTCTAGTTCATCCATTTCACAGTATGTTCTGTCTACCTGAGCAAAGGGGGTTGAATTTGCAAGAGCTGGTATGAGGAGCAAGCAGGAAACTTAACGATCAGACAGGAAAAATCTCAACAAAGCAACATCAGGGACCAACATTGAGGTGATGTGTTGGCAAGTTAGGAAGTTCTCAGAATGAGAGCTTAGAAATGGAAAGGATAATTAAGTACAGAACTGTAGGAGAAGGGTGAGAATGAGTAACCAGCAGCTGCTGGGCAGGAATGCAGAGTGGGAATAAGAGAAGAGGGCACTCAGAGTTTGTTTGGTTCTCTGACAGGGAGCAAAGCAGGGTCAACTTGCAAGAAAAGAATAAAGTTAGATACAGCTGGATGAATAGACAAATACATTCTTGTGTGTTTGATTTTGGCATGCCTTAAACAACCATTTGTTGCAGACTTGTGGGAAGAAGCTTGTAAGTGTGAAATACTGTTTGAAATATCTGAAAAATTGGTCTGTAACAGCGGCCTGATGAAGGAGTGCTTCAAAGTCAGTAGAGCAGATTTTAAAGGGATCTGAGGCACAGGCACTTTTTGTGTCCAGAGATGAACCTTAGTAAAGCTGCTCAAGGGACAAATGTTGTGCTTTCCAGCTCCCAACTGCCTTGGGCCCCTGTTAGCAAAGCTGACATCTCTTGCACTGCTTATGGCAGCACAGTTATGTGTAAAAGAACAAGATATAATTTTAGAATAGAATTATTCAGTTGGAAGGGATCTACAAAGGCCATCAAGTGCAATTATCCAACCACTTCAGGTGTACCCAGGACTTAAAGTGTATTATGAGGAGTGCAATCCAGATGCCTCTGGCGCACTGTCTGACATTGGGGAATAGACCTCCTGACTAGGAAGTCTTTGAGCAATCTCATAATAAGTAATTTTTTAATGAGTACCTGATCTGCACCTACTTTGAATTACAGTTTGAATAACGTTTTGGCATACAGAAGCTTTCCCAATGATAACACAGATCACAGCCACCAGATACCAACTACTTGCAGTCACTGCTAGTGTGGGCCAGGTTGAGATCAGTGAGAGGGGGAGAGAAAAGAAAAAAATGTGTTACATTACGAACTATGTGAGCTTTGCATTATGTAATTTATGCACTTTTTAATCTTCACTTCTACTTTTTGGCAGCCCTTTTTAATTCAAAGCAAGCCCACACCTTTGGTTTCAGGAGGGTTTAGATTACTGTTCTGGTACATTATAATATCAGCAGTGAGAAGACACATTCTGTACTGATGCCTGACAGGAAGAACTGAAGCTGTTTAACCAGGGAAGTTTCAGATTTTTTTTAGTGTGTCAGTTTTGTAGCTAAAATACTATGATTCAAGTCCTGAATAGTCCCAGCCAGTGAATTTAAGAAGAAATTTGCACAGAAATAGCATGCTCAGATCATGTAAATGAAAAAGTATCTGTTCTTTGAATTCAGCTCTTCAAAATGTAGTCGTTACCAGAGTACCAAAGGAGTGATGTTAAATCACATTTATGACCTGAGTCACAGCCTAGGCGAATACCTGCCAAGATGAGCTGCTTTCATTGACCTTTACTGAAGTGAGGTGGTGGAAAAAGTCTGAGGACTGTATTCCAGCCCTCATTTCCATGACTTCTAATGCCCATAGCTATGTTATGCATTGGTGTGAACACAACACACCAATCTACAAATGATCTACGTATTTTTCTGTTGATCCAGTGACATTTATCTGCTGGTGCAGATGTGGTTGGTACAGTGCTGAGGTGCTGGAAGATTTGTAAATACAGAGACCTTGCTGAGCCCCTTGGAGCCTGTGGGCTTAAGAAGATGCAGTGTGTACCTTTCTTTCATATCAGACAAGTTTAGATTGGATTTCACTATGTCTGACCTGTCAGAAAGCAACAGGGAAATGCAATACAAAGACCCACAGTGTGTCTACAGAAATGGACACTGCAACTATCAGTCTTGGCTGGTAAACAAAGAATCAAAACAGTACGTCTGTAAATTTTGCAGTTGCAGTGCAAAATGTGGTGAATGAACTTAATGGGGGTGATGTGGGTCTGATTGGAACTAAACATTGACTGGGGGTTTTTGATCATGCAGGTTTTTTTAAATCTTTGAATTCTGATTTTTCTTCATTTCCAAGGTATCTAATAAAGTAGATATTGATTGTAGAAAGCAATCATTAGGTATAAGGATACTAAAGCTAATTATATTGATTAGTAGAAGAAAGTAATACAAATGTTCTCAGTTTGCTGTTGTCCTTTGGGAGGCTATGATATTATTATTTTATTTAATACGCTGCATTGTCTGGTAAGATTCTACCTAATTACTGCAATATATCTTGATGCAAATGCCCTCCTGATTTTTCTTCCCAGCTGTCTTGATAGAAGAAACTCAGGGAAGACGATGCCTGCTTTGTAACTTGATTTTTGTCTTGAATTTTGACATCATTTGAAGCTATTCCCTGTGCTCTGTAAGCTCCATCATTTTGATCTGTTACGTTTTGCACGTTGCTAAAAAGAGCAGTGGACAATAAAACCCTTTACTTAGATGAAGCATCAGTGACTGCATGACCAGTCTGTAGTTCTCATGGACGTGCAGTGAAGGCATTGCTCTCCAAGCACATCACTGAAGCACAGCGACATTCCTGTTCCCTGCTTGTTGCAGAAGGTTCGTTATGCTTCATTGTTTGTGTTTCTTTAGTAACAGTTCTTTCTGCTGATACTTGGGCAATGAGTTTTGCCATCTGACGGTGTCTGAGGAAAGCAAGAAAGTACATTTGTAAAAATGATCCTGTTGTTGTCAGTAAGGGAAAACTTAAAGAGCCTTACTCTTTGTAGCATGAAATTTTGCTCTGAAAAATGGAGTGGCTGGTTCTTATTAAAAAAAATAATAACAGTTTGTCTTAAATTAGAGTCCTCCTGTTGTTAAAAAGGACGTGACATGTATTAGCAAGAATAACTTCCTTAGGGGTAGTAATTTTGTGGAGCAAATGTTTTGAGGTAGAGTTGTTCTTCAGAATGACAGTGTATGAGTATCAGTGGGCTGCATTCCTGGAAGCGTCTCAGTAATGCTGAAAAAGTCATCGGAGTTACAGCAGTAATTGTGTTGATGAAAATAGATCATCCATTTGTTTTTTGCCTTACAAAGATAAGCGTGGAAAACGTGTGTCTGAGTGACCACGTGCCAGATGGAAACAAGGGGCAGTTCTGCACTCCATGTAGCTGTAAATGAACACCAGCATCTCCTGACACAGTAATAGCTGAGCATGCTGCAAGCAGCGAGCTTACAGCTGGGATCACCTGGCGTGCCATCCCTGTGAACTGCAGTGCCATCATTCACTGTTAGGAAGTCACTTCTTGACAGCGAGTTCTAATTCTGCTGTCCTAGAAGTGAGCGATATTCAGTGTTAGTATGCTTCATCCTTAGTGCTTCTTTCTGAATGCTCTGAAACATTTCACTCAATCCATATATTTTTGTCTATTTTAAATAAATTTCTCTGCCAAAGAAGAAAAGCTGTATCTAGTTTGGCTCTGCTTAGGACGGTTTTTTTCCCCCATTTTTGTTTCCTATCTTAGTACCACAAAACTAGGTTATAGCAAACTTCAGTATAGCACGTGTAAATTAAATGCAAATTCACTGTTAAGGGCGCTGCCATGAAGCACCGAATGCAGCTGAAATGGGTTCTGCTGTGCCCTGGCTTAGGCTCACTGAACTGCAGGTCATCATCTGGAAATTTCACAGAGACCTTTTAGATATCAGTGCAGAATAGGTTGCAGTCAAAGCTGGGGTCATTTGAGGGGGTAATTTTATTTGTCTGGGCTTGTTCTCCATTATGGTACTGTGAATGTGTTTATCTCCTGTGTAGTTTGCAATGAAAACAAAACACAAAGTAGCTATGGCTGCTATGGTGCAATGATGTAAAACTGCATTTCTCCGTTCAAAAAGTACAAATCTAAATTAGATATTTTATAAAAGATGAAATAATGGAGGAGTCGTGACATGGAGATTAAAAAAACAAGCTGGGAGCACGGCTGCTTATAAATACAGAACTGCCTTTGTGAGTTCCTGACCGGCAGGCAGTGATATTCCCATGCTGTTCCATCAGCCAAATTTACTGCTGTCAGGGAGAGGTTCAGTCTTTTCCCATAGAAGAATTGCTCTCAGTTCTGTGTGCCACATGATGTTAGGCAGCAATGAGGTTGAAATGGGTCAATTTCAGTAATCCTTGCCAAAGTAAATTTCAAAAGCAAATTAATGGATTTTGGTACTGGGTTTTGAACAGAATTTACAGGAAAGTTACACACACACACACACAAGTAGACTGTTTATTATTATAACTATTTTAGGCCAAATTTTGCTTAAGAAATGAGAGCTAAGTGGACCAGGTGACAGCGGCTGCTCAAGGGTGCTGCATTGACAGATGGGATCCTTGCCAGTAGTTCTGGTGATGGCAATTTAAAGAGATCAGAATTTCAAGGGGGAGAGGAGCTTTGTGCCAGATTTTCCCTTTTTAAAGAGGAAAATATAGAAGCTTACTCTTGCAGTCCTTGCTGCAATTAAACTTATAACTATTCATAAACCATAAAAGCTAGATTTAAACCATCCTGTTAATGAGGAATAGAGATGTGTTCTGCTCACAGAAGGCACTTGCAAGTATTGAGGAATTGGTGAGGTGACAAGCTGCATGGATAGACTCCATTGCTGGGGTGGGCTAAAATAGAGAGAACGTTATGAACATTCTGAGAAATACCAATATCTGCATGAAAAAATATTTTCATTTCTTATGTAAATATTTAATGCAAATGCCTATATGCACCTAAGTTGGGGGAGCCTCCCAGCCACATGCTGGGTTTATTCCTTTCGTTTGGTTGGTTTTTTGAGCCGGATGACTTTGCAATTAATACAATAGTAAGAAAGTCAGGAGGCAAATCTAATGTAATTTTAAATTACAAAGCATAAAGGTACTGTTGTGCTTCTCGTGTCATATTCTGCTGTCCTGCTAGGATCTTCTACTGTCCAAATGTAGGCAAGCTGAGTTAAAGCATTGTTGGGATGGCTGTTGGCTTTGTTAGCAACACGACAGAATACAGAGGTAGAGAAGAATGCTTTCTAAGAGGGAATTTGATGTAGGATTGAAATTCACATCTCAGGAAGCTGCATTTACATGCTGTGTATTGAGCAATGCCATCACTTTGGCTTTGTTTGTGTGTAGATGGGTATGGGTGTCTGATGACATAGGACCTGGGATGATGATAATGTTTGCTACCACGTTATCTGCCTGTAATGCTTTTAGAAGTGCTCTGCTTTTTTAGAAGAAAACCCTTTAGCCATTACCCATTTGATTTCTCTGCCTTCACTGCATTTCTCAGCAGTGGCCAACTGCCTGGGTCTAACATAGCAAGCAAGAGGACGTAGAGATCTGTCACCCAAAACCTCATGAGAGATGGGAAAAGTATATTCCAGATAAAGGCACACCAGTTTTCAATCTCACAGCTGTAGAATACTGGGTTTTCTATACAGGCTGCTCTATCAGTTTCTTTTCTGATGACTTGTCTGTACTTCAGCGTTGACCTGTTTAACTGTTTCCACAGGAAATTTTCTGTCCTTTTCAATAGTGTTTAAAATGCAAATTCTCTGCCTTATTACAGTCTTCTGACCACAGCCTCCTTGTGTCTGAATTATAAGCAAAAATAAAAATAAAAATGTGCAGTGCACAGCATTCCAGCTGGTACCTTGTCTACTCTCAATGACAAAAAACAAAACCCATAACAAGAGAGAATCATACATTATGGAATAAAGCCAAGCCAAGCAAGCGCAGATTTGACCCTGGGAGTCCTAGCAGTGTAGATGAGGAGTTTGCCAGAGTGTCTGTAGGATGCAGCAGAGTCTGGCCTTCGCTATTTATAGTCTAGCCAGGTTAGCCGCAGTGATTGTCCATGAGAGTTAACTCTTGGATCAGCTGCATGTGAAGGAGATGGAAGCCATCCTGAAGATGAAAATAAGAAAAATAGCAATGGAGCTTGCAGGAAAATACATTGAATTTGCTGTTGATTTACCATCGTCTTACAACCTGGCTTTCTGTTCTGGCTTTGGCTGCAAGGCAAGGAGAAGTTACAGCGAAGTATGTGGTAGGACACGTTGTTGTAGGTAAAGAAATATAAATGCAGCAGCTCTTATTTGTTGCAGTGGCCTTGAGTGATCCTTCTTAGGATCATCTGCTAGTTTTTCAGGGGATGGGGTTGGTGTTTGTGTTTTGTTTTGTTTTAATTTTCCCCAAAAGGAACAACTTGACAGTTGCTGAGATGACCTGTTTAAGGTCTCTCTTCCACTTTTTGTCGTTCTGTAGGTGATTTAATCCAAACGGTGCTCTTCATTAGTTTTCATTCCTCTTAGGAAGTGGAAGCATGTAAGTGTTCTTCTGTTTTAAAGAAGCTGTCACAAACAAAAAAAACCAATCCACAACAGCCAAAAGGACTTCAGCCTGACTGTTTTTCATTTGATTGTGTATTTCAATCTCAGTTAATTATCTGGCTCCCAAATACAAAGCCTGTCCAATTTTTGCCCATACAATATTTAATATTCTGCCTTTCTTCATCATCATATTAGGGACACAGACTGTTCTCACCATTCATTTTCTGCACATTTGCAAATACAGTTGCACAGATTGGGAGCCTTATGCTTCTTTTCATGGCTTTTAATCTTCTCCCTTAAAACTTTTAAATTTCTCTACTTACTTTGATCACCAGCGCAATAAACCAATCCTCCCTGCAGGTTTTGAGAGAATCCCAGATTATGTGGCTCGGAGATGCAATAAGAGAATTACAGCTAAGAAAGAAATCAGTCGTGTTCTCTAATTACTTCTTATTTTCTACTGCTGATAGAATGAAAAGATTAAATCTGTCTGCAAATCTTGCAAGGACAATCTAAGAAAGGAAGAGGCACAAACGATTAGACAACAGCTTTTGCCAGCAAAGAGAAGTGAGTGTCATTCAGCAGACTTTCAGAATGGAGGACTTGGTCAGGGATGGCCTAAGCAGCAAATAAGGTGTAGCTGAAATAGCTGAAAAATTCCTCCTGATTTTGACAGATTGGCAAAGGCATCTGTCAGCTCCACTTCTGTCAAAGTGCCTTAAAGAGAGAAAAACGCTGTAGAACTGTATTAGGGGTGCAGTGTGTGGATCGAGCCTGCGATGGAGCAGGGCTCCAGGTGTCTTCAGGTGAGATGCTGGGCAACAGTTCCACTTTAGGACTTGCAAACGTGCGAAGTTATGCAGCTGCTTACAAGTTCTAGAGTTATTTCAGCTCTATCCTGATTCAGGGCTTATGCTGGCCGGTGATGCCCATTTAAGGGAAATTTCCATTATTTGAAGCTCAGCATACGGTGGAGTGCATCTTGGTTCAGAAATAGCTGAGCTGATTTCTGCAAGATACTGCTCCGTATATCTGAGTTCACTGAGGAAAAACAAGGAAGCACAAAGCAACTTACATACATGAGATGTAATGCCTATTTAAAGTAATTTAAAGTAATACCTCAGTACTATGAAAGAGCACTATGAAGGGAAAATGTTGCAGCTCAAACTTTGTTCCAATAACTTCATTTTTTTTGCAGAGCAAAGCAGGGCTTGGGGATGTAAAATAAGCATGCAGATAGAAGCAGTCCAGAGTTTCCCTTCATTCTGTTCTGCGGTTTCAAATATTCTAACATTTCATATCCAGTCCAGTAAGCATTCAGTGCTTGTTACATTTCAGTAGTGAAAGATGAAATCACTTTAATTACCAATTAGAACTGTAGAATCAAATTTTAGCTGTTCATTTATTTGAACAGTGATTTCCTGGGCAATACTCTTCTTACGGCTCGTACGCTGGTTTGTTTGAATGCTTTGTATGGGAGACTCTGTTGCTTTCAGAAGTACCAAAGAAGTGTTCTGGTTATTGCATGGGTGTTGGCATTTTGTATTTTTAACTGTTCCTCTAGGATGAAATGAAGTGTTCACTGCATTTATTTGAAAAAGAAAGGAAGAATATAATATTTATGCTTCCAGAAACACAAGTTAAAGAACATTGTGCCCCAAAGGGAAAAACACAGTATTAGCCTGGTACTGACAGCGTACGCAACTTCCCTGAATTCTGTGGCACTGATTCCTGATGGTCTTTTAACTAGTCAGTATTTCCAAGTCCCAGAATCCTGAGTGGAAATGTACTGCACACAAAGCATACGTCTCATGGGTCACCAGTGTACCTGAATAATTAAATTATGGACAGAGGCACAGAACTGTTCTGTGCTGCAGATGCAAGTGCCTAGTATTTCCAAAATGTATGGTGCTGATCGTGCCTAGAAACACATTACTTATGCATGAGTTTGATAACATCCATTTTCTTCCCTTTGCCTGCTTGCACGTGCTGTGTGCCTGTGATGGCTGCAGAAAGTAACTGTGTCCACACAAACATTGTAGTGTTTTATTCCAGCATCTGTGCAAGTGGAAATCAAAGCGTTCTGTTGCACAGGTTACTGAAGGAGGCTTACGGCCGTTGTTCCAGGTGGATTTTCTGACTGTGCTCTGTTAGTGTTACGTTTCTTTCACTCTTGCAGATTTTTGACAATGAAGCTAAAGATCTGGAACGAGAAGTCTGCTTCATTGATATTGCCAGTGATGAAATTCCTGAGCGCTATTACAAGGAATCAGAGGTAAGAGACAAAGTGAAGGAATGTTCAGAGCTGCAGTAAAGCCTTGATTGGAGTCAAAACAGTTTTATTTTGATGTGAAATTTCCATGGTCGGTATTTTAGAAGCTTTTGATTGGATGGGAAGCTGGTAGCAAACTCTCAGTCTAGGCTGCTTGGCTCTTTGATTTACAGATCTTCAGATGACTTCTCAACCTCTTGAATGCTTTTGTATCCTGGTCGATTTGTGACCAGTACCAAACCTTTTTGTGCACAGCGGAATAGGATTTTTCTTTAAATTGTGAGGCTCACTAAAGTGTTTGCAGCTCTGAGAAGTTTTAAACATTACTGGTTTCCTAATTTGCTTTCCACCCCAAAGTAATGCCCCGTGAAGTGTCTGAGCCCCAAGCAAAGAGCAGACATGCAGGGAGAGTAGGGTTGATGCACATTGCTCAGGGGCAACTGTGACATGAGACCAGGAGGGACTGAAGCACACTGCATAATGGAGTGAGCCTGCTAAAAAGCATCAGTGGCAAACCAGCACGTTCGCTCACTTAAAATTCCCCTGAAAATTGCTCTTGTGTACATTTGACAGACTGCTTCTTTTAGGTCAATGCAATTAACTGTTCTGAAATCAGTAACAACCATGCCAATGGAGATGAGATCTCAGTGTTTTAATATCAGTGCTGGAAAATGGTGGTTCAGAACAAGTAACTGGAGAGAAAAGATCAGATCTCTGCTTGCATTTCATTTTGGAGGCACGGTTTGCCTCTGAAGCCAAGTACATATTCATAGCTGGCAACGAGTGTGGCAGCTGTTTGACTATACAATGTGAGATTACACAGTCATTTTTAGGTTAGAAAATGAAGACTTGCCAAAGAGTATGTTTCTATGCCATAGGAGCCATGCTTTTCAGACAAAAATAGTTGGGTACGTGTTATCTTCTATTTATAGGTCCCACTGCAGATTTTAAGTCCTGGTCATAAAAGAAAATTGGGTCTACAGTAGAATGAGAAGTAATTTTATTAGTTTTCTTGGATTATAAAACCCATCTGTTACGTACCCCAAATTATGTAACACCTCGTGAACCAGCTTATTGGTCCCATCATCTCATCTGAACTCCCTGGTCTGCTGGTTCTGTTCAGGAATGACTGCCTGCCACTGAAAACATCAGCATTTGACTCTGTTTTAAAGAAATCATGTCAGATTTTTCACCTCAGCGTGTGCACTTTTACACGTTGCAAATAGGAAGGTAACATCCAGCTTTTCAGCTTTCCTCTCTTTAGTAGCCAAGTATTAAACCTTATTTTCGTATGATGTATCTAATGATGTAGAAAAACAGCTTCAGTGGGAGAAAAGAATTCTAGTCTGTGTTGTACTTCAGAGACAAATTCAGAGACCTTATTCCAAGCAAAATGGAATTTTCTGTATGATTTTAAACAGCAAAAATAGACCAGCATCTGTTGTTTTCTCTGTACCCATGGCTTCCAAATTCTGTTTCAGAATTCATATTTCATACAAAGAGATGAAATCACCTCAGCCTTTAACTGTGTACTGAACTAATGGTAGCTGCATTCCGAATCTTGTGACGTTTACTAACTGTACTTTATATTGCCATTTGATGAACATGAAGCCAAATTCCCTTTTCTCTGAGGTCTTTTACATAATTTAGGGACTGTAAGAAGGTCTTTAATTATTTTAAATGTCATTTCTGTCTGTTTTTAATCAGAGCAGTATTAAAAAAGTAACTCTATGTAAATGAGAAATGCTCTGTATTTTCCAAATAACAGTTTCAGAGATAACTAAAAAGTATTTTAATTACACTAATAACAATAATTTGGCTGGTTCTGCATGATTTAATCTGAATTGATATGTTAAAGATTAAATGTGGAGTACAATCCTCAGGATTTAAGAATTAGATCCCACTGGATAAATGTTGTGATTCTAATCCAGAAAGACCAATGAGGATGGTTTTAACTTCAGGCATGGTAGTAATCTCTTCATTACAGTGGCTCTTTCACATGCTTAAAATTAAGCAAGTCTGTATCAGGGTCAGCATCCTTAGCACCTTCTAGAAATAAGCTCTGAATTTATTTTATGTCCTGTTACTGCAGGAGGTTCATGAGATGTCCAAGGGACACCTAGCATCACACTGCATAGCCAAAGATGGAGTTAATGGAGGCTTAATAGGGGTTGCTGTTGCATTAAGGAATACTTTAAAGGAACCTCTGCTGCTAGTCCTCAGTAATATCTTGACCAGAATCATCTGAGTGATTTGATTCCCTTAGGAATGGAGGGTTTTTCCATCAGTGCCTGCACCAAAGGGCTGAAATCGACAGGTGAACGATGATATGGAGGGCAGTTTGTTAGCAGTTACAAACAGGCAGAGTCCTGTTCTGTCATCTATGGAGGCAGACTGACTTCAGCTGCCAGAAGTGTTGTCCTTTTGGAAGACTGGAGGAGGTATGACTGAACTGATCTAGATATCCCAAAGCAGATGACTTAATGACTATCTATAAACTTAATCACTAAGTTACAGCCAAAGTCCTTACCACTTCTCCCACATCTTAAATACAGCTTTTTTTTGGTGACCGTGGCCCTAAAATCCTGGAAAGTTTTAAGGTGTTTAGAAGTCAAGTTTCCAAATCTGCATGTACATGGCTGCATTGAGTACAGAATTGTGTATGTCTTTATAAAGAATGAACAAGCTTACAGGTAGGAGGATCTGTCTTATTTCCTTGTGACTTCAACATCAGTGAATAAGTATCACCAGCTATCACATATTCCCCATATACGCCTATGTGTTTATCTGAATTATAGAAAAGAAAAATCTGAGCTTTGCTGAGGGGTGAGAGAGGGCCTCAAGTGAATCATTCGCCGAAATGAAACTTCTCCTGTAGACATAAGATACTGAGCAATGTGTTCTTTGCCAGTTCTGAGAACTTGAATGTAGGAGCAGTGTTTCATTTCCCGTTTATAACAAAACAGTTGAGCATTGGACACTCGCAATAAACACCTTTAGTTACCTGCAAATAAAAAGATTTCATACAGCTGCTGCAGTTTTCTTCCTCAGTTGCTGACTTCTTTGACTTTAACTGCACTGCAGTGGGTCCTGCTTACTCCTCTCCAGTGCTTTGTGGATAACAAAGTTTGTCATGTCGCTCATCAGAAAATTGTGATAGCTGATACGATGCAGATGCTGCAGTCCCCACTGTGAGTAACATTTCAGTGCTGCAGTTCAGCACGGGACACAAACAAAATGAAGGAAAATGCTCTTTTACTGACTAACTTCAGTTGTGAGCTCACAGAAAGGCTGACTGGATTATCATATTTTAGCATCAGAACCGTCCTGGTAATCACAGTTCTGAAGGATTTGCTGTTTCTCGCAGAAAACATCTTTTTATGGAAATCAAGAAAACGTATTTAAAAAGTGGCTCCTCACCAATCTCTGCAGGAGTGTCTTTACATCAGCACATCTTTCTGGAGCACTAAGCTGCGTAAGCTGAAATCCAAACCCTGACCGCTGTAGCTGGGTGGTGAAGTGCCAGATCACATGTATTAAAATCATGAAGGAATGGTTCTGAAATTCAAGATCAAACAAAATCATCGTCTGCTTAAAGTGGGGAAATAAAGAGGGACTGAACTTTGAAAGTATTTTAGTGGAATATTTTGTGATAGGTCTCTGGAAAAAAAATGAATCTGTGTCTGGGGTCTTCAAATCACGATGCTGATGTCTCAGCGTTAATGACAAGTATACTCATTAAGATTTTGGAGTTATATTCCTATAAGCAACAAATTTAAGTATATAGCCATAAGAAACAAATAAGATTTCAGCTGTAAGCCTGAAAAGGCATTACCACAAGCCAGTGCCACATCTCCACATTAGTTTGCCTCTGGAAAACAGGTTACAGTCCCACATCTGCTGCCCATGACATCTGCAGTTCCCAAGGTGCTCCGAGTAAATAAATGCTAAATACAAAATAATGGAATCCCAGCAGTCAGTGTGCTGTCACAGACTGCCAGGCGAGGCCTCAGTAAGAAGCACTGGGAAAGTGCTGCGTTTGAAGCCATGCCCATCACGCTGTGGCTTTTATTTTATTTCACTGTAGTTGTGTTTTATTCTCAAATAAGCCCAGCTCACAGGTGATGCTGTTTCTGCTCTGTTAGCAGAAGTGCTGTTTTTAAATCTCTCTGCACCTGGCAATAATGCATTGCAAATACAGAGTAGGGTTTGCCCCTCTTCAGCAAAAGGATTTGCCAGATGGGCTTTCCTAATAAACTGGGTCTGATAAAAGCACAGGAAGGTTATTTAAACAAAAAGATTTTTGCTATGCCATTACATTTAAAACAGATTGAGGATTTTACTAGTAGACAAAATGAGAGAAAAGAAGTGAATTGAGGCTATTTGGGTGCTTTTTTTTTTTTTTTTTTTAAGAAGAAAGGTTTCTTTGCTGTAAATCTTAACCTAACACTGCAAAGCAATGAGTTAGGCACGTAAAATCATTCCAGGTCCAAGTTTTCAATGAAATCAGATAATGAACATCATAAGGTTAGCAGTCCTGGTCACATCAAAGCTCTTTGTGGCTTGGGATGTGCAGAGGTCCAGGAAGGGTATAAACATAAGTAAATATGTAGAAATTCTTCCCCTGAATACTTTCTTGTATGAACCATAGCATCACAAATTTCTGGGCCAGAATTTGTGTCTTTCTGTAGTACTCTGAGACTGCTTTTAAGCACTTCATTTTTTAGCATCTGGGTTAAAAGGCCATTTGTGTTAGTTTTACTTATGATGGCTCTCCTCTGCAAAACAATTGTGTCCTTTGAGCAAATGGCCAAGAGATCAGACTCTGCAGTTCCCTCTGCGTAATGTGGCCACGTATCTCACGCTGTGCTGCTCAGCCTGACCCATCCTTACGTGCAGCTCCCACTGAATTGAGTTGTAGCTCACGTGAGCAAGCTCTCAGTGAAATCCTTAACGTCTTGGACTTGCATACAACTGTCTGCAAATCTATTTCTGTGAATTCTTTTCTTTTTTTTTTCTTTTTTTTCTGGCTTTCGTTCATCTGTTTGCAGTTTTTTCGTACCAATATCTTAATGTTTTCTGAAAGACAGGAATTTCCATTAAAGCTATTAGATACAAGTTCAGACTGTCCATGGCTGCCTGCCTCTTTGCCTGAAACTGTCCAGCCAGTTTGTGACTGTACAGCATGTCCTTCTAGAAAAATGGATGTGATTAAGGGAAGTAAAGGTGCCATCTCTGTGCACTCTTAAAAGGATCTGGAACTCAAAGTGATACCGTGGATGGACTGCATTGCAGTAATTGGATTGTTTGGAGATCGCCAACCAAAGAAGGATTTCCATTATGAATCCATTTGTCAGCTGTGTTAGCTTTATAAAAAAGAAAGAAAGAAAAACAGAAATTCCTTTTTTTGTAGCCACCCCGAGGGTGCTTGCAGCTGAACACGACACAGATGTTGTGCACAGCTCTGCAGTCCCATGGGGTCGCTGTTTGTTGTTGAACTTTTATCTATAAATTTTGGAAAACCGGTATTGACTCAAATTCGTTGCTTCAATCCCTTGGGACTGCGCTGGAGTTGTTCCATTGTGGCTCTGGTTATCATAGAAGGGTTACAGGGTATCCCTGCACAACACTCAGTGTTATTAAAGGTGTATCCAAAGTGCTTAATCAGTACAGTGGCATCATCACTGCAGTACTGTGTATGTAAGAAGCAGCAGATCCTTACCTACTATTTCCTTTTGATTTTCCTTTTTATGAAGCAATGCCTATTTTACTCTGTAATATTTAGCAGAAATATTTTAAATGAGGCTTTCTGCAATCTATTTCTTTATTCATGGAACCATTTGGAAGAATTTTGCATCTTAGTTCTTCCCTTTTTATTTTTTCTTTCTGTTATTATTACTATGTTGCTTGCTTCAGGCAGTAATCAGCTATAAAACAGCCCTTTCAACCAGAAAATATCTAGATCAATCTGAGGTCAAGCTTTATTGAGTGAGAAGAATGGCAACAGCATGTGACTATGAGTTGTGATATACAGAGGTATGTTGCTATGATATATGATGACGCTGAATTGTTTTTTATGGTAATTTAACATTGAAGCCCTATTAGAGTTCAAGTTTAAAGTTTCTATTTAGAAAAGAACGTGTCAGCAATAAAAGCAATGTCTTTCACAGAGAAAGAAGCCTGTCACCTCGTTAGAACTTTTAGAGGAGCTTTAATGACTGAGCTGCAGTTTATGGAATAGAACAGAAGCAAACTGTGCACATTGTTAGAAGGAGTGGTGCTGGTTGATGTGTAAGATCAAACTGCATGGAACATTTTTTTGTTGCTCACCTATTATCTTCCATTGAGCTCCTCGTTTAAGTACACACTTAGATAATTGCTCTTCTAGCACAGGATGAATGTGAAAGGTTTTCTCAGGTCTCAGCTTTGGGCAGGACAATGCAGATGAGTACTGGTGCTTATTCTCAATGGCACATTTGAGAAGCTGCACTATAAATTTGCAGAAATTTCACTATCTTCAAGTTCTTCTGAAAATCATTATTTGTGTGTACATTACTTCAGTTTTCAAAATTATGGTAGCAGGAATGGACATAAGGGAAGTGCAGTGGAACCATAAGGGTATGGAAAACAGCATTTTCATAGTAAAAACTTCATCCTGTCTGAATAGAAGCAAGCCTTACTGAACTGCTATCCTTACTGATTGCTTGTTTGATTCTTCTCTCAGTATTGTAATTTCAACACCAATTTGTTTGATTTTGCAATTAGTTAAAGAGAAACAGTGTTGAAATTAGGTCTATAGTGTTTTGCCCAGACATTCTGTATCTCAGCTGTAAATGGCAGTGGCTGAATCAGAGGAGTTTTGTGCTTTACCGGTCACCTGGATCTGCAGTATCACATAAAACTGCCAACAGGTCTGATCAGCCATGGTCCCGTCCTGTGCTTTGGTGTGTCAGAGCTTAAACTAGACATGATTTCATGAAGGCAGGCAGGTCGCACTGGGGGAGCAGTGTTGAAACAGGTTCCAAAGAAGTAGTGTTGTTTCCAAAGGCCATAAATAACACTTGGAGTGCAGTGCTTTGCAATGACTTGCAAGAACATGTTTTCCTGTAGCAGAAGATGTCCCAGATCAAATGAGCTTCAAAATATCTTCCAAGAGTGCCATCAAATTACTGGATGTTGAATTGAAGAAAGGATTTGATCTTGTTATATCCTCATGCTTATTTGGGTCAATTTTATATTAGTTTTTCATTATATTTATTAGCATGTTTTTGTATTTTATCTTACCAAAACACTTCAGCAACCTGGCAAGCAGGGCTTACTCTCCAGGATCTCTGAATGTGTTTTCTTTGTTTTGCAGGATCCTAAATATTTCAAGTCACAGAAGACTGGGAGAGGCCAGTTAAAAGAAGGCTGGAGAGAGACCCATCAGCCCATTATGTGTTCCTACAAACTTGTGACTGTGAAATTTGAAGTTTGGGGACTTCAAACCAGGGTAGAACAATTTGTACACAAGGTGAGCGAAACAGGAGCTGTTTCTTATCCTTCACATAAGCAGAACTCGAGTTGTGCTGTGCAGGAATATAACTGTGTCTCTGCTGGAAGCAGCAAGCTCAGCTGGATCTTTTTCAAGGTCTGAAAGTAGAGCCGAAGTGTTCATCTCTGGGTAGAAACTTGACAAAGCCTGAAGTTGCTCAGGTCTAAGGCTGAGAAAAACTATCAGTAATGCTTTCAGTGCTGTGATCAATTTGAGCTCAGGTATTTGTAAGTATGCTGGAGTAACATTCAAGTAGCAGTGATGGACAGTGTTTGTCTTATAAACAGGTGGTGGGAGAGCTTTCCAGTCAGTTTAGTAAAAAAAAATAAATAAATAAAGGATTCATTAATAGCATGGCAGCCAAATTGTAATATTTTTCCTTCCACTCATTTAAAGAATGAACAAGGAAAAGGTTCCAATTTATTTGCCCAAAAATTATGGTATTCTGTACATAGCAAGTGGCTTCCCATGCTATTGATAGCCATGCTGATGTGATTCAGTGTTGGCAGTATTCCACTTGAAGTGGGAGATTGGACTGCAAGATCTTAGAGCCAATTACCTGACCCTCTACGGTGTCCCTTTTTTGGGATAAACCTGACAGTATATTTTTCACCTTAAATCTTGCTGAAAGGCAGCACTTTTCTAAAATGATCTGTTTTTGCAAAGGTATTTAACCGTTCCCTTGTTTCACAGGTGGTCAGAGATATACTCCTGATTGGTCACCGACAGGCTTTTGCCTGGGTTGATGAGTGGTATGGTAAGTATTTTGCAAATTAAATCCACTCGAAAGGGTGAGTGAGAATCTTTTCACAATTAAAAGCAGATTTCCATTTGTTTTCATAGACCATCAGGTCCCAATATAAGTTGTTCATTTAAGAACCTGAAGTAATTTCAGTTTTGCTGGAATATGCAGGGCTCATTGGCAGCAGGCTCTTCGTTAACAGGAGTAGGTTGTATGTTATGACAGCCAGTAGGCATCACACAGGATGCTGTTACAGCCCATGCAACTCAGAATGAAGACATCAGTCCAGTCATCCTGCGCTGTAGGCAGGTGGAATCTCTTGCTTCTGGCAGGATTCATCTATATGGAGAGCTGCTTGCAGACTTTATTAAAGCTTTTTAACTATTTCCTTACTCAAACTCCTAGGGCCTCTTCTCCAACACAACTTCAGCTTTTTAGGAAAGTTCTAAATTAATATGTACTGCAATAAAGAGAAGACAGAACTCTAACGTCCTTTGTGACAAATAAATATAAATGTAAAAACCACAAGGATTGGTTCAGCAGCAGCTGTTTGGGAAAACTGCATCCATGCACAGCTGTAGGAATGGATGTTTTCTGTAGTAGAGTAATTGCAGATACCAAAACAGATAACTGTTATATAGGTTGATGGGGCTTGTCCTTTGTACACTTATTTTCAGTAAGACATAGCCATAATCGTACATATTTCTATAACGTAAAACATCCCTCTTAGTATGTGATAGTTATTTGGGAATATGTTTAGAAAGCTTATTTAAACCCTCCATAAGCTTCTGGAAATGATTTTGAGCCATTTGTGTGTAAGAATGTTTCTGAGTTTGGATGAAGTTCAGAGCACGTCGTTCTGTGTTGCTCAGTACGACCAGTTGCCCCAGCTGGTGGAAGCACGGACGTCTCCAGTGACTTGATAAACCTGCAGAAGCACATCTTTTGAAATTATAGAATCAATTTATATGATTTTAGTGCTTCCTTCTCAGGTTATGTACAAAACATAAAAAATCTGGACTGAATAAAATAGATATGAATTTAGTTTAGGTAATTCTGTGCTGTCTGCAGCCTTTATACACTGCATTGTCAAAGGCATAACTCTGCCCTTACACCTCTTCACATCAAGAATAATAGGTGGTAAGAATTGCTGACTAGAAACCTAGTATTTCTGTACCCAAAATAAGTGAGGTCCTATTTATATGCAACCAGTGCAATTTAATACATATGAGGTGTGAAATTTTTATGGTGCTGTTCTTGACACGTTTATTTGTATGGAGAGAAATTTTCAAATATATTGTTTTTAAAGAGTCTGTGTGCCTTCAATGTGTCCATTATTATGTTTTTTAAATTAAAGTTTGAGGAAGACTGAGATGATGCAAGTCTGCTAAATCAAGAAACTGGTGTATTAAATTCAGTTATCAGACATAGGATGTACTGATATTACTGATTGATTACTCTTACTGCTACCCTAAGCATGAATGTGTTCTGCCATTTTACTAAATTGCTTTTAGCTTTATTATTAAGAAAATCTATTTTCAGAATGCTGCTTACTACTAAAAAGCATGTTCTCTGCTTGGCAAAATGCACTGTAGTACGTTATTTACATGGCTCGTAAGATTGTCTTTTGTTACAGGCAGTAGTAAAAGCAGTAGGTTAAAAAGGTGTTAGTTAAGGGTATTTCTTGTTTTGTTCAAAATTTTAGATTTGATTTTCAATGATAAATGCATGACAGCGTGCCATAACATAAAATACACCAAGAGCTGCGAATCACGTAACAAGAAGTGGTGTGATACAGAAATTCACAGATCCAGGTGACACATCATAAACGTGAGACAAATGATGGCCTTGAGAAGAAAAGCATGGTGTGCGTCACCAGCAGTGGTGTGCATTTCTGAGCAGGCTGTGCTATTAAAGTGGTATTTGAATGTGATTTATGAAAGATTGATGGCTAGTTTGATGAAGCCCTGAGATTACCAAATGATAGTAAAGAATGGATCGATACTCTGACAGCTTTCGTGTTCATTTACACCTTACTCTAAATACTGAGAAGAGTGAGGCCAAAAGTCAGCTAACTGGATCCTGTGTTTTTCCTACCAGTGTGATTTATGATAGCAAGCTGAGTTACATAGCAAGCATTCAAGGCCCTGCTCACTAGTTAGACAACATGAGGCATGCCTAGACAGAGGCAAATAGAATTAGGGCTACTTGTAAATACGTATAACTTTTAGACTGTGCTAAATGCCTTGAGACTACAAAATTATTAATGTATTCATTATTAATCCACTTATTAGCGTGATTAAGTATTAGCTCCTACAATCTGAGCTGATTTGTGTTCTAACAGTTTAAGTGCTGGTTTTAAGATATACTTGCAATCGTAATATAGAATATTTTAGAAAGTTCCTACAAAGGTAAGTAAATATTTATAATTCTTCTATCCTTTGTTGCAAGGGATCTTCTAAAAAGATTTTAGAAGATCTTGGCTTTTGCCAAGGCCTGCACTTGAATACTTTTTGCTTACCTTACATTGCACAGATTCTCCCAAACAATTTCCACTCCTTCCTGTTCTCTGGCTCCCTTTGACTTAACCTTCTTATACCTTCCTTGGCTGATCTAACTACCTTTATGAGTCACATTTCATAAAGCTAGTTGCTCCACGCTTTTATTTTTTAGATGCCTTTTGGTTTCTGCCGAAAGACTGTATTCCTTGCTCCTTCTTAAAAGATTAAGTTTGCATTTGAATTGGTGGAAAATGCCAACAATGTTGAACTTTTTACAGATATGACTATGGATGATGTTCGAGAATACGAGAAAAATATGCATGAAAAAACCAACATTAAAGTTTGCAACCAGCATTCATCTTCTGTGGATGAAATAGAGAGCCATGCCAAAGCAAGAGTATGTCAATTTTTAAAACATATTCCCATCCTCAACTGATAGATGCAGGGATCAGAGAATAGCAGCCAGCTGATCTTGCTGATCAGTCAGTGGAATTTCTGGGAGATTTTGCCTCGATCAGAACAGCATTCAGCATTGTACTCCCTGCAGTGCGATCAGACCTTTCTTCTGCATTGTAAATGGCCACTGAAGAAAGGGTGGGTTTGGGCTCATGTGCACCTGCTTATCTTCAGAGAAAACAAAATTATCCAATCTCAGTTGGATGCATAAGAGGTTGTTAAACATCCATTTTGCATTCTACTATTTGAATGGTTTAAAATGCAAAAGTTCAGAGTGCTTCAGTCAAAAAGCCAGGAACGTGGAGAGTGGAAAGGGTCTGTGAGACTGGTAATTTTTTGGTTGACCGGGAAAGAAAGTGAATGACTCGTTGACTGACTAATTTAATGTCATCACTAACCAGCTACCAACAAGGTTAGAGGCAGCACTTTTCAGAAGTGTATACCTGCAGTCTGTGCAGAAGAGTGGATTTCTGTACAGGTGCTCTGATTCAGATTGTGGAAACTGTAAGAAGCTGTGTTCCTCATTTAGGCACTTCAAGCAGATGCCTAAAATTGAAAAACATTAGTGTCTGCAAATAGAAAAGGTGTGGTAATATTTGCTTCTAAAGATATTATTCTTTTGCTTCTACTGACTGAGCTGTAGAACACAGCAATGGTTTTACTCAAATAACAAGCATGGGGCAATGCCTGCTGTCCTAAATCCTTTGTTCTTAGTAAGAAGTCTCACCAGCCTGATACAAGGTTACCTGCAGCATAGACCGAGAGTCAGATTTGACTTTGGCTCTATGCTGCAGCATTTGCATTGAAGGAAATATGCCATTCTGAGTTCCCATGCAGCCAAATTACCATGGAGGTCAGGACAGAATTAGTCATTAAAGAAAAAAGAGACAGCAGGTGCATTTCCCACAGTCTGAACCTTTTTAGCTCAGGGTAAGTACTTGTTTTGCTTGAGTGTAAATCAGAACAGAGGAGATTTTAAAGTGAGTGTGAGCTAAAAAGTGAAATTTAGCTGAAGGGACAAAGAGTATTTCGTATCTGAATTTAAAATCAGCAGTCTTGGAGAATATTTTGTATTAAGACTTCCATCAGTCTTCACTTAAATGGACAGTAAACTGATAAATCTTCCTGTCCTGTTTCACTCTGATTCATTCAAGATAAGCTTTATTTTATTTTGTAGAGAACTCCTCAATCAAAAAGAACTGAGATAAATGCATGGTCTTCCTTCGATGTCAGAGTATTTTCAAACAGTTTGGGTTCAGAAAGACTGCACTCTGTTACAGAACAAAATGCAGTGAAATCAGCAGACCAGGTTCAAATCTGTCTCAAAGACAAGTAGGTGCAGTTCCTCTGAGACCATCTGTTTATTTCCACCACTTATCTCCGATTTGAAAATTGCTTAGTCCTCACCCCTGATAAGTGGCACAGCTCTGCAGGCTGAAAGGGTCCTTGAAGTGTAGTCTGCATCCAAGTGAGAAGGCAGCTGGCAGCTTGTGTGTTTTGTGTTTCATGTGCTGTTATACAACATAAAGCTTCTTCTGTGTAACATTTACAGCTAAGGCTACAGATGCCTGCTGCTGGGTAAGATTAAAAAGTTTCAATGTACTGAAAAGGTAGGATTTTGTCATACATATGGGAAGCACTGTTGCCAGTCCCATGTCTCAGACATCCAAAGGTGCCAGAATCTTAAGTTGATTGAAAAGCCATTATTTATATTTCTGGGTTTGTTTGTTTTGTTGTACTTCACAGAAAGCAAAGAATCTGTAAAATGGTTTATGGAAACCTGGATGGAACAGCCAAAGTGCAGTCTTGGAAAAGAATGCCATATACCAGGAGATTTATATAGTCATCAAATTGAAAACAGTGGAGAAGAAAGAAGAGAGGGGGGAAGCAGAAATGGCTTTTGTTATTTGAATATGAAGTGGTCGTTATCCATATCCTACCAAAGTCCCCCATGGGTTGGATCAAAAGTTCCTTTCTTACCCTGAACATCACCTGACTCTGCTGTCGTAGTGCCAGTGGGGCCAGGGAGCAGCAGAACTATCTGACATGTATTCAAAAAAATAAACAGAATTATCAGCTGACTGTTTTTTTAATCACATCTCCCAAAGATTTGTTGGGATTAATAGAATAATTGCACAGAGAGAACTTAGAAGAGATTTTACTGGACATCCTCTCATGTGTTGTTTTTTCCTCTTTGGTGGCAGTCAGCTATTTCAACTGGTATTTATCAGATACTGGGTTTTGCTCTGTTCTGTTTGGGTGGATCTGAATATGCTGAATTTCATTCTGTGAATCCTTCAAACACAGATTTACCAAAACGTTCTTTGAAAACCTTAAAATGTATTTCACTTGGCTCAGTGGACATCTTGCAGGTGGTACAGGCGTGAAGCAGCAGGTTTCAAAAGTGCCTTGCTGATGTTTTTGCTCAAATTATTTGCCATTCATTTAGGATTTTATCAGAAAAACTTTTGCACAGCTCAGTTTAGAAAACATAAAATCACAGAATCGTAATTTAGGTTGGAAAAGACCTTCAGGATCATCGGGCATTAATGCTGGGTTCACTCTGCCCTCTTGTGGGTTTTTACAGCACTGTGACACATTTGTCACCTGGATAATAAGGCTTTCACTCCTTTTAAAACATCCCATGGACCTTCTCTGTACAAAGTGTCCTTGACCTCTCATCTCATTTTGCCTCTATTTTCCAAGGTATTGAGCATTGGATTGTTGGAAGGCATGTTGTGACTGTATCAAGTCAGAGAGAATTCTGTAGGAATTTGCAGTAGAAAAGCATGATGTCCTCAGTTATTTGTGTGCCACTGTAACTAGAAGTAAATGGAAGCTGTGCATGGGGAGAGAGAAATGTTCATCCCTTGATAATTATGGTGAGGAAACAAACCCATTTATCAGCTCATGCTGATAATCTAGGTGAAAAGAAGAAGAAAAAAAACACCTGTCAGTTCTGTTTGTAGTTCTGAAGAATTCTACCTGCTGACTCTGTATCCAAGCATATTTTTAATTGCCTGTGAAATATCCTGATTTTTCCAGCAATTAAAGAGGTAGTTCTCTTAGTTCAGTTTAGACCCAGATGCAGACAGGCCCATTAATACGTGCTTAATGTGCTCAGCATCTTTTGTTTTACACTGTCCATTTATTGTACTCCAATCAATGCATTAAAATAGGAAGGAATTCCTGCAAGACATTTAGTGATATGGCTGATAAGCAGACATTCTCTGATGTAAAATTCGGATTGAGGTGGTTTAACTGAGGTAATGAAATCATCGTTCAGAAGGATTCTGACATGCCCTTTATCTTTTTTCCTTCTTGTTGAAGACATGACGATGGATGAAGTCCGAGAGTTTGAACGAGCAACTCAGGAAGCTACCAACAAGAAAATTGGCATTTTCCCACCTGAAATATCTATCTCTAACATTTCCATGCCTTCTTCAACCCGCAGTGCTCCATCTAGTGCTCCGTCAACTCCTCTCTCTACAGATGCTCCTGACTTCCTAACAGTACCCAAAGACCGGCCTCGGAAAAAGTCTGCACCAGAAACCCTCACTCTTCCAGATCCAGAGAAAAAGAAAAATTAAATTAACCCAGCATGATTCCTCCTGATAAGCCATGGCTACCACAGCAAGAGTAACATATTGTAGTTTCTAGGAAGATCGTGGTGGTTGGTTGGTTGTTGATGTTTGGATATTTTTGCTTAAAATAATTTTACTGTTGTGGAAAGACTGTTTCTTTCCTCAGACTTGATCCTCATAATCTTCAGAGAAGTGCATGCAAAAGAACATAGTTGATAGATCTCAAGTAGTGTTCCAAGCCATATGGTCCATCTTACTGACATACAATGAAGTCGTCTGAGGAGAACTCTATAAAAGAAAATCTTTCTGTAGCAGTATCTCTATGTACAAATCCACATCTAGGTCATAGCATTTATATTTAGGAATAGGTATTTAGTAAAGCTGCCAAGGACTTCTGAGGCAAATCTGTGCCAACCAGAATGCAGGGTTAATAGGAAAAAAGCTCCCTTCTTTTTTTTTTTTAACTGATTTTAAAATCCTTCCTGTTCTCAGGCTTGTGTGTATTCATAAACCTTTGACCTGCAACTCATTGTACTTGAACACCAATAACAATCACTCAGAATCATATCGTGCTTAATATGACTCAGGATTTGGGGCTTTGCTAACAAAAATGAAACTTTTCAAACCTAAAATATCACTGTATGAAGCCCCAATTGTAATTAATTATATTGACTTTGAGGCCATTTAAGTATTTCTATCTTGCACAGAATTTGTAAAAGAAACCACCTATTTCTTGTAGATAATGTATTTTAATAGCTCTCCCCTGTCCTTTTGTGATAAAACTTAAGTTCATGCTGGTGTTCGTCAGTGGTGTTCTATGTACAAGATTGGGGGAAAAAAGCAGCTAAGTTGAGCCAGTTGAGAAGGAAAACCAATGAATTCTGTCTTGCCCACTCTGGAAGAAGAGTGGTGGTTACCCTCTAAGACCTTGAATGTAAAGGAGAGAAAATATGAGACTCTTTTTTCTTTCCTGCCTCTCATCTTTCCTAACCAGCACAATCTCTGCTGTCAGAAAGCTGGCTCTGGGCTTCACCACTGTCTCTTAGGGAAGGGATGAATAAAATCAGTCACTTGAAAAAGCAAATGAATCTTGGGGCTTCTCAGTCCCACATAGGGTGGCATTAAGGAAACAGCAGTGCTCCTCCTGGTCTGTGTGTGAAATCACTCTTCAATCTCAGGAATTAAAATACAGAAAGGATGCTTCCCAGCATGGAAGTGTAGATTGTAGGGGGAAGAGAAATGAATTTCAGAAGTGTTCTCTTCCTTCATTTTTTATCAAAAAGTAAACTCAGTGACAAACCTTCCTTCTGGCCCCCCCTTTGGGGTACTTTGTTCTCTTTCAGACTAATTGCTATTTAATTAATGTTGTCCGTATCTATCTCAATTGGTAGCTGTAGTAGGCATTAAATAAGCTGGTCTTCTATTCCCAGTGAATGATAGCTATTACCTGAATCATATGATTAAAGTGAGTAGTGTTTTGTACCACTGGTGGTGATGTACATGGATGCAAAACAGTCCTCCAGAGCTGAACTGTCACTGAACATTGAACAATCAGTTTGGGGATGGCCTTTTACCTGCACAGGAAGTTTGTGCCATCTTCTCTGCACAATGCTATGATTTGACTGGCTTGAATGCACTGAACTTCTCAATGGCTGTAGATCCAACAGAAGTTATGTTGAATGTGTGGTATTTCTAGAGTAGTTGTAGAGCAGGGAAGGTGATTCTGCTGTCAACCTGCACTGAAAACAAGTGTATATTTGTTTGATAGTTTAAACCCTGTACCTAGCAAAATCTAGAAGCTCCTTGTAGGTTAGCTATGATCTGACTTCATGTATTTTCCCACTTACTGTCCATGTTTTACGTTGTTTCCCAGAGGTTGTAATTCTGTGTAGTCAGTAAAATAGCAGGTGATAATAATTTTTCGTTTGAAAATAGCTACTGTGATGCTACAAACAAAACTTTCCTTCGTTAGTAAATGATTTCATCTTAAAATTGTGAGAAATAATAATGACTATAACTGGTCTAATCTCTTTTTTTTATTATTATTATTTTTTTTTTTTTTAATTTAGTAGCATGATTGGAACATTGGCTGAGAAGGGAAACTCTTGAAAAGACAAAGCATTGATTATTATTTTTTATTTCCTAAATTTAACATATCAAAATAGTTTGGGTCACCTCTGCCTATTGATAGTCTTATTTTTTAAAGAGCTCGTTGTTTGCCCAAGAAGAAATTGCCCAGCTCTAGTCATCACCTCCTTGTGCTTATGTGTTACTGTTTCGATACAAGTTTTGGTATCTGATGCAGATTATTAGACCAAAGCAGTCATATCTTGTATTTGACTGATTCGTTCCTAATGCCATGTGGAGATGTGGATTATCACATCATGTAGGATTTGGAGATGAGACGTATGATAATTACTGACATGCCTGAATAGGACACAGCTTACTAGCTGCATGGCAAATACTGTAGGAGAAAAATGCTGATCGTGTTATGGACAAATCGCCTCCCCCTGCATGCGCTGCTGCCGTAGCTGTGCCACACGATACTGCTCCAGAGGAGCACCAGGTTTATTGACCAGACAGCCTGAATTCACTGCTGGCCAGAGCGAGGTTCATGATTATCCACATTACCTCCTTTTTGCTCACTAATGAAGGCAAATAAAAAGATGTAGAGTGTCTCATTGCTTTCGGTAAGAAATATCCCGGGCTTTCCATTGCCTGTGCTTGTAACCTCTGCTGTGTTCTGCTTTGTTTTCCCCGTCAGCCAGCAATTAACCAGTTTGCCCAGAAGAATTTTAAATATCATCTCTTTTTCTGTGTGTGGTTGTTGTTGTTTTACATTTTTATATAGGATAATGTTTTCCCAGCAAACACAAAATCACAAAAAATTAAATGGAAAGGAAGGTCAGAATGTCAGTAACATCTTGAGGCAGAGGTTCTTTCCGTTACTGATTTTATCGCAGTGCTTTCTCTTGTATTTTCAAACTTTTTATGTGAGGAGAAAGAAGGTATTTTGCAGGTGTTAGCCCTTCTTTTGCAACAGTAAATCACGTGGTTGGTGAGTATGATCGTAAGAGGATGTTGGCACCCTGCAAAGCTGACGAGGCACAGTAGCTGTGTTCCTATTCTCTGCCAGGGCAAAGAATTACATGATACAGCTCTGCTAGGACAGGAAGTTTTCAGTAAAGACAATACAGTTCCAGAGCAAATAATGTGATTAGTTTGTTTGGGTTTCTGTTAAAGCCTTCTCCCAGCTTTGCTCATATTTCATAGGGAGCAATTGAAATAACAGTTCATTGTGGTCTCCTAATAAATTCAAAAGGGTGGTACCTGTAAGGACAGTGAGGAGCAGCACATTCCTGAAACAAGCTGAACGGGATTTCTGATGAATGTAGTTGTAAATGACTGGATAAATCCTATGGAAAGAAACTATTTGACCTTATTCTTTGGCTTTTTTGGTTATTCTGGAAGGCGATTTTGTCACATCTAGTAGCCAATTTGCATTAATTGCTGCTGTAGAGAATTTGAAACAGAAATGTTTGTTCCTTGACTTTTATTTTGTAACAAGACTGCAAAATTTGTTTAAACTGCTTTGAAGCTTGCTGCACTGTAACTTCAGAACAATGTGCTAGCATTTGAAATAGCCAAACAAGTGTGCTTTGTAAGAGTTAGTGAGCACAGTAAGAGAGATTCATGATCTATCGTTAGGAGCTTTTCTGTTTCCATTGTTTGGACTTGGTTTTATATGTGCAAGTTAAAATTGCTAAGTAAGTCTAACAATGTTTTGCTTTAAAAATGAACAGCATGATCATTGAATTACAATCTCCTGTAGTCTTATGGTGTCACTTTAAGAAGTTTCATTGTTTTATTTCATTTCTGTGGTAATTCCCTGTGACTCTGAATGTCTGGTAATTCATTTCTTTTATTTAGAACTATGATAGCTACATTAGGCAATACATTACTACCATCAGAGAAGGACCAAGTCTCGAATTGCTCTGCATGTTAAATAATGCAAGGCTAAGCAGGAGAATTTGATTGGTATATTTTTCATCCATTTCACTTAGTTTCTGACTTTTCCAAGTTATTTATTATTTTTAATATTGTATTTTTCCTCGTGTTTTGTTGTAAATAAACTGCCAACAACTATTCTTTACAAGTGTGGCTGTTGTCTTTTACACATTGTTCTCTGGCAAGGAACATGGATATTTCTACCACCAGCTCTACAAGTCAGTTCCTCAAAGTAAATAGCACAACGAATTGGCATTGTAAGGGAAATTGAAACCACTTTCCCGCACCTCCTAGATTTTGTTGCTCCTCCACTGCAGGGTGAATGCCCTGTCAGCCTCAGCTTAGCCCATTCATTTGTAAAAGGCCACTTGGTTGATAAGCTTTCACTGGAAATTAGAAATTAGAATTTCTAATTCTCATTGGTGTGTTTTGCAGCCCCGTGTTGTGGTGAATAAAGGGAAAGAAAACAGGAAAGCTTTCAAAAGAAAGAAGTCTTCCATCACTTACCTACAAGCCATTTCCTTTGTTGACGTAAATTTCATGTGTAAAATGATTCTTTGAGTTTTCAACTAAAAGCTTACTCGATACACATCAAGTTTTCTCCGCCCCAAAGGAAGTGACTTATTTGCTTATTCCTATAGAGATGTTTCACAATAGTGTAGATGTGGAAATAAGGAAAATCTGTGTAAAAAGCATGTAAGGTAGAAATCACAGAGTGTGCCCTTCAACCTGTCAGGTTGCCACAGCTGCTTTGGGAGTCAACTCTGCATGCAGCAGAGGGTGCCACGAGGAGCTGGCATCCTGGGAGCTCCTACCAGCCCCACAGTGCAGCTGGGGAATCACTGAGTGCCACGTCCCAGCCAAGCTGGAGGAGTGCCTGAAGCAGTTCTTAGACTTTCATGACCAGCTGAAGAAATGCAGACGCAGGAATGCAGCAATGACGTCAGTAATGACCCATAAAGTCCTGCCAGAGGGAATAAATGAAACACCTGGCATGGAAACACGTCTGTCATGCACAGGTGCAGCAGTGGATGGGATGGGATGGAAATATCCAGGTACAATCCAACATTGAATGGTTTGGTAACAGCAGGCTGGGGCAGTGCCTGCACGCAGCTTTGGTTCTGACTGCTGTTGTCCCTCAAGTGTGCTTATGACCGTTCTCCACTAGACAAAGGCAGAGCTGGACTCCTTGGCAGAGGTCTGTCTGCAGCACAGCCTCAAAAAGTGCTCACAGCACGTGGCCTCTGACAGCACGCAGCAGCTGGGGCCTGCGGTAGGCATTGGTTGTCTTGCCTTTTTTTGGTTGGGTTTTACATGTTGGATTTGTGTTGCTAGGGCTTTCACAATTTGCACACAAACAACAACAAAAAAAAGACTAATGCACACATACATCATGGATCAGCCCAAACCTGGAGCTGATCTTTGCTCAGGTTGTGTCAGTTTGCACTCCTGCAGAAGGAATGCATTCATTACAAAACTCTTCTATAATGTGACATTTCCTATGGCAGAAGTGCCTTTAATTAAAGCAGCAGCACTTCACTGTGTAGATGCAAAACCACTGAAGCCTTTTGTTGAACACCTGTGCACATCTCTCCAGCACCATGAAGCCCTCACACATCACACTGGAATGTTTGGGGTTAATATCACACATGAAATACATTGGAAACAGCTGAATAAATAAAATCCTAACTGTTCTTAATGTCCACTTTGAAATGGGACAGTGAAAAATTATCAGCTCTTCGTTTTTTTGTAATACTTAAAACCCGCAGCGTTGTTTCTATACATGCTGAACGCCGCCTCACCCGCAGCTCCGCGGCAGCGGCACAGCTCTGCTCTCATCGGACCGGAGCGGAACTTCCCGAGCGGCCTCGTCCATTTCCGCCGCCGTCTCGCAGGGGGGCGCTGCCGCCTCGCCCAGCCTGCGTAGTGCGCAGGCGCAGTGTGACGCCGCTGCTGGTCTCGCGAGAACTGAGCGCTCGCTAAGATGGCGGCCCTGTGCGAGGCCTTCACGCTATGCGGTTTGGGGCCCACCGGCGGCGTCGGCCTCGGTAGCGGCCTTCTGGCGCTGGAGCCGGGTGCTGATCCCGACCACGTCCTGCTCACCGACCGCGGCAGGACGGCCACGCTTTTTAAGGTAAGGGCCCAGCCCTGGCCGCTCGGGTGGCCCGTGTCGGAGTACCCGCGCAGCGCCTCGCGGGGAAGCTCCGGGGATGCCGCGGGCGGAACGTGGTGGGAGCGGCCTCGGGCAGCGGCCCCGCTTCGAGCCGCGCTGCTGGGGAGCAGCCGCTGTCCCTCCCCACTTACCTGTGCTTCTCTCCCTGCACCCGTGGCAGCGGCCTTAGGCGATCTCCCGAGTGGTTCCCGTGCTGTTTCTTTTCCTCTCCGTTCCCGTGGCACGCAGTATTCACAGCCCAGGGGTTGTCACCTCTCCGTGTCGCTCAGGTGACGGCATTTGAGCCCAATTGTCAGTTTGTTGTCAGCTGCCTTCCTGTTTGGTGGAGAACAAAGATTTAAGTGTGCTCGCAATACTCGACCTGTAGGTTGTAGTTGCTTCTTTTAACGTATGCATCTGTTGCAGCGACCATTAAATGAAACTTTCTGAAAACGCCTGTCTCTATGTATTTGGTCACGGGGCTGGGGGTTGTGTCTTAATGAAGCCGTGGTGTGATCTCCTGTCATGGGCCATTTCTCCATGTGGAAAAAAAAAACAACAAAAAAAAAGCTCTTAATTAACGCAGAGCTCCACTGTACTCTGAAATGCTGGTATTGCAGTTAAGAACGCTAAGTTATGAGTCCTGTTAGGGTGGAACTTTTCTTATTTTTATGTTCTCATTTGGTCATGAGAGCAATCCCCAGCATGTACTGTTGCATATTAATTACGTGACTTTGTCCTGATTTTTCTAGGTCTCAGATCAGAAGCCACTGGGCTGTTGGTCAGTTAAACATGGGCAGATTATCACGTGTCCAGTTGTATGCAACTTTGAGACTCACGAATATATAGCTGTTCATGATAACAAGGTGAGATTCTTTTCTTAAGGGGGAAAATGATGTCACGAGTCATCTGGGTGAATGTAGGCAGGGAAGAGATGGGGAGCGCTAGATTCTTAGCTAATGGGAATGTGTGGAGCTCTCAGCACTTCATGACAAGCTTTCAAAGCCGGTAATGGTGCTTTAGTGCTGTTGTATCTCAGGTCATCTCTGCTCTTATTCTGGATAGGGCTGTGCAGTTCTAAGGCTGCACAGTCCGTTTGTTAGTGACATGAAAACCATCTGTGCTGAGCATCAGTTACACAGTGGCCTTTTAAAAACTGAAGCATTCTCAGTGAAGAATGCCTCATGCACACATTTACTAAGAGTAAGCTTTTCTTGTTGCAGACTGGTAGAAATTTAGAACTGCATGATTGTTATATTGAAGTGGTTCAGGACTGCATCCTTGTCTATCTACTCTTGTCTTATGGTTAAACGTTTCCTGGTTGTGTACTTTTGGCAATGCTTGCTCAGCACTTACTGATCACTTGGCTTTTTTATTGTTAATGAAATATTCTTTTTGACCTTGAAATGTTCCCTTCCAGATCATACTGTCTGTATCTTAATCTGCCTCCATTGCTTTGATCAACTTGAATTTAGAGTTCTGCTGTCTCTTTTTTGTTAGCCACATTCTTACCTATCACTTCTTTCAAGATCAAAATGTTAAGCTGTATTTGTATTCTTGTGGTTTCTGTTTCAGCTTCTTCCCATGCAAACTTCCTAAGTCTGTTTTCAGTAAGGCTGCTTAAATACTTAGCTGCATGTTTTCCTCCTTTTTCAGTAAGGTGCAATTGCTGTTATTTTATATGATAAGAAGTCGATGTGCTGCTGGTTTGCTGCTTAAAAAATGATATTTCTCTTTAAGGTTTTACGAATATGGAAGGATAAAGATGTTAACTTGGACAAAGTATTTAAAGCAACAGTAAGTCTCTTACGTATGTTCACTTTTAATGCTTTGAATCTCAGGGGGTTGAAGAGGTGCAGACTTTTATAATACTGATAGCATTACAATTTAGCTGATAGGTGTCTTGATTTGTGGTTTGTGATGTTATGGAGCATTGCAAGGGATCCACTTCAGTTGATAGGCTTAATCATCAAAGCACCACACATAAAGTGATGGCTGTCCAACATTTGAAAGGATTTTTGTGATTGTGAATCGTGGTGAAGGACAATTATTTTCTGTTCTGCTGGGGGACATGACAAACAGCACTTTGTGTAATGGTGTATAGCAGTTGTTTGAGCTCTTTACTTCAATTTTTCTGATGTCATTTATAAACTTCATGCTCATTAGGATGCTTTCCTGGCTTTCTGTTGGGTAGTGATTTGCATTACCAATAGCATTTCCAAAAATAAGCATTTTTTTGGTATCTTGCAGGTTCATCATCCTTGTGTTACTCATTTAGTAAGATAACTTCTTAAAAAATGTTATGCAAAACACTTGGCTTTCAAGGTAATGCACTGATGAACATAGGACTTAAACAGTTGCCTTTTATTTTTAGCTTTCAGCTGAGGTGTACAGAATACATTCGCTGCCCCATGCAGAGCCATTGGTGTTGTTCAGAGGAGGGGGTGTTCGAACTTTAGATGTTCTTCTGGAAGCTCCACAACAAGAAATTGAAAACGTCATCTCAGATGAAGTTATCAAGTAAGTGATACAAAGTTATGAATCCTGATCCTTGATCGGAGGAACTCACATTGTTGCACCCTTCTTCGGAGGAGGAGAGAGGAAACCTTAAGGTTAACATCCCAAGGTCAAGATCTTGGGGTTGATTTGTTGATGATGATGATTTTTTTTTTTTAATGCATTGACTTTTAAATCCTCAGACTTTTAGTACAGATATAAAAGTAAGAGGCTGCCAGAATAATTATGATGTGATTTTTAACTGTAGTCCCAGCACTTAGAAAATGTTTGTACCTCTTTCTGCTTTCAGGTGGAGTGAAGCATTACTGGAAGGTCAACAACCTGTCTTAATTTTCGTTACAGAGAAAGTGAGTTTAACAAACGTTTAGCTTTCACAACTGCAAATCTAAATCCTTCTTCTAGAATCCATTGCTTGTTTAACTGGATTCTAAGAGATTTTAGTGAAATAATTATTCTGTGTGCGTGTTGTCTGTGGCCAGTACTGACACAGGGCTGTTTTCAGGGCTGGATAGCTTGGCTCTTAAAAGTTCAGAACAGCTAAGATTAAATATAATATACAATTGATTGACTTCATTTCTCTCCTCATGCAGTTGTTCCTCCCTGTGAATCTGTTTGTTGCATCAAACACAAATTCCTAGTCTTGTTAGCATTCAGAATAATTCAGTAGAAATATCTGAACTTGTTAGCCCTTCTTTCTGTCAGTTAAAGACAATCTTTTTCCTCTTTGTTTTAGGATGGGGATTTTTTTGTCTACATACAGAAACTTAAGATGAGGAGTCTACATAAATACAAGCTTGAACAACAGGAATTGTCTAATCCGCTTTGTTTCACAGCATATATAAAAAAGCAGATTATCACACTTCTGTGTTTATGTGAGTTGAATTTTCTAATGTTTTTTTAATATTAAAACCATAAGTTACATAGAAGGACATAAAATACTGATGTTTGTGAATTCCTGTTTAATATTTTTGCTCTTCTCTGTTGAACGTTCTATAACAGCAAATGGTAGACTGAACAGTTAAATTTTCCTGATGTTTTAATTGTTGAAAAGGCTTACTGATCTTCAACATTGTAACTTGTACTTTAAAAAGCTCCTGAAAGCTGTGCTTTCATTTTTCTGCTTTGCATGGTAATGTGCCCTTTAAGTATCCTATTTTACTTCTTTTCTCAGTGCTCATCTTGCCATGTTGTATTGAATAGTTTTTCTTATTGTCAGACATAAAGACATCATTTGTTTGCTTTGACAGACTCCAGTGACTCTGTATATAAAGTTCTGATACCTCTACAGCAAAATAGTGAAGAGGAAGAGCAAACTCTATCCAAATCACTACTACTAAACCTTTCAATATCTGGAAGTGCTCTAAAAGGAACTTCTTTTGTTATTCTTGATAAAGACCATGTTGCAGTACTGGGAAGTCTAGCAGCATCTGGTGAAGAATCCAAAGGTAACTGGAAAAGTCAGATGAAGGTGTCTGAAGTTCTACAACATTCTTAAAGCAGCAGGTGTTTTGTGTCTTGCTTTTTGTTCTTGATTGTTTTTGATTAACACAGCAGATGAATAAAGAGCACTGCTGTTTCTTCTGTAGTGAATATTACAAACACTGCATATTAAATGAAAAGGTTGGCTCTTAAAACTGAGATACGCAGGGAAATGAACCTCATGCACTGTAATAAAATGGTATCTTAAAGAAGTTGAATACTTGTTTCATGACTGAACTTCTGAGATGTGGGATCACTGAAAGTTAAGCCACTGAACAGCATTTTATGACTGAAAGTTACAGAGATTTTGGTTCTTCTCACTGCAGCTTTTTCTTCAGTGCTCTTGGCAGAGAGCTGGTTTTCGGACTTGTTTGTTGAGAGACCTAACCAAAAAGACACATTGCGTGATGCTGAGTACATTATTAAGCAGAGTTATTTTGAAACAGTTACTTGTGTTTCCTGAAGTGTTTCTAACTGAATGTAACAAAGGAAAATGTAGCATCTTTTGTTGCTTTTGGGTTTGTCACATTTCTCTCTTTATTTTTCCTAGAATGCCTAACAATATGGAATACAAAATTTCAAACATTACAAGCTTCAAAGGAACTGCCCCTGGGAACCAGTGGACAAGTGAGTTCAGTCTTTACTTTGTGGCTCATAAACCTTCATTGAGTGCATATGGCACAATGGAAAGGAGACCAGCAAACTGCAGTTATGGTTCTGGAAGAGCAGTAAATGCCAGCTTCTGAAACAAAACTAATATGGCCAACTGATGACCTGTTTTTGTCATAATCTCTAAACAGGAGCATGGTTTAGCAAAATCCGTAGTAATTCTGTACTTCTGGTTTTTGTTAGCCTTGTTTGGTGAGAATGAAATCAGTTGGTATTTATTACATTCTGAAAGCTTGCAAGTGACCATGGTTCAGAACATTCAGCTGTCAATAATAAGAGAACTGGAACCTAATAAATAAATGCACTAGTTAAGTAGAACAGCTGACTCATTTTTGTCATAAAATTGTACAGGAAGGAATTTAAAAACTAATAATTAAAAAAATCAAGTGGACCTGGTGCCTCAAAGCAGTCACTTTAGTTTAAGGCATCCTTGGAAAATATTCAACAATGCAGTCATTTCCATAAGTAGAATCAACAGTCAATGAAGGTCTGTTAATGTGTTAAAAGCTACCAAAAATAACTGCTAAAATCATCTGATTGCTGATTTCCAGTTGAATTTTGTAGTTGGAAATTAAAGATTAGCATGTACAGAAATGCACTCCTCATTAACAATGTGTTTAATGTTTTGTAGCTGTGGTGTTATGGGGAAAAATTTTTCTTCACTCATGGAAAAGTGCTAACAGTAGTTATATACAAGTGTGAAACTTCATCCTTGGCAGCTGCTGTGGGAAAACTGAAGGACAGTCAAACCTCTGGTAAGAAGTTCTCTGACTGCAGTGATGGCTAGCAGGAAAACTTCTGAAATTGCATAAAAATTGTTTTAATATTGTTGTATAAAATCAGTTAAGCCTAAACTGCTCGAAGTAAGTTGGTGTATTCAGCTGTTAGATCTTAGTGTTCTTGGTGAGAACGTCAGAGAATTTGAAGCATGCAAATGTTTGAACTTATGGGGGCTTCGTTGAAGCATCATTCAAATGCTGCAGTTATTGAAAACACTGAGATGCTGGTATAAACATTGAACCAATTAAAGCACAGTCTTTTATGTTGTGTTTTCAAAGCACTTATTACTAAGTGGAGCAGTACCAAGCCTAAGTTTGTAAACTTGAGGTTAAAGAAAATACAAGTGAGAAGTACTGCTTAGCACTGTACTGAGAAAATGGCAAATGATGTTTGCAATAAGTTGTGGAATAACTTTTCTCCTCCTACCAGAGACTAAAAAGGGAAAACATGCAGAACGTCTCAAAATTACTTACTGCTAAGAGAAAACAGGGAAGTTTCTTTGCAAAAAATGTATTACACTTCAGAAAATGCCTATTAGCATCAGAAGTTTTTAATAAGTAGCATTGTTAACTTCATGTAGCTTCATTTTTGTCTTCGCAGATCTTTCTTCATTTGTAAACTGGAATACTCTTGGAGATGAAGAGCTCCTGGTTTCCTATCAGTCACAGCAGTCTGTAGCTCTAAAGTCTGAATCCAAAATGACAGTAAGTTAACACAACGAATGTGTGAGCTTGTGTGTTTTGTGTTTGTCTCTTCCCAATGCTGCTACTTTTAAATGTAATTTGTAGCAAATGACACACGATGTTCCTATTTACCTTGCTTGAAATCCTTGAATTGCCTCTTTGGAGCTGAATAATAACTCGTTTTTCCTTATTACAGTTAAGATCAAAAAAGAGCGCCGTTGAGAACATGCAGCCAGATGCCTCCACAATTGGGCAGTTCTTACTATGTATAAAAGTAAGTACACCAAGTGGCCTTAATGAATTTTCAGTCACATTTGAGAATATTCCAGGCACCTCCTAAGCTGTTATCTTCTCACATCTCCTCTTGTGTAGATCAAGCTGAAGAAGCTGCCTTAAACAGGTTTGTTGGAGGATTCTGTTATTACTGTGTAAAAGTAGTGTTTGGGCACGATGAAGTTTTGTCTTAGGAAGATGTAATATAAGTGTTCAATATGGGGTTTATAAGAGCTGTCTGAATTCTGAGAACTTGCACGAATGCATTTTCATAAATGCAGTAAATAAGGTGAGAAGATGTTTCATCTGTTTTTTGTTTTTTTTTTTAATAGTTTAACTTTTTTTTTTTAGTCTGTTTTTCACTTTGATGATATTTTGGATCTAGTAAGTCACAGTGCTAGGAAAAAGGTGCTGTAAGTTGCTAATTGTAGATTATTTGTCACATAATTATGCATCTTTATTGTTTTCAGAAGATAACATTTAACTTATTTCCAAAACAAGTCAGAGAATGTACTTGCCTACCCATCTGGTCACTTGGTTCAATATATCATTTGGTGAGTCAGCATTGAAGCGAGTCCCAAGATACCATGGGATGGGTTGTGTTGGACAGGACCTCAGAAGAGCACCTCATTGCAACCTCCTGCCCTGGGCAGAGGCACTCCCCACTTGATTGCTTGGTGTTGCATCCAACCCGACCTTGAAAATAAACATAACGGTGACACAAAAGATATGGTAACTGTATCTGTATTCTGATACGGTTCCTTTTGAAATCTTGTTGCAAGTGTTGTGATACTTTGATCTACTGCCTTCCTCTGTGAGCAGTCCTCAAACCTATGCCTTGTACATCTGAACTGCGTGGTATTTCATTTTCAGGATGCTTCCACAACTGCTGTTGAAGGTGAATTGAGACAACTGTTGTCAAAAGCACAGAGACCAGATTTTCAGGCCACCATTGGATGTGTAATAAGTGCTCTAATGAACAGGTGTAAAACAGATCCAATGTTCTACCCTCGAAACTTCCTGGTACAGATGATCCAGAAACGAGAATTATCTTACAGGTGATAATTCTGGATTATTTTTTTCTTTTTTTTTTGTTTAAAATTGTAAGCCAAAGTTTCTAAAAAGCAGAAATTCAGTTCTTCATTTAAAAAAAAAAAAAAAAAAAAAAAAACCTCCTTGATTTATCAGGTGCTTATATTTGGTTTCCTTTGAAGTCTATTGCTTGTTTTCTGATGAAGCTGACAATTCTCAGATGGATTTTTGTGTAAAACAAGATTAATCCTTCTGCATTCTTTGTAACTGGAGCTTTCAGTGAGTGTGAACTCTGCAGCCTATTCTTTTCATATTCTAACAGTTTGTGTCCAGACTTAATGGCTGTTGCTTTAGAGAAAAAAGATGTACATCTCTTACAAATCTGCTTACAACGGTTTCCAGATATTCCTGAAGAAATTACTTACGCTTGCTTGAAAGTATTTTTAAGGTAAGTTGGAATCGGTCTTTTTACGTTATTTTTGTTTAATTACTTATTTATTCTTCACCAAACCAGGACTTTTACTTAAAGCAAGTTTTTAGATGAGTAATTAAGTGCATAAAACTGTTAATTCTGAGTACAGCGTGTGTTGCAGTCCTGCAGACTGACATGCTTTTTACAAATGCCCGTTGCATGCACGTATTCTAAAACTTGTATAAACAGTAATTAAAGGAAAATGCTTTTTGGTAAACTTGCTGGCTTAAATGGCACATCCTTCTACATGCTGGCCATTTACTGTTGAACAGACGTGTTCATCTTCTGCCTTAAAAATAGCAAATATTTATTACTGAGCAGTAGGAAAGCCGTAGCTGTCTTATAGGTTGAGGTAGTCCCAGCAATGTCAGAATACAATGACAGTCTTGAACAGTATGTGTATAACCTTTAAAGAAGCCTATGGCAACATCCAGTAGTTCAGCAATTTGCATTGTTGGAATACTTGAGCAAAAACATGTTGCTCAAGCTAATGGTAAAGGCTAGCTGTTTTCTTGTGGCCTTGATCCATTCTGAAACTCTCATTTTGCTGTGTATTTTCATACTCGTAAGCTTCAAAGAGTCAGTGTGTGTTGTTGTGGGGTTGATGACATTGTTGGGCTTTGTTTGTTTGTTTGTTTTTAAGCTAACACTAAAAACACTGAATGTGTGTGGAATTTTTCTCTATAGCATTAGTGATGATTATCTGGAAGGAACAGACGTGGATCTAGAATCTGTAATCTCTTACATTGATATTGAACCAAACAGTAAAGTTAAGACTGAAGTTGTAGAAAATGGTTTCAGTACTGAACTGGAAGAAGATGGTTGTGATGTCAAAGGCATGAAGGAAACCCATATGATGGACAATGTTGAATTCTGCCCTGTTGGACCTCATAAGGCAGCATTATTGTATCCTCTGTGCATTTAAATGAAGGACAGTCAGTGTGGTATTTATGATTTGAATGTCTGTGTGGCATTGCTGAAAATGATCTTTTGCTATTGCTGAAAATTGCTCTGTACCAATTTAAATTTATGGAAGTGCAGACTGGAACTTTGTTCAAAGCAATTTAGTCTCAATGCTTTTAATGTTTGTCTATTGAAATGTTGGACGGTTCCTTTCTTGCAGTAGATGGAACTGTGTTCAAGCTGACTATTATGTTTCAGTTGCTGTATATATTTCATAATAGAAATAGCAGATTCAAAAAGACCTCTCAACCTACAGAAATATTTTAATTAAGGTTGGTTTTAGTTTGTAGTAACCAGTATTTTTCCTGCAGTAACATTTCCTCAATAGCATTGCACAGAAATGCTGTTCTTCATTCAGCTTACAGTGAAACGTTTCTTTTGCCCCATCTGAAAGACCTTCCAGCTCAGCAAGCTGTTGTAAGTATTTTGAAACAAAGAAAGCTGAAACGCCTTCATTATTTGGGGGAAAGAAAAGAAGAAGGTGTTGGTGTGTGCATGTGTTTGTTCTGTATCAGCAACTTGCCACTAGTATATGAAAATAACATGACTAATAAGATCTAATGCTGTGAAGTATTCCATATATCCCAAATGAACACATACTATTTATTATAGTCTGCTTATTTTAAATAAATGTAAGAAAGAAAACTTGATTATGACCAGATCTGCATGAAAAATATTTCAATGGTGTAGTACCTACTCCTGATTTTTAAATGCTTTTAAGCTACTGAGATACTAACTTAGTCAGATGTGGTGGAAACGGAGATTTAGAAAATGCAATTAAAACCAGAACAGATTAAAAAAAAAAAAAAAGAAACCAACCCAACAGTAAACACCAAACATCAGAACTGCACTTATATTAATCAACACTGACTGATCTCCTCAAGTCTTATTCTGGAGACAAAAAAAAAAAGTAGGACTTGTGCTGAAAGTGCACCTGGCACGAACACTGGAACAGTGCCTACCACAGAATGTCACTTCACACTGAGTATTCCTGAATTTTCAAATTCACAGCTATAGATGATGGAGGAAAGCCATGACACTTATTTTTAATGCTTGAGTTTCTTAATTAAAGAAAAAAAAAGATTATCACTGTGTGTTATTACCTTGTGCAGGGCAGAACTCCTAGGTCTTAAATGTTTCTTCTTACAAAACATTCAGTCTTTTCTCCTCTCAGCTGTTTCTCAGGTATTTGCACTACCTGTATGTGAAATGCAGTGAAAAAATCAACACAACTCTTCCTGGAGTACTCCCTCCAACTATAAGTCAGGTAAGCAACTAGTTCTAAAAAGTTGGGCCTCCTTCAGTTTCTCTAAAATCAACTGAGGCTTTTGTTAATTCTGTAAGGTATTGCTCATTAGTGGACCTTATTGAGTAGCATGATGCTTTCTTTTCTATCTGAAAATAAATATCCTGTATTAAACTATGAAGCCATGTCTTTTTGATCAGGAGTTAGTATTTCACAGTGTTTTTGAAGTAAAACCCATGTCACTTCTGTTTTGTTTTTTGTTCAGATTATGGATTGGATGTGCCTATTACTTGATGCTCACTTCACAGTTATGGTGATGCTACCAGAAGCAAAAAGATTGCTTTCAAGCATGCATAAGTTTGTGAGAGCCCAAGTAAGTTTTGCATAATGATTTCATTGTAGTATTGAGTTAAAACATGGCCATTAGGATTACTCAGGGCAGGGTTGGAGAAGAACAACGCGTGTAAATAGACAGTGTATCAATTACAATATATTGAGTGTTATAAGCCTATTCCTGAGCACTAAATACTGCTTGCTTGTCTTCATCATCTTGATCCCTAAAGATGCTGCATTGGTTTTGTTTGAATGTATTAAACTGTGTAAGACAGCAAATGGCTACATGGTATGAATTGTGTAGAACAAGATTTAAAATCTGTTTTGTCATAAATGTGTGGTCTTTGTTTTTAGGTACGATTCTACTCTGAACTTAACAAAATCGAAGGAAGTTTGCAAGAACTGCAAAGAATTAAATGCCAGGAAAACTCTCAGGCATATTCTATTGAAGTGCTGGAACTTATTTGAATATGAAATGAATTATTAACAAACTTGTTATTGATTCCTTTTATGACAAGGATGTATTAGCACTCCATATTGGGGATGTGAAAAGTTGAGTTTTGTGCACAGGAAGAATGCGGTTACTCAGTAGCTACGTGGGGGGTTGTGTATTAAAAGCTCTTTTTTGACTGGATGATTTTCATATATTTTCATTGTAATTTTGTTATGCAGTCACAAGAATATCCTAAAATTCTATCTGATTCTTGGCCAAGAAGTGATAGGATATTTGTAAAAAGGTTTCAAGAAATGTTTCATCAAATCAATTGTCGCTTCTATTCCATTTGCTTCTTTTTCACTTACAGGCAGTTGGATTCTCAGATTCTTCAGAGCTCTCTAATCTTTGCTCTGGTTAGGATCTATAGATACTCTGAGTTTGTTTCTTTTGTTTTCTATTTTTAAGTTGATTTTATTCTCTATGTATACATACACATTCATATTTATTATTTTCTGAACAAGAACACTTAGCACCAAACTAAGAACATTTTTACCTACATTCTTGTCCATTTCTTCTAAGTACTTTTTCAGAGTGAACATCTCCAGTTAACCTCATTCATACTGCTTGTTCTGTACAGCTTGGATTCTAGCATTCCAAAATGTCATAGCTTTCTGAATGCAAGATTTGCTGAAGGTACTGCTGATATGAGCAACTGTGCATTGTGCTTCTGATGAGGCACACACTTGAAACTGATCTGTTACAAGCTACTTGTTGGACTAAAGGTCTGTCTGAATGAAAGCTGATCAGAGATGCAAGAGAGATATGGCACGTAAGCTTAATGCTAGATTTCTTAAGATTTAATATAAAATGAATGTAACAAGCAGAAGCCTCCAGAGAAAAATGAGTACATCAATAACTGTTCAGAATAACACATAAAATCTTAATGACCTTTTAAAATAATATTAAGTGAATATTAATGTATCAGCATATTTATATGCTTCATATTTTTCATTGTAATAAATAAAATGGTAGTTGATAATTTGAATTAATCAGCAAAAGTCATAAGCCCTTGCTTCCTCACACTGACTTTAGTCTGCAGCTGAGCTCTAGTCTTTACCTCACATAGCAACAACTTGGTGTCTGATAAATGCACGTGTAACTGACTAGAATAGAATACTTAAATTCAGCACCTTTTACGAAGTGATTTGGAGGAAAAAGAATGGACAAAAGCAGCTCAGTAATTTAAACAAGAGGATTTGCTGAGTTGGTTAAGGCCGTGCCTTCCAGCTGTAAATTCCTAGGTTCTTCAATTCTTTCCTTTACCCTTGGAGAAAGGACTTGCCTAGCTACCAGCCTGGAACAACTAGGCTGTACATCTCCTGTGTACATTTTGAGAGAACCTATTTCTCCTCATCTGTCTCAAGAATAGATGCAGTATAGGGTATCATATGTAAAATTCTTCTTTCTTTGGTGTTCAACTCACTTAGATATAGGCTTTTTTTAATTATACCAATAGACTGATATTTATAGTCCTGACTCTGAAAGTTAACATACCTCTCCATGCAACCATTTCTCCAGCTCTAGAATTAGAACTCTTTACTAAACAGGATATTAAGCACTTCTAGATGACAACTAATAAATGAGAGGTCATTAAGAGACACAGTGTTCTGGTTTACAGCAAATGTTACTTGGCACCTTTGTCTATTTCAAGTGATCAAAATCCTCACTGCTTTATAGATGTTAACACACGTAGTGCTATGGGCTGTATGTGGATTTGTGCAGTACATACACAACAAAGTATTTCTTGATTCACCCTTTATAGGTGGCAGAACTCACAGATGTTTCACAATGTGAGACAGTAAAACAACTTATCCCCTTCTGTGTATCAATGTACTTGTATGTTTGTAGAATTGCTACAGTCTTCTGCAAGCATAAGATCTCAAAAATTGACCCAACTGAAGAGTTAGCGAGAAAAAGGCTGGTTGTAGGTATTGAGAGATGCTGACGGGCCTTGGACTGCCTTTATGTTTTATCCTGCTTTTGGTCAGGAAACTGATACTTTCAACTGAAGTGGTGGTATTAGAAGCCCAACAGGGCATCTGCTCTCTGTGGATTTTTAAAATCCTGGAGGCTCAGGCAAATGTGAAAATGAGGGAATACAAACTAAATGAAGCCCAGCTCCATTTTGTAGAGCCAAGTGAGCGGACACAGCAGTTCAAAGAAACTACACTGACTAAAATTCAAAGAGCAGGACCCAGTGAGGTCTTTTCAGTCTTGTTCTGCTTTACGGTAATCCCAGCAAGGTAATGGTGAGGTGTAAAAACATATTCATTTCTGCGTGAAGGGGAAAGATTTAAAGCCCGGGATCTTAATATGGGACACGGGTGTTTGGGCTGAGGAAGGCTGCCAGCGCGGTGCAGGCGGGGGAGCCCGCCCTGAGGGGAGCCCGCCCTGAGGAACGATGGCAGGAGCGGCTGAGTCTCCTCAGGCCGCAGCGGCGGGCGCAGCCCGTTGCCTACCTGCGCTCGCAGCTGTCCCGGGCGGGACACGCAGCCGGGCTGAAGCTGTGGGACGTGGAGCGAGGGGACTGCCCTGAGGGCGCGAGGCGAGCCCTGGGATCGAGGACCGGTAACGGGCGTCTTTATCCAGGCGCAGGGAGACGGTGAGTCTAAGGTGGGCTCGCATCCGCCTCCAATGCGGGCAGCGGCCTCGGGGCAACTTTAGCAGGGGGTTGGGGAGAGCGGCGGACAGCCCCGGGAGCGCCCGGCAGCGGGGCTGAGGTAACTTCGTGGTAGGTGGCGTGCCGGGACGGCGCCGCGACAGGCGTCGTGACAGGTTGTGGGTCGGAGGGCTCCGTCCCGGTGTGAGGGGACGGCGGCAAAGAGGGCGCTGAGGGAGCGGCGGAGGGGCAGCGCGTGCAGCAGGGATACCCCTCGTCCGAGCGCGGAGCCGCCCCCGAGCGCCGGCTCCAACATGGCTCTCGCGGCCGGCGGCTGCCGCGCCCCCTGGCGGCGGCTGGCGGATGCGGCGGGTCACGTGAGGCGCTCGGGGCCTGCTGCCGCCGCCGCTTCCCCCAGTCAGAGCGGAGCGAGCCGAGGCAGAGACGAAGAAACAAGATGGCGGCCGGTGGCGATCCGGAGCGGGACGCCGGCAATTCGGATTGAGCCCTCGGCCCTCACGGCTCGGCGGCCCCCCTCCCCGGCCCGGATCCCTCGCAGGGGGGGGAGCTTCCCCGTAGCCGCCTGTCCGGACTCCGAGCGCCCTCCCGAGCCTTCCTTTCCCCTCCCTTCCCCCTCCCGGCCAGCGCCCAGAGATGCGGGGCCGGCGAGGCAGGCCGCCCAAGCAGCAGCAGCCGGCGGCGGGCACCGCTCAGGCGAGCTCCCCGGCTCCGCCCTCCGCGGCGGGCCCCATCGGGGGGCTGAGGTCCCGGCAGCGGGGCAGCAGCCGCGGCAGGTGGGCGAGCTCGGCCCAGGCGGAGACGGCGGCGGGGCCCAAGCAGAAGGGGGCCGGGGCTGCCCAGGCCTCTTCCTCCGCCGCCGTCTCCCCCAGGGGGGGCAGCAAGAGGAAGGGAGGCAGCGGCAGCAGCAGCACCCCTGGTGGGGGAGGCAGCGGCGGTAAGGGTAGGGGCAGGGCCGGGGCTGGAGGAGCAGGGGGAGGAGGCGGAGGAGGCAGCTGCAGCAGCCAAGGCAGGGCTGCCTCGTCCAGGAGGAGCATCAGCAAAGTGGTGTACGATGATCATGAGAGCGAAGAGGAGGAGGAGAGCATGGTGTCCGACGAGGAAGAGGAGGCAGACCCCGAGGATAACCAGGACTCTGAGGAGGAAGAGGAGGAGGAGATCATGGAGGAGGAGGACGACGACGACTCTGACTACCCCGAAGAGATGGAGGATGAAGACGATGCCAGTTATTGCACTGAGAGCAGCTTCAGGAGCCACAGCACCTACAGCAGCACCCCAGGTAGAGAGTCAGCGGGATAAATCGCACCAGCCCAGGGCAGCACACACGCTCCCTCTAGGTTTGCAAGTCCAATCCGCATGCATTCTTCCTCCCATCCTTGTACGTAAGGGATGCCCGCAAGCACTCACAGGGGTGAGGGGTATGCAGCTTAACTCCTGGCAGCCCCACAGGTGCGGGGGGGCATTAGAATGTGCTTACAAACGCAGCGAGGGGAGGGAAGGAAGGAAGTACATGCTGGAACAAGGGGCGCTTTGCAAATATGCATGGGGATTCTGACTGCTGCAGAACTGCATGGTACACCAAAACGTGTTACAAACAACGTCAGAAGTGCATGGAGCGTTCACTTACTATTAAAAAGCAAGGAAATGAGATGCGTGCCTTGCAAAGGGGTCATTTTGAATAAATGCAGCAAAGGATGACTTATGCTAGCAAATGTAACTTGATGTTGAAAAGGAGCACATGCAACTTGAAGTGGCCTAAAAAAGCCATAAGCATTAGAAATTTGTAAGTTTTCGAAATCAGAGTATACCTGGAATCAAATTTACTGTCTTTAAGACAAAATGAGCTTTCCAAGGAGGGAAATGAGGTGCATTGTTCAAAATGGAGATTGCATTGTTATAGTTTGGGGAAAAGTGCACAGGGCCTCATTGCAAGGGTGTAAACCTAGTTTTACTTAGTAGGGCACGGAGATGAAAAGGTGGAGGTTAAGTCAAATGTCTGGGTTTTAAATCCTGCAGTTATTTCAAGATGTGGCAACCTTTAAAACTTGCATTTGAGTTAAAGCTTTTTAAGTGTCTTTGTGATTAAATTTTGTTTTTTGGAACCTCATGTGACAGATTTGGGCTCAGTTTTTCTTTTAAGGCCTATACTTCTGGTTGTCCTTAATTAGTTCCCTAGGTATATAGGTTTCAAGCTTCAAAAATTCTTTATCTAAACTTTAGCACTTTAAATTCATTTGAATTCATTCCATAACAGAGTTCAAGCTTAGAAAAAAAATTTTTTTAAGTCTCTGAACCAGGAGAGTAGTTAAACTTAGGTGTAACCTAGGAGTGTTTCTGAACTGGGCTGCAGGATGATAAACAGTGGCCAATTTGGAAGGGGGCAGGAACAGATTGGGGTTTTTTTTATGTTGGACTTTTTTTTGTTCGTTTTAAATGTAGTTTTGAGTAGTTAGCTGGGTTTTTTTGTTTTGTTTTTTTTTAAACATGAAGTGTCATTATGTGTGTCATTTAGTTTTATTTTAGGGAGTCAGTGGTACAGCCCATTATATGACTTTATTACAGTCCTTTAAAAAAGTGTGTGGACACTAACCTATTAAAAATCTATATCCACAAACTTAAGAATGTAAATGAATTCAAATAAATACATAGATTACTATATTAGTTAAACTTAAGGGGCATTTTTTAAGGTGTTAATACTGGTTTATTTGTTGCAGTTGTCCTGCAATGAAATGGATTTTTTTTTTTTTTTATATGTTACCAAAATTTGAAGTACTTTCCTCACTTTTAGTTCTTAATTTTCTGTTCAGTTTGGTGACTCATTAACTTGTTTGGGGAGTGTTTTTGTCAGGGAAGGAATCTCTGATGATGTTAATTGTCTAGGTCAGGAAGGTGTTTTTGATGTGAACATCCAGGTTTAACATGAGTTCTAGGAAGTATGGGTGTATTGTTTTTGAAATATAGTGAAGAATTTTGGCAAATGACAAGATGCCTCAGTGTGTTTTACTGTGTGCAAGCAGAGACCTGTGCAAGCAGGTTGTAGGTGGTATTTAAGTGTATCAGAAAACTCTTCCCTGATTTTGTGTGTGTATTTTTCACCTGGTCAAGGTAATTTATTTCTAAAAAGTTTGTGTAAGCATTTTCATCTTTATTTACTGTATTACTGTAGATGTATTACTTACATCTTTATTTATTCAGCTTTTTTACGCTGTGTGGTTGATGGTTATAATGTTGATGTTGGTTAGGCTTTTACTGGTGGCTCTTATTAGTTCAGTGTTGGCCTGATTCCTCTCCCCCCTCCTTTGCAAAGAGGAAGGTACAAACTTTTCATTTCATCAGCTCACTCTGTGTCTTGTTTCTCTTGGATGAATACCTGCATTGTGAATGTGCTACGCAGTGGTGGCACTAATTGAAATCTTCATCTTATCGGAATCCAGGAAGAGACCCTAAATGTTAGAACAGTTTTAATGGTCAAGGAAAAGATCCTTCAAAACCCAAAGAGTAGGGCAGGCACACAGCGACATGCCTTCAGGCTCCAGTGCTCTTTGACCCAGGTGCATGCTGAGTCTTTAGCTCTTCAGAGTGTTTTACCTTCCATCTATTTATCTTCAAGTAATACAAACTGTAACATACAGTGACAAAGTTCCTGTGGTTATAACAGTGCAACTTGGTGGAGTATCTCCTTTGTTTTAGTCAGCATCACAGAATCATGCAGTCCCACCAGTTCTCTTAGATGAGGTGATGTACAATTGTTCTCTGCTTATCTCCTCTGGATCACAGGCAGCCTGAATTACTGACAACCAGGATGCAGTATTCAGGGCTGAGGAGTTCATTTTGTAGAGCAGAGTATTGAAAAATCGTAGTAACAACCAAACTGTCCTACTAACCAAGATTTGCATTTAAATGGCATTCCACTTAAATGGGTGGCAGACTTTCCACATTTTTTTCTTTTTTATATTCTTAACAGTTACTGTAAAAGAACACAGTACAATGTCTCTAGCCAAGTAAGGCGTGATTTTTGTGCTTCACTGTGGTATTATGGTATGTCTCAAACTTGAACAATGATTACTATATTATTATAAAAGTATTTGGAGAATCACAATATTTGGAATAGTAAAAATGCCTTCAATATCACGCTTATTAATGGAATACTTAAAGTTTATGTGGTTGGATGTGTGTGACTGCTGTCTCTTGTTGGACTGGCCTTTGGTGGGGGGATTTTATGTTCATGTTTTTCTGTAATTCCTTTATCCCCAGAGGGCAGCTGTACTTTATGGACAGGTGTCCCATATATCTTCTCACTAAACATTTTACCGTTACCTGTTTGCTGTAACAAACCTTTAGGCTCATCACAATTGGGTTGTTTTCCACACATAGTGGAATTTTAAAGAAAATCAAGATGCTTAGAAATCCTTTTTTCTTTTTTCTTTTTTTTTTTCTTTTTCCTGGAGACTTTGTTTGCTTTTTGCTTTTTTTTTTTTTTCATTATCTAAAGCTTGGCATCTAGATTTTGGCTAAGAAAATCATCAGCCTGTCTAACAAGCTAATGCACAATGCTGAAGATGCAAGTCAAAAGATCTGTCATTTAAGATACATTAATTTCTTTAGACGGATATTGATGGGCTGTGAGCATTACAGTGATTGACTGTCGCTTTTGTTAATTAGTTATTTCACCAGAGAGCTTTGATCTTCAGGGTGAAAGAATTTAACTGGAAACCAGTTGCTCCGTTTTCTGTCGGTAGTAATTTTACACTTTAACAGACTTTCTTGCTCACAAAGAGTTAAGTGGAGGCACGGAGATACAATTGTAAGATATGCAGCCTCTTGTTTATGTGTGAGAGGATTTGTCAGCCTCCCAAACATCTCACCTGCTCTCTACATCTGGCATGCTCTTATTTTACAATTTAGGGATTTACACTTTGATTTGCTAACTGGAGAACTGTCGCTTGTTCAGCCAGCAAGTCATGAAAGATACAGAAGGCAAGTTCAAGTCTTAGCAGGGAAATAGCATGGGTCAAATTAGTGGCTGATACTGCTGTAGAGACATGCAGATCTGCACTTTGTCTTCAGCCATTTCTCTAAGCAATTCTGTGCAGCAAATACTATTCTCAGGGAGCGTACATTTTAAAAGATAGGAATCATTTGATGTACTGCAGATGAATATGGAGTTCAGTCATTTTTATAGGTCTGCAGTAAAATTTCTTGGTCAACCTTTGTGCTGCATAGAAGTGGCGTCAGGTGAGTAGCTGGGGGCTTTAGTCAATTAGAGGGGGAGCTGCTAGAGCTTACTAACTTGTGAAATTAGTTATAGCTTATCTTGAATGTGTCCCAGCTAAGAAATGGTCAGAATGTAGAACTGGTGTGGTAGTGCTGCTTTTTTTGTTTAATTTGCCTGGGTTGAGGCACAAAAGAAGTGTGACTGAGTACTTCTCAGAATGACAATGTGAGATCCCATTGGCTGCTTGTTTTGCACTGGTTCTTCAAGTGATAAAGTGATGCTCTAGAGTATAGAGATTGTTTGTTCTTGGCTCCTACTGACATTGCAGTGCTGATCCCAATGTTGAAAAATGCTCACAAAGCATTGGTGGTGCTTGGTATGTCTCATTTTTTATGTTGCCTTAGATTTGAGTTTACCCTGTTGATTTCCTTTTTCCAACCAAATGACTTTCAGTTAGGTGTGACTGCTGCAAAGCAATGTATTGGAGCTGTGCTTATGATAGAATTACAAATGCATCTTGTTCTGAAAGAGATCATTTGAGTGCTGAATCTTAGACACATTCTGCTTGTCATGTCAAAAGGAAATGGAAACATTTCACCCATCCTAAGAAAATAATTTTGATTTTTCTGTTACTGCTTTTCTTCAACAATTCTTATTTTATGTTAAACTAATTCACTTTCACTGTACAGTTTTTTCCACTCTGGTGTAAGCTGAGCAAATACTTTCCCAAGAGGTTGACTTTTAATTAAGGAACCGGTTTGGATCTTGCTGTGACAAACATGTAGCTGTATCCAGTTTGCATGCTGCTGGGAGAAAGGGAGCAAAAGTGAAAACCCACTCAAAATGTTTTCTTAGTACTTTTATCAAATGTTGTAAGTTTTCTCAATGATATCCAGCAAGAACTTTTGTTTCTGTGCATTCCATTTGAAATCTGAATGATGCAGAGTAGTATATGGGTGGGAGATGTCTGATTTTGTGTTCTTAAAATTGAACAGAAATGAGGCTGCAGGTTTAGAAAAATGGTCAGAAGTCAAACTTTCTAGGATGAAGTAAAGCACAGCAGAGGGTGTCTTCTCTAAAGACTGCTCATGCTTCCAGGACATCATGTAATTGCCAATTGGTCTTTATGTTGGGAAGTTTCTGTAGTGACTCATGCTCTGAGACACAAGTCTAACTCAGTTCTATTTTACTGAAGATGGACTTTTTATATAGGAGTAGCATGGTTTGACTTAAACTGTGGAATTTGAAGCCAAAATTCAATCTTCTTTCTTAGGATAAGTTGAAAACCCTTTCACTTGCTGGCATAAATTCTGTGCTGTGTGCCTGTGAGGTTTTTTGTTCCATTTTTTTCCTCCTTCTGTGACAGATTTCTGGAATATGTGGAACTGCAGTCTCTGTTCTTTCCCCTGTACTCTACTGAGTTTATTCTCCCCATCTTAGCCACCAACAGAAGCTCTGTGCAGGAGCCTTGTTGCCCAGGTGCTGAGAAGTTCTGAGGAAGGGAAAGTTTTAAGAGGCATCAGAGCAGTTGTGATCTTTTTAACCAAGAAATACTGGAGCCAGTGTTTATTTATAAGGTCATAACAGTGTAGCTACTGCTCTCCCTGTTTAAACAAGACAGTGATTCTGGCAGAATATTTCCCATATAGGACCTTCATCCCCAAGTCCGTTACTTGAAAAACCATTGGGCTGAAAGCTGTGTTTCCTAGCACTGTGCATCTGGAATGAAGGAGAGGTGACATAAGAGAGATGAGGCAAAACTAGATTTTTTTGACTGATTTTTGTTAGCCTACATGTGTATGGCAATCAGCATACAACTGAGGTGCAAAAAATGCCACATTTAGTCACAATATAACCTTGTTTTGGACCTTGTTGCAAACCATTCAAATACTGTTTTAAAGCTGGCTACATAGAGAAGATTCATTAAAGATGGAAAAGTTTTTTTGTTTTTTTTAAGTTCCATATTCTCCAGTGTTAAAGTATAGCAGGTCTGAGGGCTGCAGGCTTTCATTCTGTAAATGGAGACAAACTCCTGTTTGTTTCTAAATGTCAAGAAGTCAACATTTAAAGCATTGAAGTTGAATAGACTGAATAGACTTCACCAGTTCAGCAACTTCAGTTTGTTTCAAATATCATGAGTGTATTGTCCTTGAATATTTGTAATATAAATTATTTTAATAGATTATGGTAAGTGTAGACTATAATTATCAATATCTATAATTAAATGTGCCATGCAAGTAAAATTGTTTACTCTTTAATCTTAATTACAGGCAGCTCCTCAACTAGAGAATTCCAAATAGGGAGAGGCATCTACTGCAGACTGCTTCATCACTTTTGGAGACGACTAGAGAAGGAATGTGATTTAAAAGAAGTATATGTTAGATGAATGTGTAATGCTGGGACACTCAAGGTGCTCTGGATGCTGTAAATAGTCCAGTTGTGGCAGCAGGAGTCTATTGGCAGATCGGTTTATCCTTCACAATAAAGCTGTGGGATTTGAATGGAGCAGAAGCAGACGTATTCTGCCTTTGTTCTGTCTCCAACTTGAGTGTGGTAGGGTGTGTGATTTTACAGTACGGAGTGGGAATGTTGAGTGATATGGTGCAGCAACTCTGCTGTATGCCATGGGGCATGATGCCAAATTCACAAATGAGGTACTCGTTTTCTAATGCAGTCTTTTTTCTTATTGTTTAACCTATTAGATACTATAATGACTTCTGAAATGTCTGTGCTGTGTGCCAAAGCAAACATGATAGTGTGTAGGATGTTTCATACAGGAGATGGAGATTGGTGTGAATAATACAGTCAGCTGACTACACTGTGCTTGCACAAAAGTACAATACCCTTTATGGTATTTAGTGATGTACTTTGAGTCCTGATAACATTTGTCCATAGCTCTACCTGAACCACCATGCTTCCTTTTCAAAAGGAAGTGTTAGAAAACATTTTAAGAATGTTTTCATAAAACATTAGGAATGCCTTACTTTAAGGTTCCTTTTTTGCTGCTTCTTTTGTCTGGTGTAATGTAAATACATCAGGTTTTTACTCCTGGAGAAAGAAACACCAAAAGGACTGGTTAATCTGCTTTTTCAGTGGAGAATGAAAATGTGTAAGAAGGAATTGTAATTTTGTTCTTGGAGTAGAAGATCTCGAAGAATGAGAGGACAAGCAGTAGCTTCTTTCACAACGTTCATTTGCTGTAGTTTATCTTTGCCTGAAACTGTTGTCCTTGGTGGGCTTTTGTGTCTTTTGTTGTTGATTCTGATTCATTTAGGCAAATCAAGGCCATCGTTCTTTCTGCTTGCTTTCGTCAAGGGCTGACTCATTTATACCTTTACTGTGTGAGAGACCAAGGATTTTTTCTGCTAGAGCTGCGGACACTTAAAGAATCCTAGTGTAAAGCTCTGCCAGCTTTTTGTGGCATGTGGGCTTTAAGGTGATCATCAATGATTCTGGAATGTCTGTGATGCCTTACGTGACCTCTTACTAGGCCTGCTCTTACACCATCCTGCAATACTGAAGGAAGTTCCAGGACCTTCATGTAATGTCATCTGTGAATGTGTGTTGTGTTTTGGAGGCTTTTAATTAAGGCAGCTTTGTTTTGTACATATACAGCCAAGACGACTTAAGCTTAACCTGGACATCTCTTGCTATAGGGATGCTTGCCTTCTGCCTGCTTGTGAAACTCTTATGTTTTTTTACATTTGCTATGGTCAAACACTTTCCATCAATACAGCAGCAAACCGAAAGGCAGTCACACAAGCGTGCTTTCATTTTCTGCACAACTCAAACTACTAAACCTGGAAATGTATTTTTTTAGGCAGGTGATGTTGACCCATTGCTTCTGTAATAGAAACATCTGGCCTCTCGTTTTCTGAAACATTGTTTTGCAGGGTCTAGCTTGTAGCTAAGATTTTGTTCCCACCTTTAAAGACAGAAAGGGAATGCTGTGTTGGTGTTGTCTGCCTATACTTGCTCAATTATTGATTTTCTTCCGGAATCATTTCACAAATTCTTCTGTACGTCTTTTTTATTTATAAAATATCTACACGCTGTTTCTTAAAGGCAGCTTTTCTGTGTTTTTTTTTTTTTTTTTCCCAGTCCATTGGATTTTTCATAATAGTATTTTCAAATTCACTGAGATCTGTATTTCAGTATTTATGTGCTATAGTTTATCTTATCATTCTCTGCCACCCTACCTCGTTAGACTCATTTCCTATCATTACGGAGGAAGTGTGGGAGGAAGTCAAGTGGTTGAACAAATGCCAGGGAGCACTATTACTAAAACTTATTGACAAATTAGAATTGTAGTTGTTTACCTAGATCACAGTATGTTTACCAGAGGGCCTAAAACCATTTTTAATCTCCATTCTTGATTTTTAAACCAAGATGATTATTTAATAGTTAGTTTGAGATTGTCCAAACTTCATTAAGTATAAAAAAAAAAAAAGGTGGTTCATCCTAATACTTCAGTTGATAGCTGTGAAAAAAGTTGTGTGTATTTGGATACTTCATTATTTTGATTGAATATTTCATATTTCTTTTAACACCATATCCAGATACCTTCCTCTTGTGTTTTTCCTTCTCTTGGGCATTTAAGATAGTGGAAGTAAAGACAGGAAAACGTGGCATCTCATCTAGTACAGCATATTCATACATGTCTCATTTGGCTTATTTCTGGCTTGTTGGCTCTCAGTAGGAAAGTTCTAGTAGGACAGGAGTAGATAAAGGGATTTCGGTTCTCTTTTGTGTTTTAATTCAGTTGAAATTGATGTCCTGAGACATCTGCTTGAAATAATGTTTCCTCTATGCTACAATAGGAAAACAGTTTGCAGTGTTTTTATACAAAGTACCTGAAGCTTGATTCTTCTAGAATGTTCCTAGGAGGAATGATTAGCCAGTATTTCTGAATAAAAATGAGAATTTCCAATTTAATATTTTGTCTGAGGAAAATATTTGTCTTTTTAACTAACTTGAATTATTGAAATTCTAAATGTCATTTTAAAGATTAATAGACATATCTTGTGTGGGAAATACAACAGAATACAATAATATTCTGATTAAAAATAAGATATACATATCTGAAATTCTGCTTTATATTTGTAGTTAAATAAGATTATTAGGTGAATATCACTTAAGTAGCTGTGAAGACATGAATCCTTAACTTGCAATGGTTTGGAAAGATATTTTAGCACAGTCACTGATGACAGATACTTTAACACGTTGATCTGGAAATGGCAAACTTCTTACTGTTGTTTTTATTTCCAGGTAGGAGACGACAAAGAGTGCATCGTCCTCGTTCTCCAATATTGGAAGAAAAGGATATCCCACCTTTGGAGTTTCCTAAATCCTCAGAGGACTTAATGGTGCCTAGTGAGCACATCATGAATGTGATTGCCATCTATGAGGTACTAAGGAACTTTGGCACTGTTTTACGCCTTTCTCCTTTTCGTTTTGAGGACTTCTGTGCTGCTCTGGTAAGTCAAGAGCAGTGCACACTTATGGCAGAGATGCACATAGTGCTTTTAAAAGCAGTTTTACGTGAAGAAGACACTTCAAATACTACCTTTGGACCTGCTGACCTCAAAGATAGCGTTAATTCCACTTTGTATTTCATAGATGGAATGACGTGGCCTGAGGTTCTGCGAGTATATTGTGAGAGTGACAAGGAATACCATCATGTTCTTCCTTATCAAGAGACAGAGGACTATCCTTATGGACCAGTAGAGAATAAAATCAAGGTTCTGCAGTTCTTAGTGGATCAGTTTCTTACAACAAACATTGCACGTGAAGAGTTAATGTCAGAAGGTGTTATTCAATATGACGATCATTGTAGGGTTTGTCACAAACTTGGGGATTTGCTTTGCTGTGAAACTTGTTCGGCTGTGTACCATTTAGAGTGTGTGAAACCACCACTCGAGGAGGTACCAGAAGATGAGTGGCAGTGTGAAGTCTGCGTGGCACATAAGGTGCCTGGAGTAACTGACTGCGTCGCTGAAATCCAAAAAAATAAACCATACATCCGACATGAGCCTATTGGGTATGACAGGCACAGGCGAAAATATTGGTTCCTGAACAGAAGAATCATTATGTAAGTAAAGGAAACATTTAGTGCATTCTAAAGAATAATATTGAATTGAATGTGAATTTGCAACGTTATCCTGTAAGGCGCTGTTGCCATCTCATAATTATTCTTTAGTTACATAGGACTTTACTGACTTTTTAACTTGATTACTCTAAAGAGAATATAATTATCCCATAATTTTTCTCCAAAACAAATGTTCTCAAATTATATTTAAGAAGGGGAGGAAGGCGGGGGCTAAGGCTTAATTTTAACGTACCTGAAATGCATAAATGTGAGGAAAAGAAAGCAAACGTCATAGTATCCCTTAGTTTAAATAGATAAAACAATTTTGAAGCCTGAGTTGATCCAAAAAGACTACGTGAGGATTTTCTTGTAGTTCATCTGTTGCTTGCTTTCAAATTGATGTTTTTATACTTCCAAAGACAGCAATGAGAAACCCTATAGCCAAACTGTAGTGTTTCAGAAAATGGTTTCTTTAAATAGTGCTGTCCCACTTGTACCTTCACAGTTCTGCAAAAATCTTCAGGGTTCCCCTGCAGTGAAATATCTTGTAGTCTTTCATTCTGATGATGTCAACTTCTGCTGTGATTTCAGAGTGAGGTAATTAACCCATGAAAAATCAGCAGATTGTTCCTTTTAATTTTTTTCTTTCTGTTTTCTGTTTCAGTACAGCAAATAGTACAAAATTGACATACGTTTTGTCCCTGACTAAAACTGGTAGTTTGCCCATGTGTTGTCTCTCCAGTTTTCAGGCATCTTTCCTTTTGAGAAAGGGCTGGAGGTAAAGGAGTGTAGAAATTGTTGTGAAGAATTCACATTCCAAGCAGTTTTCCCAACGAATGTTAATTTTTGCTTGCTTTGATACAAAGTTTATACAGTATTAACATAACCTTTCTTGAGTAGAAATTTTAGGAGGCATCAGTACTAAATGGGATACAGAACTTGAATATGCATTGAGAATGTGAACGTGTTGTGGATTTGCATAGCTACAGAAACAAGTATCACAGATTTACTGCAGTTAGTTTCCTTCATGTGTGGGTAGCTCTTCCAGTTTTGGGCTAAACCATACCACTGATGCAAATGCACTTGAGTTGTCTTTCTGAGAAGCCATTAGGGTTTGTTTGCATTTTGCTGGTTTCTGGGAAAACTTTTATAGAACTTTAACTAAACTAGTGTATGTAGCTGTGCTGCTTCTGAACTGAGGTTTGTTTTTGTGTCTCATTCCTGGATGGTTTCAGTGAGTCAGTGTGGGTCTGGAAGCAGTAATGTAACTGATTGATCTGTGAGGAAGTGCTCCTTCTCCTTTTGTTCCATGTAGCTGAACAGCTGCCTTCATTACATGGACATTTATTTAGACCCTTTTCTTGTCTTGATTAAACACTACTCAGTTGTGTCCTGTTGGTTGAATTTTCTAAACCCAAAACAATCCGTTTGGGTTTTTGTTTGTTTGTTTGTTTGCTCGTTTGTTTGTTTTGAAGTGAAAATCTAGTAAAAACTAAGTATTTCAAGTGTAAAACCTTAGTGAGGTTTTGCAAGTATAATGAAAGTATTTTTCTCTTCCAAAGGGCAAGGAAGAAAGGGTCTTTTCTGGTAATCACAAAAAAGTAAAGTAAAATAGGAGGAAGATGACAGATGAAGGACAATCTCTCTTCTCTGCCCATACTTTTTGTAATTTCTTTTCAAACTTGCAAGGAAAACCTTGCCTTAGAGATGGGTTTGTCTTAATGCTCTACTGCACTGCAAAATGATTTTGTTCTGCTCACCATTACAGATTTGAGAACAAACAGAAGTAGTAATAAGTCAGATTTTTATTAATGGAAGTTTTGTATCTTAATTGGTGTTTATATAACAAGAAAACATCATTAATTCATTGGATATCAAAAAGGATAGGAACTATAAACAATACAGCAAAAGGAAAATTGCTATTGGAATTTCCATTTTCCTGATTTTCAATTAGTAATAAAATGTTTCAAAACATCAATGAAAAATTTGTGACGTTTACCACGGTCAGAGTAAATGCAGTTCATCCATTACTTCCTAACTTTCTTTTATATTCCCATGCAGGTTACCTAAGTTGAGGTTTTCTATCCTTCCTGTTGCAGTTAGATGCCTTCTGCTATTGTAACTGTACCTGTGCCTGCTTCCAAAACAAATTGGTTCAGAAGTATGTGGCTTGGATTAAAAACTTCTCAAATCCTGCTGATGGGATCAGAGTGACAAACAGACATTGAGACATCCTGGCAGCCCTGCAGCTGTGGTGCCCTTCAGCATGATGTAGGATGTACAAAACTGACTACTACACTATTCATGACACTGAAGTGTAATTTAAGTTATTTGTAACGTGCCCTGTAAAGCTACTTCATAATGAAACAGAAGCATTAACTGTATAACAGAACTGTACTTCAGTTCACATAGATGTTAATCCTGTGCTGTCAGTTCTAACGTCCTGTAGATTTAATAACTACGCTGCATAGCAAAAGCAACCATTTTGCATGTGGAAGCATGCTTTATGCTTTGGAAAACTGAAAGAGGATTTGAAGGGTAACTGCCAAATGTTAAAACTTGAGATCCACAAAATGATATCATTGTAGCAATTTTAAAAAAGCATTTTTCAGCAGTGTTTAGCAGTGCTGTGTGATCCAATACATCAAAGGATGCAAACAGTTCTAAAAACAATTTGTGTAAATACTGGTATGAAATCTTGCCTGGGAGTTAGAGAACTGAAATCCATAATTCTTGCCTTTATTTTTTTTTTTCCCCCCCAGAGGATTTTGTTAGGCTGTGCTACTTCCTGCCCTTCTCCCCTTTCTGGTAGTTCTAAGTGTTACCAGTCTGTCACATCGCTGTTTTCCCCGCCTGCTGAAGAGTCAGTCCTGGCACAGTGTCCGTCCTTCCATCTTCTTTTTATTCATAGCCTGTCTCTCGGGTTTCTCCAGATCATAGTGATGTTCCTTTAACCAATTCAAGAAGGCATTTGAAGAAAGCTTGACTCTTTTATTAGTTATTTTAAATCAACTAATTTTACCTAAACAGATTGCATTGAATGTTTTCTGTGTTACTGCTCGGACTGTTAGTGAGTCAGTATGGGCACCTGGGGGCTTCCACTAGCTCACACCTGAGCCTTGAAAAGAGATCTGACCAAAGACAAGTTTCATCTTTGTACAGAACAGCCAGCTTGTGCCCTTGGATGTTCTATCTGTGCACTGTCAAGAGACAGCTCTAATTCTTGAACTTGTTACTGAAGTGATGGTAGCCTTTAGTTCAAGAGAACTTCTGTGCTCAAAGTCCAAATGAGGAAGGGAAATAAAATACTCATGCATGACCTCATGGATCATTTCTAGAATGTTAATTTGAGCATTTCTTTAATGAATATGTAGAAAAACGAACGGTGGGTCTTTTCTGTGGAATGCTTTCTCTTTGTGGTCTGGTGCCTCTGGGTTTTATTGGCTTGCAGTGCAACATATTTTTACCGGTACTAAAGCTTGCTCTTGAAATAGGTAGTGAAACTGAAGATAACAGCTAATACTGTTTCAGTCTAATGGAACTTTGTAACACTAGAGTAGGAAGAAGGGACTTTTAAGAGCACCTGTGAAAGCTGTACAGATGTTAATATAAAACATTTTATGAATGTAAAACTACCCTTCAGATTTCCTGAATTTGGAGTCAGAAGCACAGCTTGTTATGGATTCTGGAGACGCACATTCTTTCATTGCACATTCTTTGGGACTTAGTAGATTGCTAGTTACAATGATATTAAATATAATGAGAATGAAACAAGTGATTAATATTGGTTTATTTGCATTCAGGTGTTGACATTTAATATTTCTCTACAAAAAAAAAAGGGTGATAATCATTTTTGTCATCTCTCCAGATATTTTAATATTATTATTTTTAAAACACTCTTGTAGAGAGGAAGATTCAGAAAGTGAGAAAGATAAGAAAGTCTGGTACTATAGTACAAAGATTCAGCTGGCAGAGTTAATTGAATGCCTAGACAAAGATTACTGGGAAGCTGACCTATGCAAAACTCTGGAAGAAATGCGTGAAGAAGTTCATCGGCACATGGATGTAACAGAAGACCTTACTAACAAAGCCAGGGGCACCAACAAGTCTTTCCTTTCTGCAGCAAATGGTAAGCATATTCTGTCTAGTGGGAATAAGTACTGCACTTTGAATCAAATTCTAGCTTATATTTATTTTATTGTAAAATGTTCATTGAGCCAAACTGATAATAGCAGTTCTTTTCAGTGTGTTATTAAATTCTTGTATTCAAAAAACCAGTCCATTTCTGAATTTACAGGGAGAAAAAGATTTTTACATCAACTCGTCAGAACTTTTTTGGTGTTCACTGTCATTTTTTTTTTTTAACAGTTTAACTGCTGTTTATATCTGATAGCTGGTTTGCATCAAACTGGATGTGCTTCACTCTGATTTAGCGTGGATTTTGATTGAACATTCATTTTACAGTGAAAGTGACTGACCTAAAGGAAGTGCTGTGTAGCAAAATGTTAGCATTTTCTTAGCTGGATTTGTTTGGGAAGTGTTCAACTAAATGAATGAATATATGGCAGGAAATTATTTTACATCCTACTCCATGAATGTGTCATTAATGCTTGAAGCTAGGTCATACTTGCATTAATGTTGTTCCTGCTAGCCACAGTTGGACTGTGAGTAGAAAGCTTTGGAGAACCATCGTGCAGTGATGGCTGTGTAGTGATGACTTAGGCCTCTGTATCGTGTGTTCCAGGATCTCCTGAATGATTCAAATTTCTGATTTGCTTAGGGTGTGCCAGATTGTGATCCCTTCATGTGTTGGAGCTGGGCTGTCAATTATTTGTTAATTTACTGTTACTCTCTCTTGCTCATTCAATCTCTATCTTCATAAACATTTATCAACTCAATGGGAGTTGCAGAAATCTTCAAGCTCAAATATTTTCTTCAGTATTATATAAAGTATGAAGGAATGCTGTCTCCCTTGCAGTTCCCTGCTAGAAGTTAATGTGCCTTGAAACAATGAATGCCTCTGTAAACCTGTGGAAGCTCTGGGGGAGGCCATGAAAGTTGGATATTCTGCTTTAAAAATGGATTTGTCATCATTATATAAATGCATAATTTGCTATCATTATTAGACCTTCAGAATTGTTTCTTCTAAGAAAAAAAAGTGATAAAGTTGGATGTTACTTTTTGTCCATAAATGAAAGGAAACAGTGTCTATGCCATGCTCTTTTCTGCTTATAATCTCTGCAGGTGCTGCTTAGTGTGTATTGATGACGTGCGTTTTATTGTAGATGAAATTTTGGATGCTATCAGAGCAAGAAGAGGAGAGGTAGAGGAAGACAGAAACACACCAGCAGACGAGGCAGAAAAAGCCAAAAGCGATGCTGAGAATGACCAGGCAGATGGTGAGAAAGGCAAGAAAGAATCTGGAGATCAAGATAAAGCTGAGGACACATCCACTGAGCAAACTATGGAGAAAGTGAAAAATGAAGGTAAAGGAACATGACTGTGCTTTAACAACTACAGTTATGTAAAGAGATGGTTTCGTTTATGTCCTTACGTTTCCCAAGCTAGTTTGTTGTCTGATTCTTTATTTTTAAGCAATATTTGTTGATTTATTTGTGGTTGTATGTTATAATTATTTCTTTCGTTAAGTAATTTCACGGTACTTTAGCTTGAGGTACAAGTGGCGTTGAAGGAATGTGATCAACATCTGTAGTAAGCAGTATTTCAGCGTTGTTTTAACATTGTTTTCCTCATCTGAATTAAGTAGTTTCAGACAAGACTTTCCAATAGCAGGAGACAGAAGGGGGGAGGGCGGGAATAAGAAATCTCAGCAACGTGAAATAGTTGGGCAAAATTAATAAAGCTGCTTTCTATGAGTGACCCCAAATGACAACCTAAGACATACTGGAGAATATCCCTAAAGTTTTGTTGTGCATTTTACTATAGAGGCAACAGTCATTGGGGATAAAAGTAACTGTCTGACATCGAGCACTGACGACAACAACACAAATCCTTCTGCAGGAGAGAATAGTTGCTCTGAAGGGAAGAACGCAATGGGGTGTCAGTCAGAAACCCCTGATAGCAACAACGTGGCAGAGAAGAAGGTGGCATCAGAGCTCCATCAGGAACTCTCAGGTACAGAAGGCACTGTTACTGATGCCTCTGTAATTTGGGTAATCTGTTCAGTTTTTCTATCTGGTTTGTCCACTAAAACCATTCACAGCGTATGTCACTCATGCTGTTTGCTTGCAGTGCCATCCTTTACTGCTACGTTGTCATTAACATTTCAAAGTTAATTTTCTTGCAATCAGTGCTGGAAATTTGTGGTCCTCCATGACATTAGCATTTGTTTCCATGCTTTCCAAAGATGACTACAGCTAAGCTTTTTACGTTCTATTTTCTTTATATTTTGTTTTTGCACAGTGATCCGTAATGGTTGTTAGTATCCTATCAAAGTTAATTTCAAATTCTAATTTGCGAATGGCTTTTATTATTTTAACCTCTCATTTACTATATCAATTACTAATAAAATAATTTCATTCACATGAGTAAACTGTTGCACTGAGATTTCAGGATAAAAATTGTCATGATTGACAGGAATTTTAAACAGATTTAAGACTTACGTGCACAAAAGCTTTTGTATTTTAGATGTGTCAATGTATGTCAATGGTTGTAAATAATAACATTGTGTTTAAAAAAGAGCTTTAGATTTAGTAACAAACACAATTTGATCCACTGTGATGTGAGTTACTGGAGTATTCTTTTAGAGTGATATTCTCTCAAGCTTACTGTGTAACTGGAAGTTACTCTAAGCAACTTTAATGTATTTTCAGTTGCTATAAATAAAGAAATACTCAACTGTGTAATGCAGACAGTTTGTTTGAAATAGTGTAGTAGTAAACATTTTCTCTCCAGCTGAAATAATTGCAATCTGTACCCAAGTGAATAACTCTTGAACTTCTTCATATGAATACATCTCAACTTGGTAATAAACTTTGTCAATAGGAGAAAATGAAAGTTAAGATTAATCCATAATCTGGAACATATATATATATAGGTTAATGCTACCTTTTAAAAAATTTATATTGACACACTTTCATACAGGTACTTTTCTTCTTCCAGAGCTGCTGGCTGCTATTTCTAAATTAGTGAGCTTTGTCTTTAGGAAAGCGTGGATGATGAGTTTTTCCTGCAGTCTATTTACTGTATTTATAGTGATGCTTGCGTTCCTATTAAGAAGTTTCATTTTGAGACCATTATTTCAGAGAGAGCAGGGATACTGAACTGTTGTCAGTAAAGCAGCCAGCCTTAAAGACAAGAAAATAAGATAAAATGAAGAACCTGAACAAAACTATGTCACTGTCGTTGCTAAATGTAATGTGGGTCTTTTGAGTCTATGTTTCTTCTCTCTTCCAAACAGCAGGCACAAAATTATTCCATTTTTCCCATACTAAAAGGGAAATGGGTCAAATAATGTCAGTCACCCATTTGGCAGTGCCAGAAATCAAGATGTGTTTGGGTTAGGGCTCTTCCAAGAATCTAAGAATATTTACCTTAAGATCTTTTTGCTATCTGTGAATGTTTCACAGAAGGAAGGTTTTGGTCTGTTGCCTTCTTAATGGGATCCCTGATCTTTTGAAAGAGTTCCAGAAATAGACAAATCTTTTTTTTAAATTAAGCTATGTCTGTGCACAACATTAAGATAACATTGCTTTTGTAAGCGTTGATGCCTTCTTCCTGGGAAGAGGGAGCAATTTATTTCTAGGCCATTGCAATTCAGTGGCACTTAAGTTGAAAGATCATACTTGGACCCAGTCTTGTAGAGACAAGAGAGGTAGCAGTTATGTCTGCAGCTATCCAGAGAGATGGCAGCAAGGACAGCTGAAGAGTGAGAACTCATTACTCTTACAGAGCTTGAAGCAATGTGTAGATGCACCAGATTGTAAGAGAGAAGCTGATATTTTAAGTTTGTAGAAGAGAAGATCTGATAAAGTGATACAAATGGAATTGAAATTGGTGGGACTCCTCAGAATCAAATGCGCTGAAGAAGAGGAGATGATCAAAGATGGGATTAAAAATGGGAAGGGAACTGAGAATGGCATGCTTTGTTAAAGTGTGATATCATCAAAAGAGAGACTCATAGAAGCTTCAGACCAAATTTCATTAAATCTGCATTCTAAAAGCAAACCAAAATCTCAGTAAAGAGCTTATTGTTTGTGCATATAGAGGAAAAAAAATATTTCAAATAATAAATACATGAAGTAATGTGCTTTAAATTTCACTTTCAGAAAGTTTAAGGTTTAATTTGGAGCTATAGAAACCACTTGGAACAGAACAACAACAAAAACTTGCAGGGATTCAGTGCTCTGGAGGAAACTAATATCTTACAGGTGTTCCTTTGCAGTCCAGCAAAAGACGTTCATCTGACTTTGAATTTTTCATTAAAAAAAAAAATAAATAAAATAAAAAAATTGCACTGATTCAATTTAAGAGGAAAACTAAAAATCAAGTTCTTCTTTTGTAGAAGAAACTGGTCAGATGATCCCTAGCAACAGCAGTGCGTCTGCTGCAGCTCCGCAGACAGATGTTGAAAACAGCAACAGTAGTGAGCTCAGCTCCGGGCAGAATGACTCCATTAAGATGCCTGATGATGCTGAAAATGCAGAGGGGGGATCACAGACTTCAGAGGACATAGGTAAAAAAAAAAATTAAAGAAAACATTGCTATATATTTTCATGTTATTTGTTTTTTATTTTTACTTCAATACATCAACAGAAAACTCTTAGCTTTTGAGTTTGTTTTAAAAGCCTTTTTTTTCTTGGACAGGAGAGAAAGCCAATGGTGAAAGAAGTGATTCTCCAGGCGCTGGGAAAGGGATGCCAGGTTCAACACGAATGCTCACAAGATTACGAAACCCGGATAGCAAGTTGTGCCAGATGAAAAGCCAGCAGGTTGCTGCTGCAGCGCATGAAGCAAATAAGATACATAAAGAAAACAGAGAGGTTTGTGCACTCTTGGAAAATTCGGGGGAGAAGGAAGACTGTTTTAGAAAACTGATGTGCTTTGTGTTTTTTTTTAATTTAAAAAAAAAAGTGATTTGGAAGATACTTTTAGAAAGAAAGTTCTAATAACCACACGTTGTGTCACAAGCTTTTTTTCTCCTTTTCGTTTGCTCTTGCAGTATAAGTTGCTATCTATACTGTGGTATAACAGTGACCCAGTGCACGTACTTGATTTTAAAGTGCTGGTCACAAGCTATGGAGTTGTTCATGATATGGCCAGTAGTAAGTTATATACATTTTCTCTTACTTCTGTCTTCAAAGTTCTCAGAACGGCTGTGCCAAAACTGTAACTTAATAGTGGTTTGTGTTTGGTTGTTGTTTGAGTAGCTGGGTAATAACCAGGTTTCCAGTTCATAATCTGTACTGGCAGATTATGTCCACGTAAAAATAGTAGCACTCCTTGGTACAGACTGAAGTGAAAGCTCTCAGATTTAGAACTCCATTATGAGGAGTTATCCATGTCATGTTTTCAAGTCAACAATATTTGTTTGGATACATATATGAGTTCTGTGATTTACTCTGAAGGTGTTTCACAGAAAGCTTATTTCAGTTTAGTTAAGCTATTCTCCCAGAGCCATCAGTAGACATAATTCAGAGCAGCAGAACAGGATCCTGTTTGACTTGCTGAAGAGGCTTTTTTTTTTTTTCTTTCGAAGTGTTGGTCTTGGGAATATTGTAGCTCTCTGTGCAGTGAGTGCAAATATATGATAAACAGTTACAAACTAATGCTGGGTATCTTTACTAATTTATATATAGGCAGTTGAAGCCTTATAACAATTAAATTGCAAACTTTGAAAATCATTCTTTCTTGAACTAGGTTCTGGTGGTCAACTCTCAAGGTGAAGTTTCCCGAATGAACACAAAGAGGGAAATTGTGATGAAAGGAAATATCAACAATTATTTCAAATTAGGTCAAGAGGGGAAATACCGTGTTTATCATAATCAGTATGCCACTAATTCCTTTGCATTGAACAAGCACCAACACAGGGAAGACCATGACAAGAGACGACATCTCTCACATAAATTCTGTCTGACTACTGCTGGAGAGTTCAAATGGAATGGGTCTGTACATGGGTCCAAGGTTCTTACCATATCCACTTTAAGGCTAACTATTATTCAGCTAGAAAACAATATCCCGGCATCGTTCCTTCACCCTAACTGGGCTTCTCACAGGTAAAGATATGTTGTCTTGTGTTTTTGCTAATAGTATGAATGGGTAATAGCCTTTGTTTAATCAAGTTGGTGATTTTCAAGGACCAAGCTTCAGTATATTGAAATATAAGAAGTTTGAGTCTTGTGATGAATGACTAAAGATTGCACATTTGAGTTAAATATTAAAATATAGGAGGCTTTATCCTGTTATGTTCATCGACTTACCATGCTGTATCAGTACGTGTATATGTTTCATGTTTTTATCTTGTCTCCAATTTAGGTCTAACTGGATTAAGGCTGTTCAGATGTGCAGCAAACCTAGAGAATTTGCACTAGCTCTGGCTATATTGGAATGCGCAATTAAGCCTGTGGTGATGTTGCCAATCTGGCGGGAATCCTTGGGGCATACTAGGTAAAAAAATAAAGAAAAAAAATCCATACACTTTCAAGCTTTATATTTCTAGAGGAACTAGTAAGTATTAATTACTGCAGCTGTGTCTAAGAGTAGACAGAGCTGCAGACAGCTATGTCTGCATTATTGGAATAAGCAAAAAATTGGGTTCCTGTTGCAATTAATGCATATAACCTGATATTAGCCTTTCCTCTTAACTTCAGATATTTTAAATTATTGAAATGGGTGGCATAGACAGTTGTTTGATTTATTGTATTTGTTTGTAAGATCCTGTACTTAAGTATACTTAAATTTGCCTAAACCTGTATGTACTAGATTACGCAGAATGACTGCAATAGAAAGGGAAGAAAAGGAGAAAGTGAAAAAAAAAGAGAGAAAACAAGAAGAAGAAGAAACAATGCAGCAAGCTACATGGGTGAAATATACATTCCCTGTTAAACATCAGGTAAGGTTTTATTTTGCATGAAAAACATGCAAAATACAGAAAGTATTGATGTCTAACTTTTTTTCTATTTTCTTTAAAGTCTTAAAATATTCATTGATTAATTGATTCAGTTACCAGCAGACACATCTTGAAATTTAGCTTGTATGTTATTTCACATATACACTTCAGTTTGCTTCAAAAATTCTGTAAATTAGAAAGTTAAAGATTTAAACTTAAGACATCTTAGGTTTTTAAATGAATGTATACATTAGCAGTGCAGCAAAAAAGCATGATTAAAATGAATATATTTAAAATATTCATCAGGTTTGGAAACAAAAAGGAGAGGAATATAGAGTAACAGGATATGGTGGCTGGAGCTGGATCAGTAAAACACACGTCCATAGGTTTATGCCCAAATTGCCTGGAAATACCAATGCAAATTACAGAAAGTTGCTGCCAAGTAAGTGTCTGCATTAATTAGAATCTTTTTTTTAATTTTTCACGTACTGCCTTCTGTTACCTATTCATATAATTTGTGTTAATTATAAAATTAATAGTTCATAATCATTGTTAATATACTCAGTTCTCATGGATATTTTTTAGCTACATTAAATTTTTACAAGTATGAAGTTCTGGGGTATTGGTAGATTATGTAAATTAAAGACTGAGGAAAATACACAGATTGGCAAAAAGTGGCATCTAATACATGGGTGAATGTATGTATCTCTTTTTTTCTGCATTGACAGATGTGTGAATAGGCATTGAAATGTAGCAGATTATTAAAAAAAAAATAAGCCCTTTGAATAATTGAAACCATTTAATCTGTTAACAGCAAAGAATGAAGATGAAAAATGCAATTTGGATAAAAGAAAAGGTCCAATAAAAGTAAAAACAGAGAAAGATAGAATGAAGGATTCTCATGATCTTCAAGCAAAGGACAAAGGCAGCAGCATGTCAGAAGCAGCGGAGAAAGTACAAGTGAAGGAAGAAAAGTCACGTGAAGAAAAAGTTGATACAAATTCTGAAAACTTAGGTCATGCAAAAGACAAAGGTGATATACATAAATCATTGTAAAACTAGCTATTCATTGCAATACTCTGTGTAGAAGCCTATGACCTCATGAATAACTACTAAAAACTGTAATGAGTTGTGTTGAGACATCTCAGTTAAGTATTTTTTTTTTAATTGTCTTTTGTAGAAATGTCTAAAGTTTTCATTTTCTTTTTCTTGAAATTTAATAATATGTTATAAGGTGCATTTATTTATTAGTTTTTAATGCAAAAACACACTTTTGGGATTCATTATTAAAGGAACTTATTGATTCAGAATTATTTCTTCACAGAGGAAAAAGAAATCGATGCTGAAAATTTTAAAGTCATCAAGGAAGAACCTATGGATATAGATTTGAAAACTGAATCCTCAATAAAAGATGAGGATAATCACTGTAAACTTGATATAATCAACGTCAGCGAGGGATTTCATTTAAGGACTTGCTACAAGAGGAAAGTCAAATCATCAAAATTAGATGGACTACTTGAGAGACGAATAAAACAATTTACACTGGAAGAAAAACAACGTCTAGAGAGGATGAAACTGGAGGCTAGTGCTAAAAATGGAGGCATTCAATCATTAAGCTCCCAGAAAAATTTAGAAGAGCTACAAATGAAAAAAGTAAAGGAAGGAAGTCAATCAGACACATCTTCCCAAAATCAAACCTATATTTCAGATAAAGTCCAAAATGAAGATACAGGTCAGGATTGCTTGCCAATCAGCAGCATCTCTTCTATGAAAACTGGTGAGCTAGATGAGCTCTCTTTACCTTCAACAAATAGGCTGTCAAAAAGAGAAGGTCAGCTTCTAGATGAAGACTCACCTCAGTCCTCTGAAGGTGAAAGATCTATTCAGAATGATAGCAAAGACAAAAACTCTGAACCTGTGGCAGCTGATAAGAGTCAAGTACGAGAAGATGTTAGAGTGTGTGAGAGTTCCATTGTTGAGGACTTGAAACAAACAAGTACAGATGGTAAAGTCAAATGGGATGTTTTGGAAACAAATGAGAAGCCTTTCAAACAAAAACCACCTATTACCAGAGTATCTCAGAGAGAATGTGAAAAGTCAGAGCCAGTGATAAGTAAAAGCAGCTGTAGAAAAGGTGCTGTGGCTATTTCTGACAAAACAAATACGGAAGGGAATTCTGAACAGCAGAGCAAAGATCCAGAAAAGAATTGTATAATAAAAAGCCATTTTGAACCACTGTCCTTTCAAAAAAGTGAACTGGATAAAGACATTACTCCAAGAAAAACTGAAAGTAAATCTGAAAACAAGGTTGTATTTCACCAGAAATTAGTTAGTAAAGATATAGAACCACTTAAAACCGAGCTAATTTCTGAAAGAAACCTTGGAAGTCAAACTTTGGAACGTGAGGATGGAGTGAAAGTTGATGAGGAACTACTGAGCTCTCAACTAAATGAGGCTAATGGTCAAAAGAAAGGTCAGGAACTGAAGGTAGACACAAATACCATAAACAAATACCTTGATCAAACAAATCTAAATAGTGTTACTGACAAAATGAATAATAAAGATGAAGAAACTGAAATGGACTTAGAAAAAGGTAAATCAACATTTCAAATGAATGGAAAAGACAGTGATATTAAAGTACTATCAAATGATGAAAGTTTAGTTAAAGTCAACTATGAAGCGACAACAGGAGATGATATTGAACCAAGAGTTAATAATATTAATAAATCCTTTCCAGAGCATGAAATGAAACCACTGACTTCTAAGGAATCTTCAGTAAAACCATTCATGAATGGTGACATCACAACTGAGGACAGTGTTGATAAAAATGCTCTGGACCCTAAGTCCTCTCTGCAGAGTTCACCTGAATTTGAAGCTGAAAAGACTCTTCAGCCATCAGAGGAAGTCCCAAATTATGTGCAGAAAACTGAAGAAAAACATCTTTCTCCTCAAAGATCTGCCTTTCTTGATACTTCTTCCACACCAGCACATGATTTCTGTAAAGAAAATAATCTTAGCAGTGAAACAGAATCTATGGAAACCGAACATGCTGAGGATAAGAAAGTCGCTTCATCTCCTGTAATGTCATGTGAGGAATCTAGCTTGAGTAGTGACTTTGCTGATCAGAATGGTCTACAGACATACAAAGTAGAAGATGTTAATGGAGAAAGTAAAATAAAAACTGTTATTACTGAAGTGACCACCACAACATCAACTGTTTCTACAGAATCCAAAACTGTGTTTAAAGTTGCAGAGACTCTAGCTTCTAATGATGAGAAAACAACAGTGGTGTCATCTACAGAAAACTGTGCCGTATCCACTGTAACTACCACCACCACTGTGACTAAGCTTACCACTCCAGCTACACACAGCAATGTTGATGTCATTTCTGTACAAGAACATCGTAAAACAGTGGTTACAACAACAGTGACTGATTCTCTGTCCACCCCAGAAGGCACATTGGTTACTTCCATGACTGTCAGCAAAGAGTATTCTACAAAAGACAAAGTGAAGTTAATGAAATTTACAAAACCCAAAAAAACACGTTCTGGAACTGCCTTGCCATCATATAGAAAATTTGTAACCAAAAGCAGTAAAAAAAGCATATTTGTTTTACCCAATGATGACTTAAAAAAGCTAGCCAGAAGAGGAGGGATCAGAGAAGTTCCCTATTTCAATTATAATGCAAAGCCTGCATTGGATATCTGGCCGTATCCATCTCCAAGACCAACTTTTGGGATCACTTGGAGGTATATATGTTATGTTTTAGAGGAAAAGTTTAGGATAAAACAAAATTAACTGGATTTAAAAATAAAGATGACGCACGTGTTCATGCCCAGAAGTGACTTTTTCACTAACTTGAGTCCAAGTGGAAAATTTTTCCTCTTGCTCACAATAAATTCAGGGTTTTTGAAATGACAGTAATTTTACTTACAAGATTGGATAACTGTACTGTCCTTGTTGTTCAAACCTGATTTTCTCCTACCTTTTTAATTTTGAACTTCCTTCTTGGAATTTCAAAGAGTGCTTTGAGCTGCAAAATGAAAACCTCTTGTATAGTTGGCGAGATGGGAGCTGTTATAAATTTTGCTGTTATTACAAACAAATATATTGTGCAGTACAAGTAGAATGGAAAATGTGTCATTGGTTTACTTAGGTAATATAAATACATTTTGATTTTAGAATTTACTTTAATACTTTCTTGGTAGGTACCGACTTCAAACAGTAAAATCTTTGGCTGGGGTGAGCCTTATGCTGCGACTGCTGTGGGCATGTCTCAAATGGGATGACATGGCTGCAAAAGCTCCACCTGGAGGAGGAACTACACGTACAGGTATTCCTTTACATTTTGGGTACATTCTGAATGCAACTGCTCTTGCTGTTAATTTTGACTGTTACTTTGATTCCATTTTTTTCTCTAAAGGCTTGATATTGATTTGGTTTTACACTTTTTTAATAGCCAACAGTTTGCACTGTAGTTGCTCTTTACCTTGAGTATATTGGATTGATTGGAGATTTAACCTTATTTTCCTGCTCTTAACGTGTTGGGACTAATTTGTTTTAGAAACTACTGAAACTGAAATTACAACAACAGAAATAATTAAGCGAAGAGATGTTGGTCCATATGGAATCCGGTCAGAGTACTGTATAAGAAAAATTATTTGTCCCATTGGTGTACCAGAGGCTCCAAAAGGTATGTTTGTTTGTACATTTTTCCCCTTCCATGTAAGCTTCTGCAGAATTAAGGTAACTAGACCTTTATAAGAATTCAGACCATCAAAGGAGCAAACATAGTTGACATGAACTGTTCATTCTCCTGTGTGAAAAAGATAATGCATTTAAAAACCTGACTTGACTTCTCTAAAGCTGAAAGGTATTCCAGTTTCTAAAATAAGACTAAAAAAGGTACTAAATTTTGGTTTACACTTCAATTCTTTTTTATGATTGAGCTTAATGTGTATGTTTTGACTGTTCTCTAAAGAAACTCCAACACCCCAGAGGAAGGGACTTCGATCAAGTGCACTAAGGCCAAAAAGGCCAGAAACACCCAAGCAAACAGGCCCTGTTATAATTGAAAGTTGGGTAGCAGAGGAGGAATTGGAGTTATGGGAGATCAGGGCATTTGCTGAAAGGTAAGCCAACTCAAATAAGCTTTCTTTGAAAGTTTTGGTTTTTGTGTGTATGTTGAATAAAAGTTCCCACTATAGAGGACAAACTTGATAGCTGCAATCAGTTTAGGCTGATCTGCGTTGCTTTTTATTTCTGTGCCTTTTGTTAGTAATGCTGAAGCACAAAATTGTAAAACTAAATTATTTGCTAATACTAAAACTTAATTTATGCAGATCTAACAGATTTGTTAAAATGATTCCATTTTTGTGAAGTCATCAGTGTTGCATTAGTAAAAGGCTATTATGGGAATGCTTTTTGCTTGACTTCAAATAGTATTTTTAAATACTTCTGTAACACAAAATTATTGTATGTATGTGTTTTTAAGTAAAGGTAAATTCAATCTTAGAATATTCAAGTGATTAAAAAGAAAGTATTTTCAATGTTTTGTACTGAACATTGGAACATTTTGAGTCCCTTGAAAATAATGTAATAGAATGTTACATCATATTTGCGGTCTCAGATGTATTTATAAATTCTAGTTTTGATTAATAGTTTCTTCTAAGGTGTCCGCATGACTTTAGCACCTGAGTATTTTAGGAATGTTGCATGCACTTTCAATACCTTATTTCAGAATACTTTTAAAAGCATAACCCATTTCTCAGTGATCTTCAGACTTGATGTTTGTTCTTGTTAAGAGCAGTTCAATTGGATGAGTTGACATCCAGTTTGATGGTTGGAATTTGTGTGCTAACTTTCTTTCTGGTTGTGTGTCTTTGGCAGGGTGGAGAAGGAAAAGGCGCAGGCAGTTGAACAGCAGGCTAAGGTTAGTGAACAGAAAAAGGCTCAACTAAAACAGCAAGCATTGGCTGCCCCTGCTCTTTTTTTTTTTCTTTTTTTCAATCAAGTCTGAGAAGCACCAGTCTCCAGTTAAGGTCAACAGTGTTTTATGCTGTAATGGAAAGCTGCCATGGTGTACAACTGACTTTGGAATATTACTCTTTTTTTTTTTTTCCCCCATGCTTTAATCACATAAAATCAAAAGATTGACCTATCCAAAGTTGGATGAATGAAGCCCACAGAATTGTTTCATATACATATAGATATATATATGTGTGGGTGTATTTTGTATGTATGTATGTAAATATGTATACATGTATAACTAAGAAACCCAGTGCCATGATGGTATTTGACATGCAATAATAAGAAGTGGTTTTCTTACAGTCTGTTCATTTTTTTGTCATCTTCCCTGACCCATATGAATTACTGTGAATCAGAAAAACTCATTCACTTCTAATTACCTCAGTGCTAAAGATAACCAATTACTGAAATTTAAATTAATAAGTGTCGAGGTGATTCCACTAAGATAGGGAAGAATGTTAACACTTTTGGCGTTGTTAAAGAGCATACTGATACTGCCCTTTTACAGGATGGCTCTCTAAATTAAAGGTACCTCTTTGACAGGCACAGCACAGAAGGTTGCTGAGTGTGATAGGATAGGAAGGATATTGAACCTGTTTTATTTAAGCACTGCTTTAGTTAGAAGAATATGTTTAATGGTTAATTTGATGAAGTAGGAGGATTGTCTTCTGTAACTGGCAGGATTTCAGTGCAGGCAGCTCTAGACTTAGGAATGCCAGTAATGAACCCTTCTGGTGTATCCCTGAAGTACATGGTGTCTGTATATACACAGTCAAAGCCAAATACAAATGAATACTTTTCAAAGTGTTTTTTTTAATCTTCCAATCTGAGATTAATTAATATGTTTTCTTTAAAATGTGTAGTGAAATTAACTGTGTAATCTGAAGGGTTTAGAGAAGAAAATTACTGGTTGAGTACTGTAAGCAGGGTGAAGGATGCTTGTGCTTGCAGTGCTCTAAGGTATGCAAACAGTTTATACTTCAGTCACTTACAACTTGAACTGAAATCTTACCAGGGTTATTTTTCAATACTGCATTTATTTTACAAAATCTGAAAATTATTATTTTTTTTTTTTTTCTCTGAATTCTGTAGAAACGTCTGGAACAGCAGAAGCAGATACCTGTAGCAGGTGTGGCTGCCACTGTCACTACAGCCAGCAGCACTACAAGTACAGTCTCAACTCCACAGAAAGTTGTGGTGGGCCCTTTAGCGGGCCCGGTTCCCACTGGAACCAAAGTAGTACTTACTACAAAAGTGGGTTCTCCAGCTACAGTAACATTCCAACAGAACAAGAATTTCCATCAGACTTTTGCTACTTGGGTTAAACAAGGCCAATCTTCAACAGGTAATTGTTTATCTTGGAAAGAAAATCTAAGTAGGAGGAATTTATGGACGCATCCTACCTACATCCAACACTTCCATCTTCTCCAAAATATAGCATAGCTGCATTTCATATCATTGCTCTTAACTCTCTGCCATGTCAGCAGGGTGCTTCTAAAATAATACCTGTCTAATCTTTCTTTGCTCGGACTTCCTAGATGTTTTTATTTCTGACCTGTCTCATTTATTACTGACAGTTGTTGTACCAGTGATCGTTGATGATGAAAGCATTCTGTGCTGTAACTTGCTGTTTCCAAAAATGTCTTTACCAAAGAAAGAATGACACACTGTAAAAATAATCCTGTAGTTTGCTGTTTCGTACTTGAAAATAGTCATATTCTTGACTAATTATTCTGCTCTAAAATTGACTGTTCTGTGTACCTCAATAGCCACTAGCACAGCTGCCACTTCAGCCACAACCATTGCCAGCACAGGGCAGACCTTCCAGATCTCAGGCAGTCCAGTAACGATGGCAGGGAAAGTGATAACTAAGCTGCCACTCCCTGCAAACAGCAAGATTGTTGCCGTCAATGTGCCATCAACTCAAGGAGGTAGGGGAAAGGGAACCGAATTAAAAAATGTATTCCAGCTTGCTGTTTAATTCTCCATTGACGCTATTTTCCCAGTGAAGTAAACTGTGACTTGAAGGGGGAAAAAAATGTATACCATTTTCTCCCTGTATGGAGTATTTGTGTCTGGGGGAAAAAATGCAAGTGTTTTGCCTGTAAATTATTCTACTTTAAACTGTGTGGAATGAAGCATGCTTTTTCTCGTTATCTACATTAAACATCAACAAAATAATTTTCTACCAAACTAAAAAAAAATCCACTGTTGTTCGTAGACATTTATGCCTGCATCTGCTCTTCACTGATGAGCAAGAGTTTGACTCCAAACTAAGGTTAGCATTTTCCTTCTTGCCTCAAGAAGAGAGCTCAATACTTGGAGATACATGAATGTATGTTAAATAGAAAAACTTGATTCTCAGTCTCCATTTTACTTAGTGTCTAAGGAAGTCATGAAAGTTACCAGGCTTGTGTTGAAATGTCTTAGGTGACAAGAAAAGTGTTACCCATTTTCTTTAGAACCATGAGCTTGTAGGTGAAAGGTTTAAACTGGTCTCCTCCATTATAAATGAGTCAGATTTACTTATACTTAATGGTTGCATAGTACTAATTTTGTGGCACCGTGTCATGCAAGGCCTGATTAGCAGTTACCATCATACTGATCTTTATGAAGATTCACTCTTTCCTTAACCTTTTCTGAAATACCTGTCTCATAACTTCAAATGTAGTTGGACTGTTGACAAAGTATAATGCTGGCTTTTTACAAAGATTATCCCAAGAAGCATTAAAAGATGGAGAAGTGTTTTAGAAACCTGAAGACTTGTTTTGAGAGCTACCCTGGAGTTGCATTTTGTTCTTCTACTAGCAATTATATTATTAATGAATTCTCAATTTTTCTTTAATTAGGTGTTGTTCAAGTTCAGCAAAAGGTATTGGGCATCATTCCATCAACAACAGGTGCAAGTCAAACATTTACTTCATTCCAGCCAAGGACAGCCACTGTAACAATTAGGCCAAATACCACAGGGACTTTAGGAACTACAAGTACTTCACAAGTAAGATGTTTTTCTTATTGTTAAGCAAAAATTTGGTGTGCATATATTGTAAGTTATTTGGTAAATATACTTTGGGCTAGTCACTTTTCAGTGTTTTTGCTTCATCTCAGTAATAGTGTCAGTGGATCCTTTGTTCCCAGCAGTTATATCAGTTCTCTCCAGTGTGGAAAAATTAATAACTTAGATGCTGGTAAGCCTTATCAGTAGGAGCACAAGTGGAAAAAATACTGGATCTACTTGCATCTTTTGTAGAAGGATATGATCCTTCTGTTTCTTGCTATACTGAAAAGAAAAAAAAAAAAAAAAAAACCAACAACTTAAGGGCATATCTCAGTGTTTTTGTGTTGTGTTTTGATGTGTGTGTTTGTTCATAAGTTCACATATGCTTTGTATTCTGGTCTGTGTAGGTGATGCAAGGGACACCACTCCGTCCTGGTATGACAGTAATCCGAACACCACTACAGCAGTCAACACTTGGGAAGGCCATCATTCGAACACCTCTAGTGGTGCAACAAGGTATTCTTCCAGCCAGTAGGTTCATTTTAATATTTAAATTTCCAATGTGAAATCTGTAGTTTGTTTCTAGATAAATACTATCTGTACCATACATTCCAATGCAAAAATACCTCATTTTAGTGCTTGACCTGTAACAAGTGCCTTTTTTGACACTTGAACATGCTGGTAGAAATCTAATAGTTAAAATTGCCTTTTTTTTTTTTTTAAGAAAAATGTTCAGAGTAACTTTTTATTGCGAGATCCTTTCTGTATATTAAAAAAAAAGCGTTTGAAGTTCCTTGTAGAGATGTGAACTGGATGAAAATAAAAAACATTTAACAGACCTTTTTCAATCAACCACATAGCAAAATGGTTTATAATGGAAATTCCTGTGCAAACTGCAATATTCGCTTCTACAAGGAGTTCTGTTTCAAAGGTTTATAGTGTCAATGACTAAAATATTAGCAAGTTTTTCTTTTTTCTTATCACAAATTATTCTCTTACAGGTCAGTCACAGCAGGTAGTGACTCAGATAATCAGAGGTCAACCTGTCTCAACAGCAGTTTCTAGTACCAGCACAGCTTCTACTAGTTCTGGACAGAAGACTGTAACAAGTCCTGGAACTCCACCTCAGCAAATACAGCCACAAACCACATCGCAGCCCCCTCGTCCTCAGCAGGGCCAAGTGAAACTTACCATGGCCCAACTTACACAGCTTACACAAGGACAGGTAAAAATAGCCTCTGAGTGTGAAAATATGCTTGTCCATATGATACACTTTCTCAAATCTTTTGATTTCGGACTTGCAGTTCATCTTCTTGTAAACCTATGTTCTTAGTTATGTTTCAGCCTTCATTTGGAATGACCTGACTGAAAGAAGCTTAAGTAGTATGTGTAAAGTTTTAAATGTGTCTTCCAACAGTATTCCCCAGTAGTATAACTAACATCAGGAAAATTTAGCAGCATAGAAAAATATCTCTGTATTAACAGCAGTGTGGGACAGTTATTATTTTTATGGCTGGTTTCTTAGACCTTTGGAACATATTGTTTTTTCCTTATTTCCTGATGTTGTATGAAAACTTAGTTTTGATTCAAATCGTCCTGAATTTCAGAGGAAAAACTGTCTCTTGATCTGGGATTGGAAAAAAATTATTAGAGCTTCTCAAATTCTTAGGATCTGTTGGAAAAAAGAGAAACTTAGAATTATGCATAGTGTAAAAATTAGGCTTCTACAAGTTTCCACAATAAGTGTTCTTTTCAGTGTTTATTGAATAAGTAGGTGTTTGTAATGTACAGGCTGCTTGTGGCCAAGAAAGATTTTTTTCTATGTAGAAAAAGACTCAAGATTTATTTATTTATTTTGAGACCCCATTCTGTTCTGTGGATTCCAAGCATGTGGAGTTAGACATCTAGGTGTTGTGATGATACCCTGCTTTCTCTGTTTCTCAACATGGAGTGATGTCATGAGCTGAAATTTTATCTGATTCATGGAACCAAAGTATTTCTATAACACTTACTGATAGCTGGAACTCTAATGTCCAAAGTGTCATCTTAAGCAACAGAAATTTACAACAGGTTACAAACTGATCAGTCAGTCATAGGAGCTCAGAGTTGAGTTGGATCTCCCAGTCATTAAGGAAACCTTTGCACTGCACAGAATTTTGATGTAAAATGGTTGGAATTTTTGAGGAAGCATCTGAAAATATCCATTCTTTGGTGTTGCTTGTAAATTCTAGGAACAGAGATGTTCCATTTTAGTGCCTTTCTGGGTAGGGTTCTTGCCAATATTTGGATGAAAATATTTGTTGTTAACTCCAGCTCAGTTATCTGTTGATAGCATTGTTGAAGGAATTTTATACTATTTCATTAATTCAGAGCTGCTTTTGTATTTTAGAAAAATGGTATGTAGGAAATAAATGATATGAGTATTAAATTCTGAAATCCAAAACCATGATTATTCTCTGATTTTGAGCAAGATCTGTCTAAGAATTGTATCACTAATACATTCATATTAATATTTTTCAGGGTGGCAGTCAAGGATTAACAGTGGTAATTCAGGGACAAGGTCAAACTACTGGTCAACTACAATTAATCCCTCAGGGAGTGACTGTAATACCTGGTCCAGGACAACAACTTATGCAAGCAGCTATGCCAAATGGTACAATTCAGAGATTCCTTTTCACCCCACTGCCAGCAGCTGCTACTACAGCTAGCACAACTACAACAACAGCTTCTACTGCAACCTCAGGTAAGCATTAATTCTATTCAAGAGAAAAAGAGGCTTCAATTTAGTCCGCATGGGAATTCTTTTGCAATTGGAGAAAGTATCTTTTAAAAGTAAATTTACTGGAAATGTATTGAGCCTAGAAATACTTTGAATTTCTTCATAGATTTTTACGGTAGTTCTGGAGGGCTCAACTGGGTGAAGCTCATAGACTTGTCATTTGAAGTGAGTGAAATTTATTTTAATCCTGCACAGCTACAGAGCAGAAGCAAGCTCTACAGGCACAGCCAACATCAGTGCAGCCGCCAGTTCAGCCACAGCCTCAGAGTCAGCAGCAAGTCCAGCCTCAAGCACAGAATCAGAGCGCTCAACCTGTGTCCCCCACCCAGCCACAGGCACCACAGCCACCGCTTCAGCCTGAAACTCAGACCCAGCCCGAATCTCAAACTCCAGCATCTCTTGACTCTCCAGTCACACCTGAAGCACAGTCATCTAAATCTCCGGTGCAGTCTCCGGCGCAGACCCAGGCTCAAGGACAATCTCCAGCGCAAGTCCAGAGTCAGCCGCAGAGTGCAGTCCTTCCACAAGGCCAGTCCCAAGTCCAGCCTCAGCAACCAGCTCAGGTGCAGACTACAACCCAACAACAGATTCAGATGCAGCCCCATGCTCCCATACAAATTCAACCTCAGCTGCAGCAATTGCAACCTCAGGTTCAGACTTCGGTCTCAACCCTTCCAACTACTCAAAGTTTAAATCAGGTTCCTGTGCAATCCCCAACTCGTCCTCAGCTGCAACTTCAGCAGCCTCCAACTAAAGTTATTACAGTGCCTCAGCTTCAGCAACAAGTCCAAGTTCTCTCTCAGCTTCAGTCACATGTTGTGGCTCAGATACAAGCCCAACAAGGCAGTGTACCCCAGCAGATCAAGCTTCAGTTACCTATTCAGATTCAACAAAGTAGCCCAGTACAGGCTCACCAGATTCAGAATGTGGTAACAGTTCAAGCAGCTAGTGTTCAGGAGCAGCTGCAGAGAGTTCAGCAGCTCAGAGAGCAGCAACAGAAGAAAAAGCAGCAACAGATAGAAATTAAACGTGAGCACACCCTTCAGGCTTCTAATCAGAGTGACATTATCCAGAAACAGGTAAAGTTAACAGAAGAAAATAAAAATTTAATGAATGAAAGAAATTTCATTTTAAATGCCTGTTCTTGTTAATAATGTTGATACATTTGATAGGCAGTTAATTTGATTTTTTCAAAGCTAGCATACAATTGGTTTTGGCAGTTTAATTAAATATTCTACATTAATTCAGCACATTAAGTCAGTTGTACTATCTTTGCAGTCTTTTGGCACATTGATTCAGCTTACCACTAGCTGCTGGGACAGTATCTCGTTATTCTCAGTTCAGGAAAGATAGGTTATAGATAGGAGAGCTGATGTTCAGAACACGTGTACAGTACTTTTGTTGCCTGCTATAAGGAACTGAGGTTTCAAAGAGGTATCTGAAATGTAATGCTGTTGGATGGCTGCGGGGCTTTAAAAACAAACAGAAAAACCAACGTTTATATAATAGAATCTTACCTTCTTTCTTACTTTTTTTTTTCTTAAATAAAAGTACCATCACTGAAGAAATACTGTCAACATATGTTTAGTCCCTAGGTTTAAACTGTGCATAAACAAAATATCCTACTCTGTCTGGGAGGTGGAGGAGGAATTTTGAATTTCATTTTAAAAGACTTCAAATTTTAAATAATTACTTTAAACAAGTGCTGCCCTGATTAAAAAAAAAAAAAAAAATCAATTCCATTTTTTCACTTACTGAAGTAAATGCTACTTTTTTTCTTCTAACTTAGGAAATGTCCTGGTTCTCCCAGTGGTATTGTGAAATACCAGCTAAAGTTTTCATATTTTGTTTTGGGTTCTCTGTTGTTCTGCAGGTGGTTATGAAACAGAATGCTGTCATAGAACACTTGAAACAAAAGAAGACACTGACTCCAACTGAGAGGGAAGAAAATCAGAGGTGAATATGCATCATGGTGTATCTTTAGATTGGAACTTTTATATTTATAACATCATTTAATATATATAATAAAACAGGTTTATAAACACCTGCTTGAAGAGAAATTGCTATTTTAAAATTGGTTCAAGTAGCACCTGAAAGTAATTGGTGAGAATTGTAACTCAATCCTGTATATTCCCGATTTTACTTTGATAATATGTTTTAAGGTCAGGTGTTGCATGCGTGTGTCTGGAGCTGGCCATAATTGTTAAATTGAAGGTAAATCCATCCTTAAAGAGAATGGAGAATGAATGATTCTGTTGCAGAAAAGCCTGCTTTTAGTCTGTCCTTTATTATGGTTGTTTATTTCCATTTTTTGTCCCTTGCCATCACTTAGTCTCATTTCAGCATTATACGTTCCACTCTACAGAAGGAACTGAAGAGTTGGAAGGTGGCACTATTGAACAAAAGAGGAGATTTCCTCCTTGGAGCTGCTAAACGCAAAATTTTGGAGTGCTTGTCAATTATCTTGGGTTTATCTTGACATCATCTCAGATTTTTATCATCAAGTTAGAGTAAAAGCTTTGTTGATTACAGTGGTGCAGCTAGATGCTGCTTGTTTCACAATTTGATAAAAAAGAAAACAAGTAAACATATGCACCTCATTGAATGGTGTCAGATAGTCAAGATGGTATTTTGAATTGGATTTCTGTAGCAGCAGCTACTTTTCCCAGCCAGAGCTATTTTGTCTGATTTTTGGATCAAATGTCAGTGAGTTATTTTTCATGGTCACTCTGGCAACAAGAAGCATTTAATTTTCTAGGAAGTTTAAAATAGAATGGGAAGGGAAATCAAAGTGTATTTATTATCTTCTGGAAAAATAAAGCAAAGTAAGTGAAATATACAGGACAAGTAAGCAGGGAAAGAGGATTGTAATTGGATGTACAGCAAACATGGAAGAATAATGATTTGTTGCCAGCAGTGAGGAAGTCTAAAACTGCTTTAGTTATATTCGGTCCTTTACACTGAAAAGTATTTGTCATCCTTATGCCAAAGCACAAAATCTTAGTAATATCAGTGCTCAGGGAAGAGTAAGAATTAGTTTTCAGCAAGTTAGAGGCTTCCAGCTTGCATGGCTTTCATCCTGCATCAAAGTAAACAAAATCCAGCTCTTTCCAATGGGTTAGTGGAAACTGAGCTGAGTCAAAATGTCTCTGATCGTAGTCTAAACTTTGTTAGGAGTTTTACAGGGAAAGGCAGGAATCGGTTGAATGGAATCAGCCCTCTGATTCATGACTTGGTATCTCCCATTGGTGATCTAGTAAAGAATGAGTGGGAGCTATACAGTAAATACCAAATCTACCATTTAATTTTAATAAACATAATAATTTAGCTTGAAGCTTCCAGAGACTGGAGAACTAAATGATTCTGCTCTCTCAATCGGGGATAGCACAATATACTTTTTCTTTATTTCTTCACCAGAATGATTGTATGCAACCAAGTGATGAAATATATTCTGGATAAGATAGATAAGGAAGAGAAGCAGGCAGCTAAGAAACGAAAGCGAGAAGAGAGCGTGGAGCAGAAGCGTAGTAAACAGAATGCTACCAAGCTGTCAGCTCTACTTTTCAAGCACAAAGAACAGCTCAAAGCTGAAATCTTGAAAAAAAGAGCACTTCTGGACAAAGAACTACAAATTGAAGTGCAGGTAAGAACAGTTATTCTCAGTCTTGCTTGATTTTAAGTTGGGGGCAATGTTTCAGCATTAACTTCTAATGGATCTATTTTCTTGGTGAGCTTTTAAGGGAACGTACAGAAGGCAGGTCTGGTTTTGTGTGCATGGTTCTCTGCAAAGCCAATGGATGTCCTTTTCAAGCTTCTTGCTTCTCACCCGTGCTGAAACTACCTTGTTTCCTTGAACAGTTTTTGTAAAACTGCAGCCAGCGGGTCATAGTGTGCCAAGAGTGCTATCCTTTATCACTGCAGGTTGTGCACATTAACAGTTTGCACCTTGGGAAGACTTGAATTATTTTTCTTTCAATTACTCATGGGGGTATATGTCTATGTTTTAAACTTGTTCCGGAATAACCATGTGAAGCCTCCCTCTCTATTTATTTAATATACTTCAGGAGGAGCTAAAGAGAGACTTGACTAAAATTAAGAAAGAAAAAGAAAAAGCCCAGGCAGCTGCTGCTGCTGCAGCTGCAGCCGCTGCCGCAGCAGCAGCTGCTGCCACTGCCACCCCACCACCACCACCGCCAGCACTGCCATCGCCACCACAGCACCACACAGCCAGCGTCACCTCCTCCTCCTCCACCACAGTCCCAATGCCAATATCCTCCCAGAAGAGAAAGCGAGATGAGGAGAGAGACTTGTCAGCTTCCAAGTCCAAGAAAAAGAAAATGATTTCTACTACCTCAAAGGAAACAAAGAAGGACACAAAGCTTTACTGCATCTGTAAAACGCCTTATGATGAGTCTAAGTGAGTAGTGAACGCCATTGGTTTTTGATGTGTGATGTTAGATGTAGGTTTAGTAGTTAGCTAGCAGTGGTAAGGCAGTTCTAGAACTGAAGTATCAGGTGTTACTGCAGTGATCAGTAAGGTGTAGAGAAAAGTCTCTTTTTCACTAGCAGTTACAAAACTATTAACATACTTGATTTATCTATTAATGTACATAACTTATATTTCTACTTGTCTGCATGTTTCCATTGTATGATCTTTCTGTCTCACATGCACATTTCTTTTTTTCCTCCGCTCTGTTCTTTCTTTTTGCCGTTTGCCTCTGCCTCGGAAGCAAGTGACAGTTTGGTGTGAGCAGTTTCTTGTGAACTGGACAGGTGGCTGATGCTCTTTAGAACTAGCTTTGGTACCGTCTTCCAATACATTATTTTTTTTAATTGCTAGCCAGTAAAGGAGCTTCCATGTTACTTGACTGCACTTCACTTTGGAGAATGTTTTGGGTTGGAATCATTTTTGTATATTAATGTGTGTTCTGAGCTTGATCAAAAATTAAGCGTGTGAGCATTTGACAAAGTGAAAACTGCAGTTCCCTACGGACAAGGAAAAATATTTCTGTGAAAGAGGAAATGCTATATACGAATCTTGCAAAGAACACTATTAAATGCTGGAGTGGGAGATTTTGTGGATGGCAGGGGACAGTGTTAAGCGTTTCTGCTGAAGCTGGAAGTGATTAACATCCTTAGTTATAGTTGCTATGCGATAGCTGTCTGATAGATAATGTGTGTAAAAGAAATTCGACTTCAGACCAGTTCCATGTGAGTATTTTATCTGCTTAATGAGTGATGATACAAGAAGTATTAATTGATACCATTTGGTTGTGCTTTCGATACTGATAACAGAGGTGAACCATAGAGATGGAGCAGTGTTTTAATTCTGGGAATGGTTTCTCATTTCAAACTCGGGATCAGGACTGGAGGATCTCCTGCAGTTCCTTCTAGCCTCTTTTTTTTAAATTAATATTACTAAATTCAGTTGAGGCCTTTGGGGTGTTTTTTTTATTAATCTTAGGTGCTCGGTAGTTCTGACCATTGCAGTTTGACATCAGCGTGGGAAATTGTAGACTATCTGTGCTAGCATCTCTTTGTAAACTGCAGACTCCCAGTGTCCTGGATGTAATTCACTATTATTTCTGAGGCATATGTATCTTGTCTATCTCAATAAGAATACTGTATTAAGTTCACTGAATGACAGAAACCTAGAAGGAGGTTACCTGCTCTCCTTTTGTGATGCTGAGTGCTGGTCTGTATGAGCACTAACAACAGGTAGTCAGCAGTAGAACTGTCGCAAAAGTAAAATGGGATGAATGAATTCTGTGAGCAAAAGGATTTGCTTTTCATTATATTTCAGCGGGCATTTGTATAAGTTGATAAAAATAGTGTGAATTTTGGTGTCCTGAATCAGTAGCAGTGCTTAAATACATAGAATTAAGGTAGTGAGATGTTACTAACTGATCAGTGCCCTGAGCAATATGATTCAATTCTACTGTTCTGCTTCTTGTCAATTCTGAATGTTATGTTCCTAAAAATGATGACTGTACCATTGAGCTATGTTATGATTCCACTATTTGGAAAGCAATCAGGCAAATTTAAAAAGAGCTTCCTGGTAAACATTGTCCATATGTATGTGTATATACACACGTGTAGGCATCAGATACTCTTTGTACTGGTGTCTATTCTCTGCTTTCAAGAGGATAGATGTGAATCTGAGATTATTTGAGATGTGTTTCAAATGCCCTATTCTCATTAGGATTTAGTAAGTCCACCAAGGTAATTCTGTGTATTACTTATTCTATTGCTAGGCTCTTACATTTAGTTCTCACTGGTTTCACACCAGGGTTGTAGGCTCTATGTATGTTGTATGGAGGGTGGTCAATGAGGACATCATTCTAAGATTCCTACTTATATTCAGCTGATTTGTTAAAGCATAATGTGAAGCCTGTGGTGAACGTGAATTCTGGGTGGTGAGTTTCACTTTAGCTTCTTGCTCCAGATTGGAGCAGCTCGGTCTGATCCCCTTTGGGAAAAAGACCATGGCTAAGTTGTTGCTGATTAGAAGGAGCTGCGTTGATCCGTTGTTGATGGAAGGTCGGTTTGTGCCATTTTCAGGATTTGTCTGACTGAAAATGGGCAGGTAGGTGTGGAGTAAATGGAGCAAACACCCAGGAAGGCAGGGGTGTTCATTTCATGGAGCGTTGGCTAGCTGTTGTCCTGCTGCTGGTTTGTACTGAGAGGTGGTTGGCTGAAGACTGATGAATTAGGTAGGGCTGCAGAAACTGATAAAGCAACATAGTGCAGGTGGTTGGTGGTCTTTAAGATTTAGGAAGATCCCCAGGGTCAGCTTGCTTTTGCTCAGGCAGAGAGAATGAATGTGTAACTTCGCCCATCTGGTTGGTTTCCATGAGTCATAGGTGTGTTCTGAGGTATCCATACACAAAATGTCAAACATCCTTGCATAATATTTTAGAGTTTTGTCACGTCATTCTGTGCAAGGTCCCATTCACATGATTCTGTACCTGGTTCCCTTCACGTTGTGTCATACCACATCTGGTTCTGTCACGTAGCTGTCTGAGAGTAGACACTGTTCTCTGAAAAATGATCAACGTACCGATTTACTGCAGTTCTCAGTAGCTGAATCTCTGTTTTTCAGCCTGCCTCCCCCATGCCCTAAATTAAAATTATGACAGCCATGTCCTGACTCAGTTTTTTTTGTATCATGTTACACCAAGATGTATGGTGCACATGGCTGGAATGCATGTTCCTCGTAGTATACTTGTAACTCCTAGCTGGTGTTTGCGCTTTGCTTTTGTTTTTTAAATTAACTGAGACCTGCATTTTCAAATCTTAAAGTAATGTTTAAGTAGCTTTTGAGCTACAATTTTGAAAATGTGCATCTTTTCCTTTGGCCTTGTCTTCTTGTGCCTTTTACAAATTTTTGCACGCACATTGGAGATGTGTTTTTAGACCGGTTTTGTCAAGGTCTGGTTACATATTGATGTGCATTTCAATAAACTGTCAATTTGAAATTGACCCAAGTGACCTTATCAACAGCATAGCTGCAGCATGAGATGTTAGCTTGTAAGGATAGAATGCAAGGAAGCAGGGAAAACAAGAGAAACTTGAAAGTAGGCCAGCAAGAAAGTGCATCAGAGAGAAATGCAGGGAAAAGTGCCATGCCATTTGAAATGACAATTACATTGTCATTTTCATTGTGAATACTTTTAGGTTCTATATTGGCTGTGATCTTTGTACTAACTGGTATCATGGAGAATGTGTTGGCATCACAGAAAAGGAGGCTAAGAAAATGGATGTGTACATCTGTAATGATTGTAAACGGGCACAAGAGGGCAGCAGTGAGGAATTGTACTGTATCTGCAGAACACCTTATGATGAGTCGCAGTGAGTTCTGATAAGAACCTCTTATTTAATGTCTAGGTAGCAAACTGCTCTGACTTTGGTTACCTGTTCCTTACAAAGAAAAAAGATATTCTGCATATATTGTATTCATTTGTAATACAAATTCATTTTCAGTAATTGTCAAATGTGGTATTCAGTGGATTTTTTTGTGCTATAGTCTGATCTGGATAGAAAGCATAATTTTAGTATGGGGATATGTGATTGGCATCTTTCTGTAAGGTTCTGACTCGTAAATACCCTCTTCAGTACTCAACTACAACACTGATGCTTCCATATGAAAAATGTTTGTACAGAGTGAAATAGGAGCCCAGCTGTAGTCCAGTTTGCAGAAAATGTACCTTGAATTGTTTGGGAATACTGCTTGGGAGATATTGCTGGCATTACACCGTTCCTTTCAGCTCTAAAGCAGATGGCTGATTTTGAAACCTTGAATGCTTGATAGCGTCTAGCAGAAAATGCAGTAACTAATTGTGAAATGTTCTGTAATTCAGTCTGTAAATACAAAAGCAGTTTGAATAACGTAATTAGAATTTGTCAGTCCAGAATGTCACGTGCTATACTGTTGTATTTGTGTCGGGTATCTTGTGTGCAAGGGACTGCAGGTTTATGTTTTTAAATGTAATCTTTAATTTAAATAAGTGTAGTCACTAACGTATTTTTGGACCTTGCAGATTTTACATTGGCTGCGACCGGTGTCAGAACTGGTATCACGGTCGGTGTGTTGGCATTTTGCAAAGTGAGGCTGATCTCATTGATGAGTATGTGTGTCCACAATGTCAGTCCACAGAAGATGCCATGACTGTCCTCAGTCCGCTGACCGATAAAGACTACGAAGGGTTAAGAAGAGTTCTGCGCTCTTTACAGGTGAGAACACAAACTGCAGCAGGGTGGGATGCTTTACTCTGCAAGAGGTATCTGATGAGTCTTGGAGTTCTGATTTCTCTTCCAGTTGCTGTTTCCTTTTTTAAAAAAATAATCTGGAACAAGACCTTATTTTGTGCAAAGTGCCACCATCTCAGCTGGACTTAACTGGCATTATTGTACCATGGAATACTTATCTTAAGCATTTCACTACAACTTAGTGAAAGTATCTACTGAAGAGTGCTATTTTTTTGTTGTTAATTACCTGTTGTTTTCCTGACAGGCTCACAAGATGGCCTGGCCATTCTTAGAACCAGTAGATCCCAATGATGCACCAGATTATTATGGTGTTATTAAAGAACCAATGGGTAAGTGTTTTAGAACAATCTCGTGATGAGCAAGTAGTTTTGGGATTAGGAGTATCGAATTTGTTACCTATTATGCTTGTAAGTACTGCAAGTAGATGTGCATATTTTAAAATACACGAGATAATCTGCCCATCAGTGTGTTCACACATTCTCCATAACTGATGTTTGAAAATAAGCACCTCAAGGGTATTTTCCAAAGGTAAGTCATTGTTTTTCCAATTAAAAGTTGTTTTTAATTTACATTTGCATTAAAATAGAACAATTACTGTTTTGTCATTCCTGTCTCATTAATGTATCCAATTGGTAGGAGTGGGAGCACTAGTATTTTGTGTGGTAGTACACTTGAAATCTTTCATCTGTCCCATGTGATAAATATGCACATATTAGTGCATATTTAGAAAATTTGCTTAAGGTGAGTCATGAATTCAGGTGACCAGAGGATTAAATGTTCATGCCTGGATCAGTCCCAGTAAAGGCTGTAAGGAAAGTGAAGTTCAAGAATCCAGATTTTTTCACACTTTTGGTTTTTTTTCCTTAATTTCTTCAGGAATAGTAAATAGCTTCCTGCAAGAAACCAACATCTGCAGGATCACCTTGTGCTTTTTAATTCAGCTGCACATGGCACATTCATGGATAAGTGCTTATTGTAAAGGTTTACTGGTGTTACTGTGTCACAACTTGAGTTCCTGGGAATACAACTAAACTTCTGTAGGCTTTGTTTCCTGCTCTCTGATAACGTTAACTTCTGTTGAAGTTGAAAAGGCCTCGCTTTAATAATCTTTGCTTTCTTTTAAAGACCTTGCCACCATGGAAGAAAGAATACTGAAGCGTTACTACAAAAAGGTCACAGAGTTTGTGGCAGATATGACCAAAATTTTTGATAACTGTCGTTACTACAATCCAAGTGACTCTCCTTTTTACCAATGTGCAGAAGTTCTTGAATCATTCTTTGTACAGAAACTAAAAGGATTTAAGGCAAGCAGGTAAGCTAAAGTGTTCCTAATCATAGATGTTCTGTGGGTCCCCTAAAATCTCCTTAATGCTTTTAGAAGCTTACCTTACATTCATACAAAGATTTGCTTGTCCATGCGCTTACTTGCACAACTGCTTTTCTTTGAAAGGGGAAAAAAACCTGTTCTATAGCAGCCAACTGTCATTTTAATCAATATTAGGGCTTAAATGTTTGTGGGGTTTTTTTTTTTTAGATTACTTTGTAATACTCATTCAAAATGAGATGTTGTATACAAGTTTAATATAATGCTTGTAGAAAACTTGAATGACCCTAAGTCATAGCTGCAGAAAACTTAAATGGGAATCATTTCTCAAGCAGGACATACTCTGTGCTGTTCTGAGTCTTAATTATGTTCTACTGTGCACCAAGTCCTTTTTAGAGGCTGAAAAGAGACTGTTCTTCTGTGAAGCTTATAATTCACTGAAAGAACTTAAAATAGTTTGCTTCTCTAATCGTTTTATAACTTACCTTGTTTCAATCAGAGAGATAAATATAGTTTAAAGATAGATGAAAATCTAAATACAATTCAAATTTGAGTATTTAAAATCAAATTTTCTTTTCTAATGTTTTTCTGTAGAAAGACTGAAGAGTATTTACCTAACATAGACATTTCTGAAAACGAATAGGCCACTGTTCTATGGATTTTTCTATTGTCTATCTGTATCCTTGCTGTACTCCAACATGAGCCAACTGTAACTGAATTACAAACCTTGACTGCTTTCCAGCATCATACAGAAATCTGTATGTGTGCAGTAGTTAAATTTGTCCATCTGACTGTAACAGTCAAAACTAAGGTTCCTAGTCTGAGGTATTAATGCAGGATTAAATTCGTTTCTAATCAAGTAAATTGAACACTTTGCTTTATACCTACCGCTGTGGAAGCTCTAATCCCATGGGAGTGTAATATTGTTGAGAGAGGATGTGAGACCAAATGGATTAGACCAGCATTTTTCCTTCCCAGTATAATACTGTAGTAATAATTTTTATTAGGTAGTTCTCAACTCACGTTTCTTTCATCATGCATTTGCTGGTTATCCAGCATCCACTGCTTACACAGTAATTTCATTGCTGCGTTTTATTTGTTATTGTTTTTCATTTATACCATCTGTGTCCTTTCTTCTCTTGCAGATTGTGATATCTTTAGTCTGAACTGTTTTAACTGGAATCAGAAATTTCTTTTATTGTACAATTCAATAACATGAAATAGCCCTAAAAAATCCAAATCATTTGTCTAAAAAGTAAACAATGAGTATTTTTATTATTACCAGCAAATCCTGCTGGTTAAATGCAAATGTATTAACAGGGAAAAAAAATTGTCCCATTCCTGGAATACTGTAATGAGAGAAATGAAAATTTCATCTCGGAAGCCATGTATCCCATTGTTTTATTTTCAGTCACTAATAAAATTGTGGATGTCAAAGAAGGGTTTTGCTGAATGGTGATAAGCAGAGATGTGATTTTTAATATGCCTGGTTCAGTTTTTTCTATTAAGTTAATCCAAGGATTTCTTGAATAAATTTAGGCTGAATACACCTTATTATAAATATTCACCTGTATAAATTGTCTTTTTCCTTTCCTTTTGATGTACTACTGTTATGTAAACATGAGAATAAAACTGACTTCAGGCATTTTGAAATATTTCAGTGACACTGTATTTGGCAACCAGTGAAATATTTGTGTGCAGGACATGAAAATGTGAATAAAATTCAGGGAGAATTAAGTGGGTTTTTTGGAAGAGTTAAGACAAAAAAAAAAGAAGCAACACGATGGTAATTCCCTCCTAGTGATTTACCTGTGGCAACACCTTGCAGCAACTATGTTTCCCAAAATGAAGGGTGCTTAATTCTTCACTTTCTTCTGTACTCTGCAGGTCCCATAACAACAAACTGCAGTCTACAGCTTCTTAGAGTTCTGCGTGTAAACCTAACAAACGAGCAAGAATCTGGTTGTCTGAAAATTTTTAATTAAGAAGCCAGATGTTTTTAGTCAGGTTATCCTGACAAGACTCGATGTAAACTGCGTTTTTATTGGTCACAACAGTCAAATTATATCCTTGGCTTATTTTGTCCAAAGGACAAAGAAATAAAAATCAGCAGCACCACTTTCTTGTCAAGATCAAATTGTTGTACTATGGTGGCAGAAGCAGGAAAACTTTGTTTTGTTGAAGGAGAAAGAGCAAGAAAATAAAAAGATACAGTAAATGGGGTCAAGTTTAACTCCATGGAAATGCCACGTCTGTTCTTCAGTGAAGAAGCTGGTTTAAAGTCCACACAGAAAACTTTGACTGTATTTATTTATTGTTGCAAAAAAGACGCTTTTTTATTGCTGCCCTCATTTGTCAGCTAATTATTTTTTCTTATAAAATCCAGCCCCGGTCACATGTAATCCATTCTGTATCTTAACATGATTCCTGTAGGTAAAAGTACAAGAAGACCTCTAGATGTCTTTTCTTTCTATGAAAGGAGCTGCTATGTACACATGTGCACACACACAGAACTGGGAATCAACGATGAGTTTGTCATTCATGGTAGATTAAAAAGAAACCAGAACAATTAAGCTTGCATAAAGGTTGGGCTAAGTGGTCATGGACTACAGACTCTGTTGCCTTGAATATAACAGTACAATTTGTCATTTACTCTACACCAGACTGAAACGAGTAAAATCTATTTGAAGGTATCTTGTTTGTAAACATTTGTCAGATTCTAATTTTTTTCTTTTGTATTAAAATTCAAAATATGGATGTATATGAAACAAAATAAATGGAGATAATTGTTCTCCCCACACATGTAGGTGTCCTTGAGTGTGCGCTGATATGTTTGTAACGCTCTGGGGATCTGGTGGAAAGCAGAGGTGTTACGAGTAAGTGGGGAGGGAAGTGGAAAAGGAGATCTGACTTGGCTCCCGAGGTGGCATTTAGAACTTCTCTTTTTTAAGCAGCTGTTATCCCGTTACAGAATTCCTACACTGGTGCCAAAATTACTGTAACGGGTAACGTGGTAGGAAGCGTTTGGTGAGATGTCACTGCCCACTGCTGAACTAAGTGATATCTTGCCAAGTACCCTAGAAATGTACAGTTCCAGGTGTCAGTGTATCTATGAGAGGCGTTCCAGATGGCTTTGTTGTTTCCTGTATAAGGAGTTGCTGGCAAGAAGAGTAAGTTGTAGTCAAAAGAAGATGCAATTTGCAGATGTTTCTTTTTCTTTCTCACTTGCATACTGCGTAAATGACTGTCTCGTATTTCCTAAATCTAGTTACTGAGCCATGATTTGTATGCAGCTCTCCAACCATTTGACTTAAGCTTTTGCACTGATTCGCAGTTAACTTCTGTTCAGTGAGCTGGGATTTCCCTGATGTATGAATAAGCTCCTTCTGGGTTTAACCTCACACCTTGCTATGCAAGAACCTTCCTTGTTGTTTTTTCTTAAAGATGTTGCTACTGACCACACTTTCTTATACTCACAGGCTCAGGTGTACAGATACTTCTGGGATAATTTTATCTAATAAAACCCATGGTTTTTTGTACGTTCAAATGTTGTCATTTAACCTATATGTGACAAAAATAATTGCTCAGTGTGAAAACAGTTATCCATTTACGCTTCTTGAAGTTAAAGAGGAGTAGTTGCATTTAGGTTATGTTGTCCTTGACATTTAAGATAAAAATGCTGCATATTGTACGCATTGTGTTTTTAATGCAGAAAGGAAAAAATTACAGCTTCTAACAGTGTTTTAACATACCTTGCATTTCATCAGAACTTGGTAATATTTCTGTACTATATGACATTTAAAACTTTCCTACCTGTAGGCAATAGACTGCTATGTTTTTAAAAACCTGTGGCAAATTGAAGAGTACTTTTTTTGTACCTTAAAGGACACATCATCCTAGACAAATAAAATAACGTGCTTGACATTGATTTGGTGGTGTTTCTAATGAAACCATTGGTGATGTTGTGGCATTGTTGTAGGTCTTGGCTTTTCCAGATTAGGTCTAATTTCTAGTGAATCAGTTTCATCAGGGAAATAATCCATGCACATGATTTCACCTTGCTGAAAGCCGCCTTGAGTTTTTCAATTGCCGATGAATGCGGTGAGGCATTTGTCTTGGTTTATTAGAGGTGATATTTTTAGTTAAAAGGTGTTTCTGGATGAAAGCAGTCTTGTAAAAGTTATTAATTCCCACCTTCCTAAAAGTATGGCAAGTTCCTAAGATCTGTGATCTCTGTTCAGTCATCTTCCTTTTAATTTCTTATAAATAATAGCATGTTTCAAAATAGTCATGTATTGTAACATAGATGTTGATCATGTGAACCATTCTGGCTTGATTTTTGTTTCTCAGACAACTTTCAATCAATTTCCTATGACCTAAATTCAGTTCATCAAACGGTTAACGTGGATTTAAAGGTGGTTAAAAAGTCAAGCTTACCCAAAAGCCATGAATATCTCCTAGGAGGGCAGGAAGACAACACTGCTCTGCACCTGGGTTTCTGTGTGTTGGCTGCAGGATGTTTGTGTGTGTTCTGGGGGGGAAACAAAACGATCTGTTGTGAGATATCTCACTTAGCATTGCAACTATTGCATCTAAGTAACATCTTCTTTTCAGCGTGCTCAATGCTGCAGGTTTTTTTAATGGTAAGTGCTACATTTTGGAATTCCACGTGACTCAGAATGTTTTTCTTCAATCCTGTAGCGTGTGATAGGCCTGGTCAGAAGAGAAAACAGTAGTGATGCTTCCCTCCAGCTGCATTGCAGTTGGGCTGTGAAATGCAGTGGTTTGTTGCTTGGCTGTTGTGGTAATATTTTAAGGAACACCTTCCAAGAAAGAAAGGGAAAAGAAGGTGGCCTTGTGATGCAAACAGGGAGAATGGAATCCACTGCTGTTCAGGCTTGCTTCTAGAGCAGCACTTGTACCTGAGGTAGCAGTAGAGGCTGTGTCGGTTGCTGGCCTTTTACTTTGGGTTTGGATGTCATTGGCAGTGGTATGCTGTTATCTCTTCTGAGATAACATCTGTGGCCATATCCCATCTTGGTTGTGTTTTTGCACCCCTGCTTTGCCTGCTTTAGATTACGATGACGTCTTGGAGGTGGGGATGGGTGCGTAGTTGCTATTCTGGGCAGATGATTGATCTGGGACTTGCTCATTAGTCCCTGGGCTGCATTTGAAAATAGAAACAAAGAAACTTGAGATGCACATGTAACCCTTCCTCCTTCCTTCCCCTGTCCCACCCTCAGAATCACTGCCAGGAATGATTTTGCCAAATCAGGAGCCCTCTTAATTAAAGTCTTGGGAAAATTCCAGCTATGTACGCTATGCTCTGTATGACCTCTTTCACACTGCAGAAGTGAGATGGTATATTTTAGATGAACACAAACTACTGGTGAGTTTATGTCCTATAGTAACAGTTTTCTAGGTCCTAAAGTGTAGGATGTTCACTGATGGTATTTTGTCTCCTATTCCAGGTCAAGAAGTATCTCATACATGTGACTTATCCCACATGCTCTGCTCCATAGCTTCTCAGTGACTCTAAACCAAGCTGAGGATTTATCTGAGGTAGAATTGGTAAAAAGAAAATTAAACTTTTTGTTGCCATTAAGATTCTAGTGGCTTATTTGTAGGGATACTTGCAAATACTGTCAGAGCTACTGCTTTGGCAAGAATATTTTGTCTTACTAACAATAGTAGTTAGCAGTTATTTTTCTACTCCGTTGTTTGAAGTAGGCAGATTTGAACGGTGCCTTGAAATCACCAGGTGATCCTTCCAGCAAGGAGATGCTCCCATTTAATACTCTCTGCATAATCTTTTTTGATCTTTTGAAACCCAGAAAAACAGTGAACTGAGAACCCTGTGAACACTTTATTCATTTATTGTACAGACTTAGAGTTTGTGAATACTGACTGCTGGAGCAGTAAATGTTAAGAGATGCCCTTTGCAGAACATTTATATAATTCTTAAATCTCCACTGCTTAATGGTACTAAAGGGTTGTGTCTTTGATTCAGAATAACTCCTGATGTGCAAGTGCAACTTTGATAATTCTCATGGGAAGATAACATTCAGTACAGAGTTCTAAAGCTGAACTTTTAAGGAACTGACAAGGTAGCCAGGCATACAAAATGTGCTTGCAATTGCACGCTCAGTTTGCATTCCTTGGCAGGAACTTCTGCCATAATTTGTAAGCCTAATTGGGCATTTGCGTTGTGTAGTTACATGATTTGCTTTCAGTTAGTTGTTAATTATTCAAGTATATGAATACACTACTTTATAAGCTTTATATGAAAACTCAATTCTGTCTAAAGAAGTGTATTTGAGGAGACCAACATAATATGAAAGATACTTGGTTTTGTTGGTTTCTTTTGCATCACATGTATATAATACTTAGAGCTGAGTGAAAACACAACTGACATTCTCCATAGATTTGACATCCTCTAAGGTTTGTTTGAGGTGAGGGGCTTGGAAGTACGGTTACTTCTTGTGTACCTAAGAACCATGTCTTCAGAATTTCACTGAGCAATCACTACAGATTATTAGTGGTACGTTACAGCAGAGGAGGCAACAGCCTGTGGCTCTGAAAACAGCTAGAGCAAGGTTACGACCAGTTACTGTAGATGGACTTTTGTGCTATGTTATAGGTGGCTAGTCAGAACGTTCAGCTAGTGTTTGCTACAGCACAAATGCAAGTGCTATTACAATCAGTTTCAGACATCAGTAGAACTACCTCCCACTGTTGCTAAATCATTATGTTTAGGTGTAGGTGAATTCTACTGCTGCCTGCGTTACAGGAGGAGCTTACGAAGCCTTATCTACATTTAGTGCGAGCCCCTTGCACTTTGCGGCTCCTTTTCCTGTTGAATCTCTTCACGTAGCTGCTGCTGCTTGCAAGCAAGCCATCCCCTGGCCTCAGGTGCCCACGCAGGAACTGCACTAGGTTTGCAGGGATCTGTCTTCTCTTGTGGTAGATCTGACCCATCACGATGTATCTGCTGCCTGCAAGGGAAATGAGATTTCTGTGTTATGAAGAAAACATTGATTCATTCACTGCACTCACAGTAAGGACAATAGATATATGAATAGATAAAAAGTTAGACCCTAGCAAAATACATCCTGGGACTTGGGGGTTCTCCTTGCACATGAATTAATTATTCTGTTGTACTGCAACTAGAAGGTTTAGTGGGGAAATGCTGGTATTTGATAAATCTGCATTTAGAAGGGAAACTAGACTATTTACAAAGAGCTTATGCTCCTGCTTAATTTTGTTTAAGCAATCCTAGAAACCTTTGCAATCATCTTGGAACTGGATGAAGTTGAAGAGCTGTGCTGCTACCTGATTCCTTCATGCAGGTGGGTCTCTTACCAAGTTGCAGAAGTAGGGTAGAAACAACCCTCCAGTTTAAGCACTTTTTTTGTTTTGAAAATAACCCAGGATGAGCCTTTTGAACGGAGGCAAACTAAAATTGCACTGCATGCAGGAGGAACAGTAGAGTGGATTTAGCTGGAATTGTTTACCAAGTTTGAAGTCTGGACATGGCTTGCTGCAGTTGAAAGAATCCACAACTAGAATGTGAACTTGGAAGAAGAAGCCATCAGGAGTAATAAAGAGGCGACTCATCTTGTACAGGCCATCACTGTTTACCAAAAGTGTAACCAAGTGGACTCCACTCCCCAGTCTTTCCATGTTATAAACAATTCCGTTCACTGCTGTTTTAAGGGCAAGAAAAAAGAAGCACGAGATTACGTATCGTAGTGGCAACTCAAGGTAAATTCATTTAAAGTGCTGTAAATACCAGCACAGAAATTATTTGGTGCAGTAATTGGCAGGACTGAAGGTAGCAGTTGCTTCTAATTATGACACTGGATAACTTACTAACATTTCTGTTCTTTACAGCTCCGAGATCTAAGTGAAGTTTATAAAAGGTTCAAATTAAAGCGATGGTTTTAGAATTGTTCCTCACCTCATATTCAAAATACTTACTTGACAAAGTAAAACTTACAAGTTTTCAACACCACAGTGTGGTCCAAAGCTAACCTACTAATAAACCACTTTGGATTTGAAAGGAAAGGCCCTCATCACATCAAGCAGCAAGGGCACCAAGAAGGCAACGTCATGCTATCAGACAATTTCTGCATGCTATCTACTCAATTTCTGGTTTTAATAAGTCGTGGAACTGGAAAACAACAACTGTGTTAGGTATTAAGAACTTCTGTAACTGGCATTCCACCCGCATCACTGAGAACTTTGATTCGGTCTGTGGCTGTAAACATAAAGAACTGAAAATTCTCTCTGTGATCACAGCAATGGAACTTGGCTGATGTCTTCTTTTGTACCCGGCTTCTTCAGTGTAAGACTTGGAGGAGACTGCTGTTTGTGAAAGGCTGAGAGGTCCAAAGGTTGTGTCACTGTAAGGCCTATGTTTGACAGGAATGCGAGAGTTGTAAAACAAATAATAATAAAAATACATAACGTTTGTAGAAAGCACTTCCTGACTTCTCCATTTAGAGAAAACAGATGTCTTATAACGTGTTTATATTCTGCAAATGGAAACATCTGCTACCGGTAGGCATGTATTCTGCTCATCTCTTAAAATACTGTGGGAAAAAGTTGCTATTTGATGTCATAAGTGTAAGGAAAGATTTCAGTCAGAAAATGCTCTTCAGTACAACATTACCAAGTTATTTTCTAACATCTTTAGCTATACCAGCTTGGATGCAGGGACTGAAGACATGAATCCCAAGGAATGTCATGAGGAATCCTCTATACAGAACGCATGCTGTGCGGGTTACTATTTATTTTTGTTGGCATCTTTACCCCCCGGATCACAAACTTGTTCTAGGTAGTATAGGCTGCTATACAGCTACACTGTTTAACATCAGAGTATTGAAAACTGTTGGTCTTCAATTCTGTAGATCAGCAACAAGAGCTCTGCCTTCTGATTTGGAGTGGAAAGTGGAGAAAACGGGGAAAAAGAGCACTGGTCCAAGGCAGAGAAAGAGTAATGTAAGACTTGGTACTATTGTCACAGTACTCTTACAAACAGCTGTGATGGCTCCCTTTAATGCACTTAATGGTTACCTAATATATGTAGTGAAGTAGTACCCTAAAAGCAGAAGTGTCAAGGAATACATCAACAAAGATGGCTTTGGCTTTGTGTGGCTCATGGAAGACAGCTTACCAAATTCACTTGTGCAGTAGGCCTCCACTTCATCTCTCTCTTTCCTGCACTCGGTCAGACATGCCTTCTCCATATCGGCACCTAGAACAGGCACAGAGACTGAAGGACAGCAATGTGCCCTTCTGGGGTATTTTATTCAAATTGTGGCACCCAACCTGTGGAAAGCTCACAGCCTTCCTTACTGGAGCAGTCTTCTCCCTTACCTTTCTTCAGCAAGCTGAAATGGTGTGGCAAGCTGGGCGGCTGGCGGTTGGTGACCCAGGAGGGTTTGCTGATCATCTGCAGCAATTCAGTGCTTTTGTAGGGGTTTACCTTGCCTGGTCGGTTGAAATGATCCAGCACATTAGGATCAGCTGACTCTGCTGTTCCAGACTCTAGAAAAGGATGAGCTCCCAGTAAGGATGTGATCTTATGGTAGGAAGTTGCTGTGTGCTGGAAATGAGCTGACACGCTGTTAGCAGCCTCTGCCAGCCGCCTGTCTGCCTGCTTTCTGTTTGCCTGGTTCAAGTCAAAGGAGGTGGGAGAAGGCCCCTCGCTTGCAGGTTCCAGAGGCAGGGTCCCTCCATGCTGCAGGAGGTGTTTCCTCAGCCCTGTGCTGTTTTCAGTAGAAGGCTTGGTTCGTTTCTTTTTGTCTGAAGAGAGGGAGGTGATTTCAGGAGGTTTTGGGTGCTGCAGGTTGGTGGGAGACAGAAATTGGTATTCGGTGGGATCCTCTCTAGTGGTGGCCCAGGCTGGCAGTTTGGCTTGGCCGGGTGTAGCATCTGCTGAGTTATACCCATATTTGCTGAGAGACTGGCTGGCTTTCTCAGCACAGGGCAGGGATCCTGCATTAAAGACGAAAGAAAAGAAAAAAAGAAAAGAAAGAGAGAGAGAGCAAGTCAGAATTGTTTATTATTCCATGCCCATGTGAATGGGAAGTACCTGGCAGATTGGATGTCTGCTCCATAAATGAGGCCTTCGAGTGCACGATGGCATAACTCACAGCTCAACTGATAAAACGGAGCCCTTCATTTGTCTGTATTCAGCCACAGAAGGCCTGATACAGAGAATGCAGCTGTGAGCAAAACACAGGAGATTTGCATTTTTACTTTATTATTGTTGTAAATTAAAAACATCACTTATAAACAAACCCTTTTCTCAAAAGCCTGAATCTCCAGGGAGCATCTGAGGAAACAAAATTCACATTGCCATTTGGGATGCTTATTTAAAAGACCATGACAACAGAACTATTTGGTTTTCCCATCCATGGGATGCCTTATTGACAATGTCATCTGGACTTTTCAGCGGCTTTCGGCTTTGAACGCTACTGAAAAGATCTTTATCCACAGTTTTGGATCTCTGACTTTTGCACTACAGAGTTGTATGGGAGTCCAAGAAGACCTAGTCTGGTAGCTAGGCTATTGCTGCTGAGTAACAATTATTTCAAGCCTTTTCTTAAGCTGAGAGGACAAGAGCTGAAAAAGACAGGAAGCGTCTGGGACTGCAGTGACAAAGGGACAGGCTTAATGGCACTGTTTGTGCAAGCTGCACAGTTACCTAGAGCTTAGTTTATATTTCACCTTGATTGCTCGGAGCTCACAAAGCAAAAGACTTTTCTTTTATGCTGGGAAGAGAGAAATTGCCTCTTGCAGTTCTCCCTCCCTGTGCTTGAGCCCTCCCTTTAGTTGGCCGGTGCAGGGCTTTAGAGCAGTTCACCCACACACAGCCGCTGTCTGGGTGTTCGCTCTGTGGTTAGCACTGTGTAGGAGGCTGATCCTGACTCCTTATGTGAAAAGAGATATTTGACTTACACAGATGAACAACATCCTGGTTTATCTTCCATAACTGACTCTCAGCTGCTGACCTTGCCATTTCTCCCCCTCTGCTCTCACCAGCTGCTGTCATGGGAAAGATTCCCTGATATTTGGGCTGGCCACATGTAAAGTCAAAAGAATGCCCATGAAGAAAAGGGTGGAAGAAGTCCAAGCTGAGGAAATTAATAGGCAAGGGTGTTATGGAGCTGTTCCCATATGAAGCTGTGTGCTCTGAGCAGGTGTTTTAGATTTGGCTTTTATAAATGCACTTTTCTGTCAGTTTATTGAGCCCTCTCAGTCACGGGCTGTAACGAGAAATGGTTCATTTGTCCCTACTCCATCTGTTCAGGATGCTGAGCCTCGTTCTGCGACACCAGCATGTTCCCGTGCACCTCTTGCAACCTAAGAAATACAACTGCCCCATCATCAGTTCCTGGACTTCTCCTTCCTTATGGAATAGATCACCTTTAGTTGCAGAAATAAGATACACGTTTGCTCATGACAGCTTGCTCCAGGGGATAAATTCTAGACCCAGAATTTATCAATGCAGAGAAAGAGAGTAAAAGGGCACGACCACATGCAAATGGAGAAATCCCACATGCAGAACGAAGGCAAACTTCACCTGCAGACCAGTGCAGGCAGGATGGATGCACAGCACCAGCTGCCTGCCTGCTTCAGGCAGGTGCTCCTCGTTCTTTCTGACCCCAACAAAGCAGCTACTACAGTTTACATTCCCAACCCGTTTCTTTCCTGAGCCTTTACGTTATTCGTGCTACAACTTGCTGGAGAGTGGGCTGCTTTGGTGAGAATTTGTGGAAATGCCTTTAACCTCCCCTAACACCGCAGACAGATGTGTGCCCAGCCCCGCTGTGTGGAACTTACCGGCCACCGAGCTGCAAGACGATCTAATGACAAAGCAGAGGAGCCAGAGCGCTTTGGTTGTCATTTTGAAGTAAAAGTTTTCTTTTTCTTTTTTTTTCTTTTTTTTTTTTTTCCCAGCCTCAAAACGAAGCGGAGTCTTTTATGCCCTTCCCCCGATTCATGCTAATGAGAGGCAGCCTTAGGGGAAACGGGAACCGCCGCTGGACAGCCCCCTGGAGCAGCACCAAGCCCGCACCCACAGCCCCGCAGTGCGCAACGGATGGACGGGAGGCTCGCGGCGAGATTGAGGGAGCGCCTCGCTCTGCCCGTGGAATTGCTCGAGGAGAGCCGGAGAGCGCGAGGCTCTGCTGGGCGGCGGACAGGCAGCCAAAGCTGAGCGATACCGCAGGAACCCGAGGGCTCCAACCGCGCGGCCGGAGCATCGCCTGCCGAGGGACCGCTCCCGTGCAGCGGTTATCGCCCGGCGCGAGGGGAAGCCCTGCTGACCGCAGACACCGCTTTATTTCTCGATTTCTATGAGCTGACGTGCAAAATTTTACACCCCAAACCGACCCCCGTGTGGGTTGCTGCGTTTAAGCAGGTTTATCCCGCCGAAACAGGCGATCTCGTTACCGGACCGAAGCCCCGTTGTGACAGCCGGAACGGCCGCGTCGCACCTCCCGACGCCGAGAGCTGCCCAGGGCAGCGCAGCCACGGCCCGGCTGTCCGCGCTGCGCGCTGCGCGCTGCCTCGGCTCGGCAGTCGGACCGGGCCGCCCGAAGTACCGGCAGCTCTGCAGAGCCTCTCATCGCTCGCTCAGCCGCACGGCGAACCGACGACCGCTCCGCTCCGCGCACCTCGCCGCTGCTCCGAGGGGAAGGACGGGGCGGCGCTACCGGCACCGCGCTCGGCACCCCGCCGACGGAGCCGGGAGGAGAGCGGCGGAGGGGCTCGGAGCCGCTGCGGCTGCGGCCAAAAGTGAGGAGTGCACGCACTACGCTACGAGCTACTCGGCGGGAGACGCCCGCGCCGAATGTACCGAGCTGCCACAAAACATCGGCGGCACGACCCAGATGGGACTCGAACCCACAATCCCCAGCTCCGGAGGCTGATGCCTTATCCATTAGGCCACTGGGTCACCCAGCAAAAGCTGCGAGCGCCGTGCCGTAAGAGCCCCGCCCGGAGGCGCTGGCTCCGCCCCCACAGCGCTTTAACGCTCTCCCTGCACATGAGCGGGAGGCCCCGCCCTCGTCAGTGCCTCCCCGAGGCTCCGCCCCTTGAGCTTCGCGCGGTCCTGTGCGGCCCTCAGAGGTGGGCTCGCGCCTCGGCCCCTCCCCTGTCCCGCGCGCCTCAGTCTGTCACGCGCGGTGGTCGTTGCTTCCCTCAGCGCGGCGCGAGGACGTGAGCGCCGTTCCCTCCCGCGGGTGGCTGCCTGAGGAGATCCGCCGCCGGCCGCCTTCCCCGAGGTCCTCTCCTTTAAAAACTCTCCCCCTTACGGCCTCCCGAAGCGCCACTTCCCGCCCCTCGGCTGTGGTGCGGTACCGACAGCAGCCCCGCCCCATCTGCTCCTCTCGCAGCGCTCTCCCGTGAGCAGCTGCGGCGCTTTTATCTCTTGTTCTCCCTCTGCTGTCCTCGTTACCTCAGGCGCAGTT